AAATAATGTATCCACAATTTTATTTTGAGACTGAATGAAGCATCCTTAAATTTCAATCCAAATCATACGTAAATTAATATACGTAAATACGATGATTATGTTAATGATGTTATGGTTCTGGTCCTCCCTGGAATTAAATGTACAGGATTTATATAAAATTAAGAAATATATGTAGCTCTATCATGTTTGTATCTATAAAATTTAATTTTGGATGTAACACGTCTTCTGATTGGCTAAAAGTTTTTGTCTATCAGCTCGTAGACATAGACGGGTTTATCTGTAATTGACCTAGAAAACATGGGCGCATCCATTAACCTCTCACGTGACCGATCCGCCATTACAACCGTGAAAAATAACGCACGTGTATTGATCAAAACATTTTCGATTTTCTGTTTTTGCCATATGACCGTGACGTCACCAACGTTTTTTTTTTATGATTTACTCCTTAAAAATGGAATTTAGAATTAAATTATAAGGAATGGCTGTAATATTTTTTTCTGTCTATTCGAAATAACCTGAAAAAAATGTGATGCACACTTTTAAATAACTCGCTACGCGGGTTATTCAGTGTGCACCATATTTTTGATATTATTTCTTTATAGACAGAAAAAATATTACAGTCATTCCTTGAATGAACTTTTTAAAAATATTTCATTTCAATGTAAAAAAAAAGATGTTTTTCTGTTACAAATCATAATGTATTGTTTTGTGTGTATACATGAAATGCTGCCCATCATGTGCCCTTGATTGGAATAATAAATATTCTTATTCTATATATGAAATTTTCTATTTTTATTAGTATTACAAGTGGGGTTTTTTTTCTATTGTTATTTTAGCAGTACAGTTTGGGAGATTGTGTAGATTAAACTACTTTTCATAAGTGGGTTGAGTTGGTAAATAAGAGTGGGGCGAGTTGGTGGAAGAAAAATGGACGAGTTGTCTTGCTTCCTCCAAAACAGAGGGAGAGAGTAAAAGGTATAATTTATTTGCTGCAATGGAACATGTGTTTTGTTTGCTTTTCTTCTTATTCCAAATACTGCCCACATTTCCACACGCTAACGGCTCTGATATTAAAGCAACACTCTTTCAAACATCATATCGGCCTCTAGTAATTAAGTGTTCCGCAACTATTCTTCCCGTCATTTTAACTCGATTAACCATGATTTAATGAACGTATTATTTGATTTTGTGATAAGTTATATGAAAATAACAAAATTATTTTTTTTGGAGTGTAGAAAAACTTTAAACAGCACATCCGATTCGGTTGAAAATTATGACTTTCAATTCTCTTTATTGCCCAGTGGCGGATCCAGGAGAGGGGGGGGGGGGGGGTCCGGGGGTTGGAACCCCCCTTTTTTTGGACGATCAATGCATTTGAATGGGGACATGTGGTTGGAACCCCCCTTTATCCTGGGTTGGGACACCCCCCCCCCCTTTTGAAAATGGCTGGATCCGCTCCTGTTGCCTCTATGTTTTTAAGTATTGATAATAAAACAAGTGATCTCATCATGATCAGAGTTGATAAATCCACCATATCAGGTAAGACAAACATAGTACGGTTAAATATGTGGTATAAAATTAGAAAAATGAATATTCAGTGCAAACAATGAAAACAAATAATTCAAATCCTATTATACTCACCACTCGAAAAAGGAAAATAAGGATTAGTAATTAAGGCACCTATAAGCCTGCTCGTAAGAATCGACTTGTAACAAAAAGGTCTCAAACGTAAATGAAATGTGACTGACATAAAGGTCATTGCGCAGGTTGGTGTTGAGCCTAGCTGTCAATCCCCCACTTTTCAGTCTACTCCTAAACCGGCCATGATTTAATGATAAGTAAAACAAACATGCAAAAAGTAAAATAACAAAACTATCGAACTCCAAGGTAAATTCAAAACGAAAAGTACTTTATCAAATGGCAAAATCAAAAGCTCAAACACATGCATCAAACGAATGGCAAACAACGGTCATATTCTTGACTTGGTACAGGCATTTCCTTATGTAGAAAATGGTGAATTTAACCTGGTTTTATAGCTAGCTAAAACTCTCACTTGGACAGTCGCATAAAGCTCCATTATATTGACAACAATGTGTGAGCGCAAAACAAACAGACATAATAGGTGCAAGCTTCTTAAAACCTTCACTAACCTTCAGGGGCTACACTGGAAGCGTCTGATGTTTATTTCTTCCCGTAAAAAAGGGATTTGCCTAATATTAACTGAAGGCCATACGATACAGTTTTAATCCTCGGTAATTTTTTTACGAAAATTTGCATAAAAGCTATTTTTCACCTAGGTAATTCAAATATGTGATAAAAAATATACCTTCATGTGCTAAATTTAGAGATAAATAGGGTAGAAATTTTAGACATTTACCTACAGTCTCGGCCGGGTTCATGACACTTCTATCTTTTGGACAGACATCCTTAACTTTTTTGTTTCAAAAGATAAACACATGCGTTTTTTTTTTAAAAGATTTGGAATATCTTTACAAAAGCATACTCTTAATTTTTTTTAGCAATTCTGTCGAAATAATTCATTTTTATTAAATTTTCATGATTTAAAAAAAAAACTTGACGGAAATTTTTAATAATCTTCATACAGTATCAAGTCAAATGTCATTTTAAAAAAGAGGGGTCCATGTACTCGTTTTCAAGTTAATGATTGAAATCACTCGAAAAATGCATCTTTTCCATATATGTCGCAGTTTGACGTCGCGAAAAATAACATTTTACGTTAACAACGTCATTACCTCCCCTGTAACTGTATCTTATTAATTAACTACTCTGTTATTGGACTTAATATGATGATAACTGTCTTTGCTATACAAAAGTGTCAACTCGGCCAATACAGGAAAACTCGGCCAATATTGGCCGAGTTTTCATCCGTCCAATACAGGATTTCGGAACGTCTCTTAGTTTTTAGATCGAAAATCATGATAAACACAACGTAATGTAAGACGCTGTTTTATTTACTCACCATAAACATGCCGAAACGTTCAGTGTGGCAAATATTTCAGGCTGAAGACGGTCACATTCAATTAAAAAAGCATTTTATAAGCAGACAATTGAATTATTTCAGGTTTGGGCAACGAGTCTGTAGATTATCACAAAGCTCATTTTTTGTCGACCTCATAACCATTTAAAACAGTTTATCAGTTTAATGAGTGCATTTCAATTTACTGTTTACTTTCGCTTCTCATGTTCTTGTATCATATTTTTTTCAACCCGAACCTCATATGGATTGTTGAAGGATGACCTGTAATCTATTGATCAAGTCTTTACGGATAGTTGTCTCATTGGCAATCATATTCAACTCCTAGTTTTATTTAGTCATTTTGTTTCTGAATCTCTCATGCAATGGCAGTACCTTTCCAATTACTATTTATGTGCTGCATTTGAATATGTATCGTAACACTTTAAAGTGACTGAAAAGGGTTAACAAATCATCACAAAATGTAGAAGACTCTTCTAAACAGCACCAGATCATTTGACATTGCAGCTTATAAAAGGAAATTCAAATTTGGATAGTTCGATTTCAATGTAAAACATGTTAAAATCTTGTGAAATGAAAGAAAACACAAAAAAAGTTAAACACTGTATGCACATAGTTAATTAATAAAGATATCATTACGTGATTATTTCTGTATTGGCCTTGTTATTGGTCCTCGGCCAGCTGTATTGGCCTTCGGCTTCGCCTCAGGCCAATACAGTAAGCCTCGGACCAATAACAAGGCCAATACAGAAATAATCACGTAATAATATCATAGTATTAAAGTTACTATCTCCGCTCGGTGAAAAAGGACTGAGGTTTCTCCATATTTTTGATTTTAAAGAAAATAGATAAATCAATATGATTAAAACTATTGACACTGTACATATTGGCTGGTTGATGTCTAGTAAGATGGGAAGTGCTGAACTATTGAGCAGGACGATATAAAAAAGGAAAAAAAACCAACTTGCAATAGTCTAGAAGTTAGTCAGTCTCCTCTTTCATTTTCGTTTTTTTTATTTTCAAAAATAATTGCCCCCTTTTCCGCCCTACGCCCTGCAAATTTTTTTGAAAATCAAACATATGAGGGTCTGGATGGGGTTTACAGAAATGAGAGTAATGGGCAAAAAGTTCAATGCGAATGCGGGACAAAAAATAAATAATAATACAGAAAAATAGGCAAATAGGCAAAATAATCAAGAATGTTGCTCTTCTGCTTTAAAGTATAAATTTTAAATTCCAGATTTTTTTAATTCACATGACTAAATCATTATGAAAAAAAATCCCGAAAAGAACGAAAACATCATTAAGGGGAATGCGATTCGCCTCAAGTTTTGATCTAAGGAGCATTCAATTTCCCGTGTATTTGATTCTAGGAGCATTCGATTTTTCGTATATAGTTTATAGGCGCGTACGATTCCTCGCAAATTAGTTTATCTGATTATCGAAAAATATGATGATAAGTTAAGAAAACATGCAAAATCCACTTGTTAAAAATCATTAACCCTCGGGATCTTACCATAAAGATATTTATTTGTCTGTTCACCAAATGTAAATAGATACAAGACTTGAAGATGTGGTATGAGTGCCTTTGAGACAACTCTCCATCCAAGTCACAATTTGTAAAAGCAGAGACATATAATATATATATGTCTCTGGTAAAAGTAAATCATTATATACGTCATATTACTTAAAATGAATTTCATTTTTTAAATGTACACGATATATATAAGCCACGCCATGGCTAAGGATCACTATACATATCCTTAGCCACACACACTAGTCAAAGTTGAAGCTGATCGAGTGCAGAAATATGTAGATAGATAGTTGAAAACTATCATATAATGAATTGTTTTTATTTTATCACTTTTATAATCAAATTACTTTGCATTATTTGTAAGTCGGCGTTGGTGTATACAAAAAAAAAACACAAAAAAAACACAAAAAATATCAAAAACAAAGATTACACGGTTGCAAAGTATAATCTTTCCTTTAATGTCCATATTTGTTTACAGGAAGCACGTGTTCTAAGCGTTGTTGACATTGTTTACGTTTAGAAATGAAAATCCATCCTTAAAATGGGAAAACCTAGAAAAACACACAGACAACCTAGATTTCAATATGACAGAAATAGATCAAAAGAATGGAAAAGTTCAAAGAAATTGCCTGCAATCGAATGGTAATATAATTTCGAAGTCTTTCAATATTTCACAGGTTGGGCCACAGCACAGCCACAGACACTAGAGAGTACTAAAAACTACTATCAATAATAATAAAATATGGGCAATGGGAAGAAAATCGTGTCAATCTATACAATAAAGATACACATATAAGCATTGAAACTATTTTCTTCGCATTGCCCATATTTTATTGTTATTGATAGAACATTTAGTATGAGGGTAGGAATGCCCTTTACCGTCAGGCGTCAAACAGTCATTTTCGGTTACCGTTAGCGTCAAATTGGTTAAAATTTTATTGTGATTCGTCAAACTATCCCTATTGTGATTTTTCAGAGGTCTCAAATAATTAACAGTTACTGTTATTTTTGGAAAGAATTTATCGTGATTCATCAAAATCAGTCGATTATATAACAGTGTTCTCAATAAGAGCCGGCAACCGGCAAAATCTGCCGCCTATTGCGGTGTTTTGTGCCGGCTATTAATTCATTGACAAAAATATGACATACACGAAAATCGCATAGTCGGGATATGTCGTACATCTTTTTTCTACTAACTCGTCCGCCAGGCGTAAATAACACAATAGTAAACGTTAACCAGTTTTAAATCATTTGAGCGTTTGAAACAAAGCGATTAACTCTGTACAAATCGAAATTGATGTTGACGCGGATATTTTAGACAGCTCGTTGCAACCTCAAACATGAAGAGAACGATCAGTGATTACTTTTAGCGTGAGCCGGATTTACAGTAAAGTAAAGATAAGAAAGCTCGCTTAGTGTATCTTACATGGATTTAAACTTGTGGTCATTTATGTATTCTTTTGTATAATCGACGGAGTATAAAGTAAAATAAAACACGGTGAAATCAGTCAACATCTGACGAATTCTAGTCACTTCGGAATGTGGTTAAATCGGCACCCGGTATACTGATCTTTTCTCAATTCGGTACCTAGTCAAATATACGTTGACTATATATTGGTTTTAGTATTTTAAGCAAAAAAAATTAAAATAAAGAAGGGGGATGGCCAGAATTAATTATTGTATATAATCAAGTTCTTTTTGTTTCTTTGTGTATTTTCTTCGGTCAACTATATGTTTATTCAAGGTATTGGATATTTATTATGCATGTTTTAACCAGTTGATAGTGATGACCTGGACTAATAGTTTGCCCTTTTATTGTACAAAAATCAAATTTTAGGAAATGTTATATTTACATATATTTAAATGTGAAATGTTTTGTAGATATGTGTCTCATAAGCCAATCTTATGGCTGGGTACTGATTGTTTTAATGTATATTTTTATTATGTCATTGTATAATGTTCAATCAGTATGTGACACAATAATAAAATAAAATTTATTTTATTTATTATTATTTATTGCTTCTTATTTATTCATGATTAAACAACAGCTTGGGTAATGGCTTCATTGGTTTTAATTTAAGTTTTTGAAGAAAAAAAGGTAAGAGTTCCATATGGCACCCCACCATACAAAAAGAACACAATAATGTATTACAGTTTATTCCGTGGGGGTGCCATATGGAACTCTTTCCCATTTTACTTCTTAATAACAAGATTATTTTTAACAATGTACTGAACAAAATAAAATCCAACCCCAATTTTTTTCTAAATAATTAAAAAGCAGAAAACAGATGAACATTATTATTTGGTGCCGAACTGACCAACTAAATGCCGAAATGACTTTAAAATAGGTGCCTATTTGATCAGATGCCGATTTGACTATTTCGGATTGAGTGTAACCTGATAGACTGTTGACATGACAGAGTTCCTATTTCCTGGATTTAAAATTTATTATTTATATAGCCATATTTTGTCAGTTGCTTACTGCGGGTTGACAGTTTCCAAAGGCAACTCTGGTTTCCTCTAAATATAAATCTTACCAGTTTTTGAATAACTGAATAAAGCATAAATTAATGTTCTCATTGAATTCTATTTGAAATGATAACACAAGACACTAAGAAATAATATGAAGTGAAGACACAATTATAAGGGCTATTCCAGAAATGTCTGTATAGTGACGGGAAAGGCACATTCATAATAAAAAAAAAATGCATGGGCTACTTTAAATATTTTCCCAATCAAAATTTAAAATTATGGAAATATGAATTAAAATTTTATTCAAATAAAATGTGCTTTTCCCTCCCCAAACAATCAATTCTGGAATAGCCCTAAGTGATGAAGACTAAGAAGAACATTGAACATGGAAAGGGGTGAAGCAAGCCATGTCATATAAAATCTGCAAAAAAAATCACATTAATTTTCAATTTTTGAGGAAAAATTTAAATAAGCTACTAAAAATGGACAAATTAACATGAAGAATAAGAGGTCAAAATCTACACAGAACAGCCCAGATGCCACCTCCTGCAATCTAGATTTTCAAAAATCCGAACCCCCAGCTTAACGAGAAGGGGGGATACCCCCCTCTCGCGCCTGCGACGCTCGCTTCGGGCCTTATGGCCCTCATGATTGCCTGCTACTTTTATTTTTCTTCCTCTTATTCAAAATCTTATTGAGAACACTGTATAAAGTGTTCATTTTATCGTCATGCACCAAAAATTACCGTTAACGTCATTCGGCCAGATTTTTTACCATTATTCGTCATGAAGATACCCCCATTACGACCCTCTAGTATCGGGTCTCACTAATTATAATTTAGCGACAGAAGAATAATAAAGGATATGTTTAAATAGATATATATACTGTTTACATTTTAGTGTATAAATGAATGAATCAAGTCGGCATGGTTGATATATCAAAGGTTCAAACCAAATTATAAGAGAATAATATGATCTTTATTTGTTTCACTAAAAAGGTCTATATATATAAATATATCAGATAATAAAAATTCATTACAAGACATACGTAGTACTACTAAATATAGCAAAATTTGAAACTTTAAAAAACAGCAAAACATCAACTAAAATTAATTGACTTTTCAATAAATTTATTGTTTTAATAGTACATAGAAACTTTCTTGTCGCTAAATTTGTCTTCTTGTTGCTATTTTTTTCGTGTCGCTAATTTTTTTTTTGGCCGCTAATTTTTTTCTTCTTGACGCTTCTTGTCGCTAATTAGTGAGACACTGAGACCGTCTAGTACCTGTGGTTGGGGAAGATCCCCATTTAACTGGGTACACTAATACTTATACGAAAGGTTTATTTTGATACGGTTCACATAATATATCAGTACGAAAACATAAGAGATTTTTTCTGAATATAAATATGAAAATACATATATATATGTCACACTTAGTCATCATTTTTTTTAAAAAGCCCATAACATAAAAGCATGCAGATGAAATATTTAAGCAGCATATACATGTATTGAAATGCAGTTAGGGGTATTTTTAAATCCAAGAGCTCTGCTTGAAGAATTATATTGGTTGATGGTGATGCAGTGCGTTGTATTGAAAAAACGTTCCAGATATACTTTATTATTCATGTATACATATGCATGTACAAATATATACTTCAAGTAGATGTTGTAATGTGACATGCAGTTATACAGATTAAGGGTTTGATGGAGACTTTGCCATGTTGATTGCTATCAATTACTTGATGGCATACAGAAAAGAGGTTTAAATTAATTTTCCATTCATTTCAGTAAACAAATTAAGAAAGCATGGATTGCAAATAAGTCTGTTGAACAGAATATGAGGTTGATGGGTCTGTCCAGTGACCCAAATATCACATTAAAAGTACCAAGCACCAAGGTATGTTGTTTAACACTGTTATTCTATTCACTTACACATTATTAGCATTGCTATAAATGTATCAGTTAAGTTGAAAACTTTTAAGTCAATGTTCTGGCATAAGAGTCTAAGAGCAGATATTTGAATCTATAAGTCTGACAATATTTCTCCATGAGTATACATTGTAGCTACTGTGACTCACGATTGACATCCAGATCTAGGTCTTTGTCTGTGAAAATTTTGTTAAGCTAGGGGTTGACACTAATGCTAGCCTGTTACCCTGAGACTTGTTAATTCATGATTGATTAGAAGAAGAGTAGTCCAACATTGTCCAATAGGCCAGTAAATAAAATTATAAATTGTTACAAAAGTAGCTTGATCAGAAGAAACAATATGATAAGAAAGCTGCCATTTAATTTAAACCAACTTTCTGCGATTTTCCAGTTTTCTTAATGCACTAGTACTTATTCAAGGGATGATTCAAGTTTTGCACATTTGCAATGATTTATTTTCAAACTCTTTTTCTACTTGTGAAAATCGTGAATAATGATTTTGCTTACAGTGTATAAACAGTAGACGTGTTTGTAACAGTATGAAAAAGAATTGATTTAAAATAACATGCATGTTTATAGTTACAGATCAATGAATGTTTATTGTTACTATAATCAAATTACTTTCTTTGTTTCAGGAATTGCTTAACAGTGAAAATAAGAAAACACAAAAGAAAGAGAAGAAAACTAAACAAACAACAGTTATTAAAGGTTTGTTAATCGTATATAAAACCTCTCTAAATAAATCATTTACTGAAGCCTGAAATGTGTCTAAAACTATATTTTGATAGGAGTTTCATCATTCCATTGCAAAAAAGGATTAGAGATTTGTCTGCAAAACTGAGCTACTTTGAGAAGCGATCAGATGATTTCCTCGATAATTTGCATGTTATAGTTTGGTACCGTAATTTTGATACATTTTATATTTCAATGTTTATCAGACTTGTAATCCAACTCTAAAGTTCAACGCTAGAAATTAATGTATGCTAAAAATATAAGTAATTTCTTCAAGACCTCTCACTACAGCTATGTATTACAGTAAATCGGTACTTACTCCTCTGAATTAATTCATGGATGGCTTAGTACTTGGTTTTATCCAGTTTGGGGTCACAGTATTTTTGTTTCTGTCTGTACAATAACAAATGATCTCAACCACTTGGTTTTAGATTCAATGTGAAATGGTCAAGTTTATCTGACAAATGTCCAGAATATTGTTCCTGACGTATGGCTTATGTTTACGTAGAAACTGAGATTTTCAGATTTCTTTTCCTGTTGTATAGATGAAATTTGTTATTTTATTTGATTAACCTGATTTATTCTCCTTGCAACAGTAGATTAACAAGATAAGAAAAGAGGAACAGGATAAGGCCACTTATTTGCCGTTTGAGTTCTAAAATCAGGTGTTTTAAATCTATAAAAAAAAAACAGCCTTCATACATGTATGTTCGCTAGACTTTTGGCTGAGATATCATTTTAAATTAATGACTCTTATCATGCTATCTTTTTCTAAGGTTATGAAGTTTTCTCACCTATGTTGATGATTGGCTTCTGCTAATTAGATGATTTAAGATAATTGACCAAATACTAGATCATAATTATGTGTCTTGCTTCATTTTATAATAATGTGATAAAACATGGAAATAACATCCAGAACAAAATACCTTTATAAATATGCTTAAAATATGGCCTCAAGTTATCTTAGAAATATTGAATTTTGTTTTCAGGACATGTACTAACAACCCACTTATGTTAAATTTTTCAAAGATGCTTTATATTGGCTCGTTTTATAGGTACATTTTCTATAGGAAGTGATTTATCAGAATTGATTTTTTTTGGCATTCATTTTATCTTGCAACTTTGCCTTGAAAATCTGGATGATTGCGCTTAAGTGCCCTTTGGGTCAACTAGCACCCTTCTGCCCTGAGATTCAAACTGGAACACTGATAGTTGTTTTCAATATTACAGAATTAGAAGAAGAAGCCAGTATTCCTCCTGCTAAAACTTTACAGTTGTCAGAACCTTTGGTTAGATATTGTGTGTGCATGTTAGAAACATATGGAGAAGATTATAAGGTAATTATGTTTGCACCGCTATAATGAGAGAACCCATGGTAACAGGATTTGTTTAATATAAGGAGATTGTGTAAGGTATGAATGGGTCTACCACTATAATGTAAGAAGCCATGGTTATATGCTATTTTTTTATGTTAAGAAGAATGTAAAATGAAAAATTGCTGGTCAGACCAAATAAAGTCATCAGCGCCACTTGATGTTAGTACTTTATACTGACTCCATGCTAATAAACCATACTCCACAGGGATGGCTGGTGCTGATGGGAAACTAGTTAAAACATCAAATAAACAAGCTTTATTAAAGGATGAATTTGCCAAAAATAGTACACCATATACGGCATATATGAATCTATCACTTCTACCTACATGTACAATTAAATGGACAAAGGGAAATAACTCAATCCACAATGCTTCCAAAATATGTTTCTTTGTACAATATTGCTATGTTTTATTTAAAGTTTACTATGCAAAATGTAAGCAATCATTACTTCATCAGTGTTCACATCCACTTTGATTTTCATTATTTTCTAATTTGTATTGTTTAATTTCCTAAGTTTACTGATTACAGTGGGTTGATATTAAGCATGTTTTGTATCTTGATTTTAGGCTATGGCAAAAGACAGGAAAAATTATTATCAAGACACACCAAAACAGATTAAAAGAAAGATTTCATCATTTAAAAACACACCAGGTCAGTATGCGGCCTATCTGAAGTTGAAAAGTGAGAATAAATTGGCAGAACTTCTCATCTGAGAATTTTATGGAGAACATCTCACATGAAATTGATATGACATTGAAAACACATTTTGATAAAAGCCTATGGAGGATGATATTTGTGCAATTGGACATATAAATAATATGTGACTGATTTTGTTTCCTTGGAAATCTTGTTTCTATATGTTGTTATGGAGACATGAATTTGAACATATTGTCTATTTGTATTGATATTTCAATAAATCGTTTTAAGATTCCTGTTTTTATTTCGTTATTTAAGGCTGTGCAAATGTAAAAGGTATCTTCTGAAGCTAGGAATCTAAAGTGAGATTTAAACAAAATTTTCAAATTCACAGAACTGCTGTTTTGCAATTTTATTTCAAGATATAAGCTATTTAGTATTTTAGAAATCAAAAGCAACAACTGAATTGTACATATATCATCTTGCATGGTCTTTTATCTTTGGATTAGTGATTTCATTCACTATGTCAGCAGTGTATGAAAATTAATTTAATCAAATCTTGTTAGATGCTGTAAATTACTGTAACAGAATATTTTATAAAACCCATACTGACAGGAAACAAATTACAGGAACAAATAAACTTGTCCACTTTAATTTTAAGTATATTGATAGTCATTTATACTTAAGGATTCTTATTGATAAAGTTGAAGTCAAACTTACAAAGAAATCATAAATGCACTTATGACCTTGGCTATTGCGTAAAGTCTTTGGGGCAGTTGACCACCAATATTATTTTCCAAGTGTCATAGCCACAGTGTAGTCTTTCTTTTTAAGGCTATCACTAAATAATACTTATAATCTAATATTCACTTGAAATGAGTAACATGACAGTTGCAACAAGTAGACCTGGTATGGAACGTTTTCCCTTTCCAGAGCACCTGAGCTGATTGCTGGATTTTTGTTGGTTTTCAGTTTCCTAATCTTTGGTTTCTGTGTCATGTTTTTATGCCCCACCTAGGGGCATGTTTTTAGTCTGTGCATCTGTCCATTCGCCCGTCTGTCCCGCTTCAGGTTAAAGTTTTTGGACAAGGTAGTTTTTGATGAAGCTGAAGTCCAATCAACTTGCAACTTAGTACACATGTTCCCTATGATATGATCTTTCTAATTTTAATGCTAAATTAAAGTTTTGACCCCAATTTCTGAACTGAACATAGAAAATGATAGTGCGAGTGGGGAATCCGTGTACTATGGACACATTCTTGTTTACAATGTTGTGGTGTTATTTTACATTCTTTAGATTTTATGCCAATCACTCCTATTTATTTTCTAATAAAAGTCCAAAAAAATACTGACCAATTTTTTTAAACAAATGGCATAGATAGAAACTTATGATTCAATGTTTGTCCTTGAGGCAAATCTGACCAATGGCAGCTACCAAACTGTTATACCAGAATATTTTAACTGTTCCTTTAACTCAATAAATTTAAATTCACTCGGTTGTCTCCTGTAAATGTACTCACCTGAGGCTAGGGAGCACATGGGTTTAAACCCCAGCCCGGTCAAACAAAAGATTTGAAAATTGGTATTTGCTGCTTCTCTGCTAAGCAATTAGCATTTATGAGTAAGAGAAAAAGATTGGTTGGTTAGGGGACTGTAATATTTCAATGTGGGAAATCCAGCTCATCATGTCATACTCTTAACAAAGCAGGGTTCAAATTTAAATCAATTCAACATTTTCTTGTCCTGATATTCATGTAATATTTGCAACTGGATGATAAACACCAATTTGTCCTTTCATTAATAATTCCTTTGTGTTCCATTATTTAACCCTGGACCTGTAGTACTATTTATGCTAGCAATCTGACAGCAGACTAGATTTAAATGGGTCACTTTAGCATATTTAGAGGTTCTACAACCTTTGTAATGGTTTGTAAAGATAAGTTTTATAACATTCTATGGCCATACCACTCCTAGATCAAGCTCATTTGAAGGCCGTATGGTTGCCCACATTGCTTACATCCACTTTATTTGAACTTTAGTGGATAGTTGTCTCATTGGCAATCATACCTCATCTCCTTATTTTTATATCAGAATGACTATTGAAGACATTGTAATATGTGTGCTAATGTATGCTCAATGGTTTTATAGTATGTAGGATCAAAAGTACATCTTCGTTTGTCACTATGCAATGATATGGGGATTAGGTGTGTATGGCAAATTATTAATAGTCTCTAAATTTCATTCACTAATTTTCTTGAATTAGGGCTATTTAGAGCTATTGTTTAAACATGTCTTTTGTTGAAGAACATATAGTATATGTTGTTTTTTTTTTGTGTGTTGTTGGATTCCTTTAAAATCAGTTAGTAAAATGTTTAATGATAAAGTTATGATCACCTCAGAAACTTGTTGGTCACCTTCAGGATCAGGTTGATTGTCATAGGTTTATTTGTCATGTTTGTATTTTATTTGTTCTAATCAGTATTTAGTTCTATGTTATTGGACTGGCATATACATGTATCAAGCTTAAACTGTTACCCCCTGAAGACATCTTAGGCAGAGCTGGTGTATGACAGTTCTTAGTCTTTCTGTGCATTTTTAGTCATTTTTATATTATTACAGGGTATGTGAATAGCCTGGATTAATTTCTCAAGTTGTGCAAGAAAACTTGCATTGAAAAGTTTGGATTGATCCCTTTGAGTTAACTTTAAACCACTGTTAATGAATTAGTATCTACACATGTAGCAAATCTCATTAGTAATGGCATAAGGTATATAGTTGCATAGAATTTTTATAGATTTGTTATTTTAAAACAAATTTTGTTTTTTGTCTTTGTCCTCTGTTCCTCACAACTTGTTTCCTCTACAAGACCATTTGAATAAGATAAACTCATTGCTTAACAGCAGATTTATTTTCAATCATCATACAAATAAAACAAAGAGAAAAAAAATTAACATAGATGTTAAGAAGACATAACCTAAACCATGTGCAAAGAAAATAACAAATTGCAGCATGACAAAATCCATTTAATGATATTCGAACCTGAATAAAATGGCAATGAATGGCAAAACATGTACAATGTCAATAGTTTTACAACAAAATATTGACATTGTCAAAAGTTTATTACATGATATTAACATCATCAAAATTTTATAACATAATATTGTCATCCTCAAAAGTTTTTTCACAAAATGACAATGTTGATAGTTTGATAAATAATATTGACATTGACATTAGAATGCCAGAAAATTAACCCCTCAATTTTGCTGGGATATTGAGTATAAGCTATATTTAGTATGAAGTTTTACTTGTGTTGACAGTACTTTTTGTCTTACTACAGAATTTTGACAGTGTTCTTTGTAGAAAGTATCTCCAATTCATTAGGAAGTTATTTCAATTAAAACTCATGATACTGTAACAACAAGCAAGTATTCCACTTGTTGCAGAGTAGAAGCATATAAACACAACCAATTTCAACTTGCCATAAGATTCAAGTTCAAACATTAGAATGATGACAATTTCTGGCAGTTCTTGATGATAGATCAATTGTAAAAAGAGTAAAAAAAGATTTAGCAAAATGCATGTAGTAGACACACCCACACAATGTTCAAAGAAATAAAAAAAATATTAAGGTCAAAGTTCTACACTTTAAAACTTTCTGTTCATGATCTATTACTTAAACAGTACTGTATTTTAATCTTAAATAGATGACTATCATCTGTCTCCTCAGATGTTACAATAATCATGATAATACTGATTTAATGCTCCAGGTTATGGAGAAAATATGTACCTTTTACTTAAAAAAAATTTAAAATCCTTTACAAGCATAAGTCAGGTTGTAAAATACAATTTACACCTTTTATCCAGTAGAAAACATATTTAAACAGTTTCATGTGTATATTCAGAATAAATCACGAAAAAAAACTGGTTGTATGGAAATATTGTAATATTTTACACTTAACATGTTATAAAGGTTTTTAATCAGCTAAATAATTACAAAGGTTGAAATATTTTCATAGTGCTTTCCGATTGTTCAATTGTTATTTCTTTTCTTTTAAAAATGCTTCATAGAATTTCAAATAATTAACAAAGATACAGGGTGATAGCACCTTTGAAAACATTTGTAACTTTATATTTATCAACAAACATCAATAATACTGTGATGGTAACAATTCCAAAATGTTAATAAATAAATAATTAATACTGTTTCCAATGTGACAAATTTAATTTTTCAAACTATCTATCTATTGGTCTAGATAGTGTTTCAATTCGTTTGGGAACAACTCCTTTCAGAGCAGTTTCTTTAACTAAGAATGCATCAGGATTAAATTGCACATGGTCCATAGACGCTCTAACTATAGGTTTTGATAGTTCATCCACACGAGGAGTTGCAGTGGCACGCCTTGCTGCTTTGGAAATGGGCCACATCTCATCTTTTGGTTTTTGATAGGAATCTGGAGTTGATTTTGATCTAGCTAGTTCAGCACATCGTTCAGTTGCAGATGCATTTTTTGCAGAGACAGGAACCTGAAAGAAAGAAAATACATATCCAAAATATAGATATAATAGTAAATAAAAACCTTGACTGGTTTTATGTCAAGGTTTGCTATGTAGTTTATTGGTTATGCTTAGATATGTTGAGCTTTTTAAACATTGATTATATAAAAAAAGATTCAACCGAGTATAATTGATCGTTTTTTGATAACATTCCATTAATTTGGGATGAAGATGAACAATGCACTAAATCATTTGATTGATGGTTGTTGTTACATGTAGATCAAACATGGCATGATGCTTCCAAAAAATCCTAATCTCGGAAACAATTTTTCTATATTGCTATTTTTGTAATTGTCTGAAAATATATTACGGTAATAGTATTCTAAAATATGACATCGTTGTTGTCTCTTAATATAAAGAGAATAGATTTTTTTTTAATTAACTTACCGACCATACAGGATCTCTAAATGGTCCTTCAGGCCTTTTCTTAGGGAAAGACAAACTTTGGGTTCTTTCACTTGGTTCACCTTTCAAGGCAGATTTTGGTATGATTGTTTCTATTTGTCGTGCTCCTTCATATTCTTTAGGTGGCTGTTTAGGTTCTGCCAATTGTCGTGTTCGAGGCCGGTCTTCAGCCTGTTGTGCTCCTTTACCCACAAGCCATATTGGTGTATTACGTCCACAGCTGTATAAATACTCCCGCCTAAAATATGAAATAAACTTTAACTTAAAGAGGATAAACATATATATCATGTAATGGTAGCATGAAGCAGATTCTTAAAACATAAAAACTTTCTAGTTCTGCTGGAAGTGTACATGAACTTAAAATTGCGATAAAAAATTCCATATCATAGCAAAAATGAACCACCAACAACATACCCTGTTTTATAAGTTTAAAGCATTTGTAAGGATTTAATATTCGACAAAATTACTCCAAGATGTTTGGTAACCAAAATATATTTATTAATATTGGTATAAATTAGTGTAGAAGCTATATAACTGTTACTGACTAAGAAAGAAAAAAACATAATTGGCAAATAAACAATTGATGAAAAAATTAAGTAATGGAAAAGTATCTTGAGCTCGTCAAAAGATGTCAAACAGTGCCTTCAAGACATTTACTAAATTCCAGGAGTATCAAATACAGAAGGAATTTCCCTGGCTTTTGAATTTTGCATCAGTGAATAATTGACAAAAAAGAATTTTACGATAAAAACCATTCAATGTTCTTGATGAAATTCATCTTCTTGACTCATTTAAACTCATTGTTTGCTTTTTCTGAAGGTACAACTCTCACAAATAAACCTGCATGGTTACGATTCTTAAGAAAGTTAACTTGTGCACTAGAGAACGATATTCTCAATAAGGGAATATACCTATTAATACATAAATAGCTACTTATATAACATTATTAGGGCAATGGTTAATAGCAGGAAGCAATATTACAGAATTTCAAATATAATTGATGTAAATATGAATATTCAACTCAAGTTAAAATATAATCAAAACAAAAACAGAAAGCAACATTCTGATTAAAACAACATGACTTCATTGTTTTAAAAATCAATGTATTCGTTTTAGGAAAAGGTATAAACAGTGAATTTCTTTTCTTGGCTATGATAAGTTGAGAATTGAATTTAGAGTTTCTTTAATAGTATTTTAAGGATTTTGAGTGGTTATTGAATAATGGCATTATGTTTTGTTATAAAGATTGACATTAAGAATGCATTAAGTCGCATGCTGATATATCACAAATTTTTTTGAGGAATTTGTTTTAAATGCTTATGACGTCAATACAATCTAAGGCATTATATTTTACTTTTTAAGATAAAAACAGTGAAGACTAGAGATCTCATAAGCACGGATTTGATTTCTTATTCTTTATGGTATGTGGGGTCCGTTGAATGACTTGAAACATATCAGTGTTTAATTGCCATATATAGTAAGTTAATGACTGTTATAAGTTGGTAGCATTAGGCCATTGTTTAAAAGCATGAAAAGTAATGATAAATATCATTTTAACATTTTCTGTAACAGTTAGTTTGTGACAATGTCTTACGAAAATCATGGTAAAAGCATTCTAATATTTAAGGAATGACTTAATATTTTTTCTGTCTATGAAGAAATAACATCAAAAATGTGGTGCACACTGAATAACTGGCGTAGCAGGTTATTTTAAAGTGTGCACCACATTTTTTATGTTATTTCGAATAGACAGAAAAAATATTACAGTCATTTCTTATAAATTAATTCTAAATTCCATTTTAAACCAGAGTAAACCATGAAAAAACGTTGATGACGTCACGGTCACATGACAAAATTATGTCTATGAGCTGATAAACAAAACAACGTCAGCCAATCAGAAGACGCATTACATCCAAAATTAAATTATTCATTGATAGATGGAAACTCTTCTTTTTATAGTAAAAGAATAATACCAAAGGGACATTCAAACTCGTAAGTAAAAAATAAACTGACAACGCCATGGCAAAAGTTTAGTAAACCTAACTAGTAAATGTAGTTTGTTAAAGCAACAGCTATTAAAATAATATTATTGGACAACATGTAACAATGATGACCTACTGTTGTATATAGTTGTAATAATCTCTCCAGTATACGTTATCTCTGTTCCAAAATAAGTTATAAGTAAAGACAAAATGAAGTCAATAATAAAGATAAGTTTTTTGCAGCAATATAAACATTGATGCCATTAAAAAAAGAAAATTTTATATATTTAGTAATTTTGTTTTAAAATAGACGATTTAATTATGTATCATGAATTAAAATAAATCCGCACTTCAACCAAAAGGTTGTGCGATGGGAGAAAATAAATGAGTCTGTTGACATGACAAAGCCTTACAATGTATTTCTTTATGCCTAGAAAACATTTTGCACCTCAATTCAATTTCAGTACAGAATGATTTTTTTCAATCCAATAGTAAGCAGACATAAAAGCAATGTAACACTCAAGTTATTTTTTTATGGGGGGAGGGGGTATGGTTAATTCTGATGCAATTATGTTGTATCAATGTTTCTGATTGGATGGCAATAAGCGTAAAATTCTCTATCTCCCTGTCTGTAACTAAGGAAGCCGACATTTTGAATTTCTGAATGTATTGACATGTAATTTCTTCAATAATAAGCAAAAAACTCACATTTTGCACCTAGAAATCTTCTTTTTATCAAATTTTATAACATGTTGAAGCGGACAAGAAGCAAGAAAACGCCTGGTGTTTACATTTGATGCCCGAAGCATACATATGACGTCACCTAGTTATGGCGCCAATGAAGAAAACATCATTTCGCGGATTTTTCGTTTAATGAAAATTTTACACTGAAATAACGACTAAAATTGAATGATTTGTTTATTTTGCATTAGAATAGAGATAACTGTATTGTATTTAAGCTTTGCTGATGTCCATCGGTAGTTTAACTGTCGCAAATATCCATTTACTGTCTCCGCTACGCGTCGCCAGGTAAACTAAATTTGCGACAGTAAAACTACCGATGGACGTCCACAAAGCTTCAAATACAGTACAGTTATCTCTAAATTACTATACTTTGTATTTTAAGTGAGCCCCTTTTTCAAAGTCATGGATCCACCACTGAAACAATGTTCTTTAATTTGATTTATAATATTGATTCTCAAGACTTGTTATATGCTTCCTAAAGCAGGTGAGGTGCTACCTAGGGTGCTCAAACATACAAATACTGTAAACAAAAACAATAACCTACCTGTTTTCTCGGTGATCTCTATGTAGTTCTTTAGATCTAGAAAGTTCTTGTACCCTAACATTTGCCTGTTGCTGTAGAGGTTTCAGCTCCCATACCATAGATGACCGTCCACAGCTGTAGTAAAACAGTGGTCTGCAAAAGAGTGGCAAAATTGAAACTTAAAATTGTCAAATGCTGATGTCCAGTAGGGGTGTAAAAGGGATTTTTGTGCGTTGGTCCCATTGTCTCTATGCATCTCAATGAGATTTTTATTCAATTTTCAGCACTAAGGTCATTCTGGACCACTATTAATTTATATTACCAATGGAATTGATTAAATGATTTCAAATTTTCAATACCAAAACAGAGTTTGCGATTGCCAATTCTAGAGGTATGCAGTTGAAAACCACAACTGGTATTTTATCACATAAATGGATTTCAATGAAACTTTAAAACAACCAATCTTTGTCTAAAATAAAATCCCTAATTTGATTTATCTTGTCAAAGCCAGAAGGTTTTTCAGAGCTTTTCATCAGGTACACAGGCAAATTTATTCAAGCAAATTTCACATGAATCTCACAGATTCACCTCAAACAAGCTTATACGTGAAACTCATGTGAAAATTTCATGTGAATTTCAAATGATTCTTATGTGCAAATTTTCATATGAATTTCACATGAACTTCACACAAAAAAATTGTATTTTTCATGATTTTAATTAAATTTGAAAATTTAGATGTTTTTTGAATAACTTTATTTTGAAAATTCACATGAACAAAAATTCAATTGATTTTCACGATGAAAGACACATGAAACTCACGTGAAATTAATTCACGTGTTTCACGTATAAGCTCGTTTGAGGTATAATTCACGTGAATTTCACTTGAGATGCACATGAATCTCAATTCACATGAGTGAAATTTCCCTGTGTAGCACACTTTGAAAAAAATATTTCTGATGTCAGTGAGTCGATTTGGACTAAATGTCATCAGAATCATCCATAGCCGACCATCCAAAATTGACCCTGTACCCTGGAACTATTATACTAACGTTAGTATAATAGTCCCAGCTGTACCTAAGTACAATTGAGTTGGTTATTTAGTTGAAAATCTTGTAAAAGTCATATGGCTGTAGAAAGGGTACAACAATGAACTACCTTAAGAATTATATTTATGAACCAAAGTTAAAAAATACAATAATAAAATAAAATTATATAACTTCTGTAAGCATGGTTATAAACACCAATTGCTACCAAATCAATGCATGATGCCCTCCCAAGAATTGTGGCTGAAGAACAAAACATCACCACTTCCGCTATTTAAATATAAAATTTAACAAAATCTAGCTGGAACATTCTGAAAAATTGTGTGAAGATATATACACTATTGACTGGGTAAAAGATAATTGTATGATCCTTTTCGGAACGTTACGAAAAGAAATTAAAAAGATACAATGAGGGCAATCACAAGCCATACGATCGAATAAAGACGGATGACATCTTGTCAAAAAAGAAGAAAGCCGTTTTCAAAATATAACACTGAAAATTAAAGATCGAACAAGCTACTGTTCTTACTGTGTACTCAAGTGCCATGAAAGGGGGAAAACATTGTGTTACTTCAGTGGCAACTCGTGTTTCTTATGACAAGTAAAACCACGTGATCAGTTGCATTTGGTGATTCCATAAACAAAGTATGACTTTCAAGAACTAGAGATATGTCAATGCATTTATCAGACCTACCCTAACCCTAAAGGTTATTTATTGAAACATAAGCTGATGTATAATGACAATGACGCACGCGAAAATTATTCAGATTATGCTGAAACTCTATAAACTCTCTGTATTTTCGGTGAAAAATTAAATTTGTTTCGATTTATTTTATCGCATTTAAAAATTCCGTGCACAAAAGATAGAAACATTGAACTATGCTTTGGTGTTTTGATAGAAAGTTTTTGTCAGTCTATGAATAGAATTATTTTACTTACTGTGCTCGATAGAACGACCCATTTCTCTTGATTACTTTAGGTTTAGCTAGATATTTTATACGTTCCCAGTTAGGGGGTCGTTCTATTTCTTCTCCATAATCTCCGAACAGTGAAAGCGATCCGATTCTCATAATCAAATTTTACATCGTTCGCCATCAAACTTTATTTAATTTTATATACCTCCATTGAAAAAGTCACCATGTTCAATATTAAAACCATATTAAGGCGATTACAGTTTTAATTAATCCACTACATCTGTACTGCCTATTTTCTCAATACACATTAAGTTTTGTTGTGTACTGAAATATACCATAATCTTGAAGTGGACTAATCTTAGCAACCAACATATAAGACTAAATACAGACAAACTACTCTACATATATTTTCACTTTTGTTCCCCTTTAATCGGAGTTACAACCAGGTGAAAAGTTTAACTGATATTTAAGTTATTTTCACTAGAAATTTCTTTGAAACTGCTTTTTGTTGAGCCTGCGACTTTTGTCGCAAAAGCGAGACACAGCGATCCTACATTCCGTCGGCGTCGTCGTCGGCGGCGGCGGCGGCGGCGGCGTCCACAAATATTCACTCTGTGGTTAAAGTTTTTGAAATTTTAATAACTTTCTGAAACTATCCTGCATTTCAACCAAACTTGGACAGAAGCTTGTTTATGATCATAAGATAGTATCCAGAAATAAATTTTGTAAAAAAAAAATCCTGTTTATCCGTATTTTACTCATAAATGGACTTAGTTTTTCTGCCAGTTAACATTACATTCACTCTGTGGTTAAAGTTTTCATACGACCGCAAATTTTTTTTTGTGGTCGTATATTGGTATGACGTTGGCGTCGTCGTCGTCGTCGTCCGAAGACACATTAGTTTTCGCACTCTAACTTTAGTTTAAGTGAATGGATCTCAATGAAATTTTACCATAAGGTTCAATACCACACAAAGGAAGGTGGGGATTGATTTTGGGGGTTATGGTACCAACAGTTAAGGAATTAGGGGCCAAAAATAAGCATTTTTGTAACTTCCAGACATAACTTGTGTGTAAGTGTATGGATCTCTCTGACATTGTACCACAAGGTTCCATATCTCAAAGGGAATGCTGGGATGGATTTTGGGGGTAAATGCCTCCAAATTTTAGGAATTAGGGGCCAAAAAGGGGCAAAAAACAAGCATTTTTCTAGTTTCATGACAATAACTTGTGTGTAAGTCTATGGATCTCTCTGACATTGTATCACAAGGTTCCATATCACAAAGGGAATGCTGGGATTGATATTGGGGGTAATTGCCTCCAAATTTTAGGAATTAGGGGCCAAAAAGGGGCAAAAAACAAGAATTTTTCTAGTTTCATGACAATAACTTGTGTAAAAGTGTATGGATCTTTATGAAATTGTACTACAAGGTTCCATATCACAAAGGGAAAGCTGGAATTGAGTTTGGGGGTAATTGCCCAAAAAGTTTAGGAATAAGGGGCCAAAAAGGGGCCAAAAATAAGCATTTTTCTAGTTTCCAGACAATTACTTGTGTTCAAGTGTATGGATCTCTCTGAAATTGTACTGCAAGGTACCATACCACAAAGGGAAGGCTGGGATTGATTTTGGGGGTAATTTCCTCAAAATTTTAGTAATTAGGGGCCATAAAAGGGCAAAAAAACAAGCATTTTTCTAGTTTCAGGACAATAACTTGTGTGTAATTGTATGGATCTTTATGAAATTGTACTGCAAGGTTCCATATCACAAAGGGAAAGCTGGGTTTGAGTTTGGTGGTAATTGCCCTAAACGTTAAGAATTTGGGGCCAAAAAGGGGCCAAAAAACAAGCATTTTTATACGCCCGTTTACGGAACGTATTATGGTATACCGTTGACCGTCCGTCCGTCCGTCGTCAACATGTCGGACATTAACTCAAAATTGCTTTAACCAATATGCATGAAACTTTGGTGAATTGTTTATATCTATTGGCGTGAGCTCCCTTTCGGTTTTTATAAATTTTGGATTTACCGTTTTCGAGTTTTGGGGTTTCATTCATTAAAAAAGGGGGGATTTTCCAGTTTGTGGACAATAACTCGAAAACAATTTCACCAATTTGCAAGAAACTTTGGTGAATTGTTTATTTCTATGGACATGAGCTCCCTTTTGATTTTTATAAATTTTAGACCATACTTTTCCGATTTATGGGGTTTTATTCATTACAAAAAGGGGGATTTTCCAGTTTTCGGACAATAACTCAAAAATGCTTTCAGCATTTTTTATGAAACTTTGGTGAATTGTTTACATGTATATCTATTCAGTATTGATGTAAGCTCCCTTTAGAATTTTATAAATTTTAGATTTTACATTTCCAAGTTATGGGGTTTTATTCATTAAAATAGGGGGGATTTTCCAGTTTTTGGACAATAACTCAAAAAATTTTCACCAATTTGCAAGAAACTTTGGTGAATTGTTTATTTCTATCGACATTAGACTTTAGAATTTTATAAATTTTATAGATTTTACATTTCAGAGTTATGGGGTTTTATTCATTAAAATAGGGGGGATTTTCCAGTTTTTGGACAATAACTCAAAAACATTTTCACCAATTTGCAAGAAACTTTGGTGAATTGTTTATTTCTATTGACATGAGCTCCCTTTTGATTTTTTCAAATTTTAGACTATACGTTTCTGATTTATGGGGTTTTATTCATTACAAAAAGGGGGATTTTCCAGTTTTGGGACAATAACTCAAAAATGCTTTCAGCATTTTTTATGAAACTTTGCTAAATTGTTTATATCTATTGCACTGTTGTAAGCTCCCTTTTGATTAATATAAATTTAAGATTTTACATTCCGAGATATAAGATTTTATTCATAAAAAAGGGTTGATTTTCAAGTTTTTGGACAATATCCTTAAAGTGCTTAGAGCAGTTTTCATTAAACTTTGATGACTGATTTATATCTATTAAGATAACCTCCCTTTAGTTTTTTTATAAATTTCTGATATAACATTGAGAAGTTATTGTTTGTCTATAGTCTGACAACAGATTTACTAAGTATTGCACAACAGCACAGTGTATAGCACAACAGCAAGAAATCTTTAATTGAATATGAATTCAATTCATATAACCAATTTCAAGTTCTTTGACTACATTTATTCAGAAACCTATAATATGTCAAATATTTAATTACAATCCAAATTCAGATCTGTATTAAGCTTGAATATTGTGTCCATTTTTGCCCCAACTGTTCAGGGTTGGACCTCTGCGGGCGTATCCAGCTGTGCTCAGCGAAGCAGTTTATTTTAATTTTGAAGCTCGTGACAGCTTGATTATAAAAGTTGAAAATAGCAAATAGCAAAATGAATGAAAAAGAAAACACGAAAAAATTAAAGAAAATGTAAATATCGCCACACAATGTTTGTGTTTTAGGACTAGGGTCAAGCAAAAAACGGAACATAAATTAAGATGTAAAATGAATCTACCCACGGGATTGCAATTTCATGAAATATCTCCAAATAGGGTATATTTCTCCAAAACGAATGACATTGATGAAATTGCACCCTTTTTATACGCCCGTTTACAGGACGTATTATAGTATACTGTTGTCCATCCGTCGTCAACATGTCCGACAATAACTCAAAGACGCTTTAACCAATTTGCATGAAACTTTGGTGAATTGTTTATATCTGTTAATGTGAGTTCCCTTTCGTTTTTTATAAATTTTTGATATTTACTTTCCAAGTTATGGGGTTTTATTCATTAAAAAGGGAGATTTTCCAGTTTTCAGACAATATCTTTAAAGTGCTTTGATGAGTTTTCATGAAACTTTAATGACTGGTTTATATCTATTGACGTAAGCTCCATTTCGATTATTATAAATTTTAGATTTAACGTTTCGGAGTTATGGGATTTTATTCATAAAAAAGGGGTGATTTTCCAGTTTTCAGACAATATCTTTAAAGTGCTTTGATGAGTTTTCATGAAACTTTAATGACTGGTTTATATCTATTAAGATAACCTCCCTTTATTTTTTCATAAATTTCTGATATGACATTGAGAAGTTATTGAACTTTATTCCTTTAAAAAGCGACGGGCGTATCATGCGCTCTCATGGCGCAGCTGTTTATTCTCTGAAATTGTACTGCAAGGTACCATACCACAAAGGGAAGGCTGGGATTGAGTTTGGGGGTGATGAATCATAAGGGGGTTCAAAAAATTTCGGGGGGGATTTTTTTTCCTTTTTTTTCTTTAAAATTTTCCATTTTAAATCCGTTATTTCTGATTTATATATAAAAGCAAATAATAATGATATGGTTTGAATAGGTAAATTAAAATTTTTAAGTTCTTAGACCACTTTCGTTCTGTGTCAGAAATCTATGCTGTGTCAAATATTTAATTACAATCCAAATTCAGTGCTGTATCAAGCTTGAATGTTGTGTCCATACTTGCCCCAACTGTTCAGGGTTCGACCTCTGCGGTCGTATCAAGCTGCGCCCCAGCGGAGCATTTTATTCAAATTTTAATAACTTTCTTAAACTATCCTAGATTTGTACCAAACTTGGACAGAAGCTTGTTTTTATTCATAAGATAGTATCCAGCAGAAAATTTTGTAAAAAGAAAAATCCTGTTTATCCGTATTTTACTCATATATGGACTTCGTTTTTCTGCCACTTAACATAACATTCACTCTGTGGTTAAAGTTTTTCAAATTTTAATAACTTTCTTGAACTATCCTGGATTTGTACCACACTTGGACAGAAGCTTGTTCGTGATCATAAGATAGTATTCAAAAGTAAATTTTGTTAAAAAAAAATCCTGTTTATCCGTATTTTACTTATAAATGGACTGAGTTTTTCTGCCAGATAACATTACATTCACTCTGTGGTTAAAGCTTTCAAAATTTTAATAACTTTCTTAAACTATCCTGGATTTGTACCAAACTTGGACAGAAGCTTGTTTATGATCAAAAGCTAGTATCTAGAAGGAAATTTTGTAAAAATTTATTTCTTGTTTTTCCGTATATTACTTATAAATGGACTTAGTTTTTCTTCCAGTTAACATTACGTACAGTCTGCAGTTAAAGTTTTTAAAACATTTATTAGATTCATAAACCTTCTTGGATTTTTACCAAACTTGAACAGAACTTCTTACAATCAAAAGATAGTATCTAGAGGAAAATTTTTAATAATTTTTTCCCCATTTTTGTTGAGCCTGCGACTAACAGCAAAAGTAGGCGAGACACTGGGTTCCGCGGAACCCTTACGAATTTTTTATTCCTACCTGCCTGAACTTTTCCCTGTTTGAAAATTTTTCTTTGGAGATGCTAAAGTTTTAACTCGATCAGTGGCATCTGGTATACTTCTGGAAACTGGCCACATCATTTCCTGTGTCCCCCACATCACATTTGGACTGAAAGTAAAGGAAAGAAAAAAAAAAATATACGTAACTCTTACATAGTATCAAATATCGAAAGTCATAAAGTTTACAGAATCATAAGCCAATATTAGTATCAGGAAAATATTGATATTATAGATTAATCATAAGCCATATTTCTTTGACGACTCCTGATCAACCATATTTCTGAATCATTCAGACCCTCTACGTAACCGATCCTTCCTAATTGGTTATGGAGCCACCCTATAGAGGAGCGGAATATAACGACTGAATTATTCGAGTTGATATGACAAATCATGAAAAAATCTACTAAGATCGGGAATATTTTTCCGTTAGTTATATCCATTTTGATATTATTTTCAGGGGTAGACATTTAAGAAACTATAACTGTCTTCTATGGCTCATTTTGTAATGCCTATATGCATACATATTAATTTTAATTTCACAACAGTTGTGAAATCTTTACTAGAATATGAAGCTATGGAGACGATATCAATCATGATTTAATGGAAGCTAATTAGTTTATCAGCGTAATATGCATACATCTCGGTAATCTGCATATATATCAGTTAGTATACTCGAGTCTAAAGCTCCTACCCAAGAGTCCATACTATTTGAGTAGTTGTATTGTATGGGAATATCTGTCGTGTTTGTGAGTGATTCGAGGCTATCTTGTATTGGAAATTCTTGGCTCTCTCTTGCCAGAACAGTACCTTATGTAATAGTGGTTTACAATGGATTGCAAATTAAACAGTGTATTTAATAACTTGAAAACATTAAACAGTTTTCCTGTTATATTTAAGCAATTTGAACTTGGAAAGAAATGATTGTTTTCTGAATAGTTCCTTAAATAATGATATCAGGTTTAATTGGAGATTTAAATCTGATACATGTCACCAGACTATTCACAATATATTTTAATAATTCATTTAATCTCATTAGATCTGTATAACTATTGTAAAATTACGGTAACCGAATTTTAATCAGGAGATTACAGGAAAATACAGAACATCTGTTTAGAACAGTCAATATTTTAAATCGAGTTTTAAAAGGGGGAAATATTTTAAGAAAAAGAGGGCATGATTTTAAGATTGCTTAAAGTCTGAAAGACCATTAATAGTAAAGCATGCAAAGGCTGCGCTGTTACTACTCAAGATTTCAAAGGGTTTATTGATTAAAGGAAAGATCATTTTAAATGAACTCCTACTTACCCTACGTTTGTCCACCATTCTATTTTTTGTTCTTTTGGTCTTGAAAGATCTTTATAACGGTCTCTGCAAATACAAGCGCAAAATTTGAAAAAAAACTATACAGTTGTAATTGTAGGTATTAAAATACATAGCGACTAGAAATGTCAACGTACCGTTGGTATTTTACCTGCTACACGACTAGGAACATTGAAGACAAAAGAGACTTTCTCTTACGTTTTGTAACACATGTGATACACAGCACGGAGTAGTGCCTGACAGCAGATACATATTTTTGAATAGTGACAGACAGTCGAAACACATCATTGGTTCGTTTCCTCACACACTATTGTGTCTGAAGGAAAGTCGACAAAAAACAGGGCGTGTCAGCTGGTACACTTCACCGAGTTATGTCAGACAGCTGATACACTAAACTGGAATCAGCTTGCATTTAACGCTTCGTCTATGAATACAAGTGTAGTAGTTAGATGAAAACTAGTTTACTGATACACATCAACGCGTTATGTCAGACAGCTGATACACACCAATAAGAAATATTACCGAACTGTGTCGGATAGATTATGCATACAACTTGCTCTAACCATTAAGGTCAAACACACCACTGATTATTATCACAAAGCTTGTTAAACCACTTGATCGAGTCAGACGTGGTACATACCACTTGGTCGTGTCAAACAAGCGGTACATTATTCTGAATCGTTTCAGACACTTAATGCATACGACTTGTTGTCAGAACGAAGGAACATATCAGTGGGTCATGTCAGACAGACGGAACATACCACGGGATAGTATAGAACAGATGTAACATTTCACTGGGTTGTATCATACGAACGGAACAAACCACTGGGTGGTGTTAGACGAGCGGAACAAGTAACTTGGTTGTTTCAGACAGATCGTACATACCATTAGATCGTATCAGGCAGACAGAACATACTACGGGAGCGTGAGCCATAGAACATCCCGTTTAAACCCGTTAAATCGTGTTAGACCACTTGATCGTGTCATCCGATAGCACATTAACTGCATCATGTCTGCCAGTTAGTATCTACGACTTGATATCAGAACGAAGGAACATACCAGGGGATAGTATAGAACAGAACCTACCACCGGGATATATTAGACAGACGGAAAATACCACTGGGTAGTTTATGACAGAGAAAACATACTACTTATTCGTGTCAGCCAGGTGATACATACATGTACACAGTGGATAGTTGCAGAACAACGGAACGTACCACTGGATTGTCTTAGACAAACTGAACATATCACTAGAATAGTGACAGACAAGTGGTCCAAAACACTGGATGGGGGGGGGGGGACAAACGGATAATACCATCAGATAGATTCAGACTATCGAAACATACCATTGTGTCATATCGGAAAACCGCACCATACCATCGGATTATGTCAGACTAACGGATCTTACCACTGTGACGTGTCACGCATATGGTTCATAACACTGGATCATGTCCGACAGAAGGAGCATACCACCCGAACATGTCCTTTTGAGTTAAGATGGTGCATACCACTGGATCATGTCAGACAGAAGGAACATACTACTGGATCATGTCTTAAAGATGGAACATGCCACTGGATCGTGTCAGACAGAAAGAACATAATACTGGATCATGTGTTAAAGATGGAACATACCACTGGATCGTGTCAGACAGAAGTAACATACTACTGGATCATGTCTTACGGTACATACCACTGGATCGTGTCAGACAGAAGGAACACACTACTGGATCATGTATTAAAGATTGAACATACCACTGGATCGTGTTGGGCAGAAGGAACATACTACTGAATCATGTCTTGAAGATGGTACATACCACTGGATCGTGTCGGACAGAAGGAACATACTACTGGATCTTGTCTTAAAGATGGTACATACCACCACTGCATCGTGTGGGACAGAAGGAACATACTACTGGTTTATGTCTTAAAGACGGTACATACAACTGGATCGTGCCAGATAGAAGGAACATATTACTGGATCATGTCTCAAAGATGGTACATACCACTGGATCTTGTAGGACCGAAGAAACATACTACTGGGTCGTGTCTAAAAAAAGGAACATACAACTGGATCGTGTCAGACCGAAGGAACAAACACCTGGATTATGTCGTAAAAATGGTACATACCACTCGATCCTATCAGCCAGAAGGAACATATCATTGGATCATTTCTTATAGAGGGTACATACCGCTTGATCGTGTCTTCCACTTAATCATGTCTTATAGAGGATATATATCACTGGATCATATCAAACAGACGGAACACACCACTGGATCATTTCTTATAGTATGAACATATTATTGGATCATGTCAAGCAGAAGAAACACACCACTGGATCATGTTATAGAAGGAACATACCACTGAATCATGTCTTTTAGAGGGTACACACCACTAGATCATGTCTTTTTGAGGGTACATACCACTGGATCATATCAAACAGACAGAACACACCACTGGATCATGTCTTTTAGAGAGTATATATCAATGGGTCATGTTTTATAGAATTTACATACCATTGGATCATGTCAGACAGACGAAACAACCGGGAACATACCACCGGATCATGTCTTTTAGAGGGTAAATATCAATGGGTCATGTTTTATAGAATTTACATACCATTGGATCATGTCAGACAGACGAAACAACCGGGAACATACCACCGGATCATGTCTTTTAGAGGGTATATATCAATGGGTCATGTTTTATAGAATTTACATACCATTGAATCATGTCAGACAGACGAAACAACCGGGAACATACCACCGGATCATGTCAGACAGAAGACAGACGAAACAACCAGGAACATACCACTGGATCATGTCTTAAAGGTGGTACCTTCCACTTGGTATAGTGAGAAAGCCGATACAAACCACTTAATCATACTAATTGCAACACGGATTTTAATTCTGATATTATTCATTGTTGCATTAGTAACAATAAGGAAAAACGCCATTCTTTAAAATGTTTTTGTCATTTCCATGAAGATTATTTTCACAGTAGGTGGGAGTATGCGTGTTACCATGCAATATAAGTATGCCGACTCTTGGAATATTGTGTTAGAATAACAATTTCAGTTCTACTTACGAGCTCCTACTAACTAAACCAGGAAACTGGGATTGGTTGATAGGCGGAAGTACCAACGTCTCCGACGCCTTCGTTTTCTCTCGCTTTAGCCCCATACGATGCTCCCCAGCAACGCTTATCCATGCAGTTCAAACTTTACATAATTTGCATGTTAAAGTCGAAGACTAATCAGTGCAATTTATCGTACAACAGATCAAAAAATTTATTTTAATTAATATGATATTAATGTTTTAATAATTTAAATGTATATCTATACACAATGGTGATGAAATTGTATATGCTTTGTGACATATTGTTTGCAGATCAACCGTGTCTTTTAACAATTATAAACTACAGAATGGAAGTATTGTTATTTTATGGATTTTGATTTTGTTTTATAGCGTTTAATGAATTGGACTGTTTAATTTCGAGAGACTATTTTAAAAGGCGGACATGTTATCGATTTGAATTGAAATTTCATTTAAACGAATTGAATTTTTACATTTGACACAATACAATTCCGTTTGACGCTTCATTAAGTAACTTTTTCAAATATTGATCTGGTTTAGCAAGTTTTACATATTCAAATATAAGCACATGATATAATTGTCTATATTTACTCAAGGGAAGACTTGACAAATCTATGCCCATGTCTGTTATTTGGTCTCCTGAGATTGAATTCGGTGGAAAAGAACTTTTAGGGGGGGGGGGGGGTGTTGGCAAGAGAGTGGCAAAATCACACCGTTCCGTCGAACTGCCTTAATGAATTTGCAGATTTTATATTTGTAATTGGGACGTAAGACTCCGCGTTAAATCGGGTGCCTCGTATAGCAAAGGCGCCACGCATTCTACACGTTAAAAAACCTTTGCGTCAGCTTTTGCGGGGACCGTAGGTGGTCTGTCCCGAGTCAACATTTCTGCTCTTATCCAACATGCACACATTTATTTCCTAACTTCCCGTCCATCATCGCGGTTGGCCCGCTTTGTAGAGCCTTGCTGTTGGACTTATTGCTAATTTATTCTCGTCCGGAATGTGAATGAAATAATTGCCACTGGGCATTACGCCGACAACATCTACTCGTTGTTTGTGTGTGTATCCGTAGATATGCATTATATCCGGAGAAGACAGAAGATATACATGGTACGGATGGAGGATGTTTTAAAGAGTTACGGACAAAGATCAACAAATCTATCCCATGTCTGAGCCCTATAACTTTGTAAACCAGAAGGATATTACTCGCCAGCATTCGACTTGCGGGCTTACCATAGTTCAAACATACATTACAGAGACGGATTAAGGGGGACCAGGTATCTCTTATGGAGCTACATGTATTATAAATGTATAGACATTTTACTAGTATCACTCCCAAACGTTGACTTGCAACCCCCCCCCCCCCTTTTTTTATCTCAAAATTCTGGACTCATATCTGCATTAGAGGTTATTTAATCTAAGTTTATTCCGATAACCTTTGTGGATACAATGGTATACAGAAAACAATCATTGAATTTCATAACAAAGTAACCCTCTGTCACATAGATGGTGAAACATTAGGTTTTCATAGAAACATTAAAACATGGACCGGATTGTTTTAAAAAATGATTAAAGCGAAGTAATAATGTCCTATTTGGTAAAGAAAAACGGAGCAATACCAGCAATGTTGGTATAAGGTTCATTGATCAACTATAAATGTCAAGATTATGTCCGTTTCTCAGCTACTGTAAGCAATTGGTCAACTATATATATTGGTGTAAGGAATGGTTACAAGGTATACATGCCCGTCTGGCAAGGTTCATACGACCTTGACACAATTTTCATGATATATTCTCTAACGTTAAGTTTTCATTTTGAGTCCATTTCTCACATACGACAAGCAATAGGTCAACTATATTTGATGTATGATATGATTGTTAGGTTGACATGTCATGTGGAAAGGTTCGTCTGACTTTGACTTCCTGTTTCATTTGTCAACGTTGGATTTTCGTGGTTAGGTCGTTTTTTTTAGCTCACCTGGCCCGAAGGGCCAAGTGAGCTTTTCTCATCACTTGTCGTCCGTCGTCCGTCGTCGTCCGGCGTCGTCCGTCGTCGTCCGTCGTCGGCGTTAACTTTTTACATTTTGAACTTCTTCTAGAGAACCACTGAATGGAATGAAACCAAACATGGCATGAATGTTCCTTATGAGGTGCTGACCAAGTGTTGTTACTTTGTAGCCGATCCATCATCCAAGATGGCCGCCAGCGGGGGACTTAGTTTAACATAGGACCCTATGGGAAATGCATACAAATGACTTCTTTTAGAGAACCACTGAATGGAATGTAACAAAACATAGCATGAATGTTCCTTACAAGGTGCTGACCAAGTGTTGTTACTTTGTAGCTGTTCCATCATCCAAAATGGCCGCCAGTGAGGAACTTAGTTTAACATAGGACCCTATGGGAAATGCATACAAATGACTTCTTTTAGAGAACCACTGAATGGAATGAAACAAAACATAGCATGAATGTTCATTAGGAGGTGCTGACCAAGTGTTGTTACTTTGTAGCCGATCCATCATCCAAGATGGCCGCCAGCGGAGGACTTAGTTTAACATAGGACCCTATGGGAAATGCATACAAATGACTTCTTTTAGAGAACCACTGAATGGAATGAAACAAAACATAGCATGAATGTTCCTTACAAGGTGCTGACCAAGTGTTGTTACTTTGTAGCTGTTCCATCATCCAAAATGGCCGCCAGTGAGGGACTTAGTTTAACATAGGACCCTATGGGAAATGCATACAAATGACTTCTTTTAGAGAACCACTGAATGGAATGAAACAAAACATAGCATGAATGTTCATTAGGAGGTGCTGACCAAGTGTTGTTACTTTGTAGCCGATCCATCATCCAAGATGGCCGCCAGCAGGGGACTTAGTTTAACATAGGACCCTATGGGAAATGCATACAAATGACTTCTTTTAGAGAACCACTGAATGGAATGTAACAAAACATAGCATGAATGTTCCTTACAAGGTGCTGACCAAGTGTTGTTACTTTGTAGCTGTTCCATCATCCAAAATGGCCGCCAGTGAGGGACTTAGTTTAACATAGGACCCAATGGGAAATACATACAAATGTCTTCTTTTATAGAACCACTGAACGGAATGAAACCAAACATGGTATGAATGTTCCTTATGAGGTGCTGACCGAGTGTTGTTACTTTGAAGCCGATCCATAATCCAAGATGGCCGCCAGCGGGGGACTTAGTTTAACATAGGACCCTATGGGAAATACATACAAATGTCTTCTTTTAGAGAACCACTGAATGGAATGAAACCAAACATGGTATGAATGTTCCTTATGAGGTGCTGACTGAGTGTTGTTACTTTGAAGCCGATCCATAATCCAAGATGGCCGCCAGCGGGGGACTTAGTTTAACATAGGACCCTATGGGAAATACATACAAATGTCTTCTTTTAGAGAACCACTGAATGGAATGAAACCAAACATGGCATGAATGTTTCTTATGAGGTGCTGACCGAGTGTTGTTACTTTGAAGCCGATCCATAATCCAAGATGGCCGCCAGCGGGGGACTTAGTTTAACATAGGACCCTAAGGGAAATACATACAAATGTCTTCTTTTAGAGAACCACTGAATGGAATGAAACCAAACATGGTATGAATGTTCTTTATGAGGTGCTGACCGAGTGTTGTTACTTTGAAGCCGATCCATAATCCAAGATGGATGCCAGCGGGGGACTTAGTTTAACATGGGACCCTATGGGAAATACATACAAATGTCTTCTTTTAGAGAACCACTGAATGGAATGAAACCAAACATGGCATGAATGTTCCTTATGAGGTCTTGACTAAGTGTTGTTACTTTGAAGCCGATCCATCATCCAAGATGGCCGCCAGAGAGGGACTTAGTTTAACATAGGACCCTAAGGGAAATACATACAAATGTCTTCTTTTAGAGAACCACTGAATGCAATGAAACCAAACATGGCATGAATGTTCCTTATGAGGTGCTGACCAAGTGTTGTTACTTTGAAGCTGATCCATCATCCAAGATGGCAGCCAGCGGGGGACTTAGTTTAACATAGGACCCTATAGGAAATACATACAAATGTCTTCTTTTAGAGAACCACTGAATGCAATGAAACCAAACATGGCATGAATGTTCCTTATGAGGTGCTGACCAAGTGTTGTTACTTTGAAGCTGATCCATCATCCAAGATGGCAGCCAGCGGGGGACTTAGTTTAATATAGGACCCTATGGGAAATACATACAAATGTCTTCTTTTAGAGAACCACTGAATGCAATGAAACCAAACATGGCATGAATGTTCCTTATGAGGTGCTGACCAAGTGTTGTTACTTTGAAGCTGATCCATCATCCAAGATGGCAGCCAGCGGGGGACTTAGTTTAATATAGGACCCTATGGGAAATACATACAAATGTCTTCTTTTAGAGAACCACTGAATGCAATGAAACCAAACATGGCATGCATGTTCCTTTTGAGGTGCTGACCAAGTGTTGTTACTTTGAAGCTGATCCTTCATCCATGATGGCTGCCAGATGGGGACAATGTTTAACAAAGGACCCTATGGATGATACATACAAATGTCTTCTTTTAGAGAACCACATACTGAATGGATTGAAACCAAACATGGCATGAATGTTCCTTATGAGGTGCTGACTAAGTTTTGTTACTTTGAAGCTGATCCTTCATCCATGATGGCCGCCAATGGGGGGACTTCCTTTAACATAAGACCCTATGGGAAATACATACAAATGCTTCTTCTAGAGGTGCACTGAATGGAATGAAACCAAAACATGGCATAAATGTTTCTTATGAGGTGCTGATTAAGTGTTGCTACTTTGTTGCCGATTTACTGTTCAAGATGGCCACCAGGATTTTTTATTAAATTACAGGACCAATATTAAACCAAATTTGGCCTCACTCATTATTAGGGTATCTGTTATGATTTTAATCTATTTTTACATGATTTCCAAAACCAAAGTAGAATCAGGTGAGCGACACAGGCTCTTGAGAGCCTCTAGTTTCAGACACTTTAAGCAATATTTCAACTTTTTTGGCGTATGTATTATGGAAAGATTGTGAATTGTACTTGTTCGTCTAGAAGGGTTTCGGTGATCTGACCATCCGACCTTGGTGATGTTAAGTGTATGTGATATTTGTCGTTAAACTGTTATCTTTAAAACTTTCAACATACAATTCAGTCATGATCAGTAAAACAGGCGAGACATTTCAGCGTGTGCACTCTAGTTTAATTTAAATTCAAATACACAAACATAAAAATTTAAAGAAAAAAACGAAATATAATCGGTTTGAAGCTACGTAAAAAGTTACTTAAAGAACGAATTAATCATGAGTTATGTATACATATGAACAAAAGGAGATAACGGGTATACGTCAATCAGACAGCTACCATGAAAGACCAAATTGTACATCCTGAAGAAATGTAACAAAGTTACCATCTGTCTGTCACGATTCAGTGGTTTGGACCGTCTGTCTGACTCGACCCAATAGCATGTACCCAATTCATGGCCTAATGGTATATTATGTCTGTCTGACACTTGTGGTATTTAATGTCTATCTGACACGACTAGTGGTATGTTATGTCTGTCTGACACGACCAGTGGTATGTAATGTCTATCTGACACGACTAGTGGTATGTTATGTCTGTGTGACACGACCAGTGGTGTGTTATGTCCGTCTGACACGACCAGTGGTATGTTATGTCTGACTGACACGACCAGTGGTGTGTTATGTCTGTCTGACACGACCAGTGGTGTGTTATGTCTGTCTGACACGACCAGTGGTATATCTGTCTGTCTGACACGACCAGTGGTATATTCTATCTGTCTGACTAGACCAGTGGTATGTTATATACAAATAAGGAGATGTGGTATGATTGCCAATGAGACAACTATCCACCAAAGTTCAAATGAAGTGGATTTAAGCAATTATAGGCAACAGTACGGCCTTCAGCAATGAGAAAAACCCATACCGTATAGTCGGCTATAAAAGGCCCCGACATGAAAAATATGAAAAAATATGCCTGTCTTACACGACCAGTGGTTTATTATATCTGTCTGACACGACTAGTGGTATGTGAGGTTTGACTGACACGATCAGTGGTATGTTATGTCTGTCTGACACGACCAGTGGTATGTTATGTCAGTCTGACACAACCAGTGGTATGTAATATCTGTCTGACACCACCAGTGGTATATTATATCTATCTGACACGACCAGTGGTACGTTATGTCTGTCTGACACGACCAGTGGTATTTTTAATCTGTCTGACACGACCACTGGTATGTATGTCTGACTTACACGACCAGTGGTATGTCATGTCTACCTGACACGACCAGTGGTATGTCATGTCTGTCTGGCACGACCAGTGGTATGTTAGCATGTACACATCCAGACAGGAAAAAATATAGTTATATTGGAGACTCGGAGGGAAAAGTTAATAACCGAAAAGAGATAGACTCAGTTTAATTGACCTCAGCTTTCAATTGATCCTTTTTGTCACTGATTTGACTTTACAACGATACGTATTCTTGTGTTATGATGCTAACTAAATCTATGACAAAAAAGACTTACCTTCCCGACTGTCGAATTCTCTCGTACTCCACTACAATCAGAAAGAAAAACAAATGGTGTAAATATTTAATCCAGTTAACCATAATGGCAAAAATATGTGCGGCAGTTCAAAAATATTATATGCATACGTTATTTCTATGTATTTTTGATTTCATCTTTAACCGAAACACTTGAGAGGTATTCCATTAAAAAAGAAAACAACTTTAAGCAAATCATAGAAGGTATATTAAATGAATCACAGAAATTGAATTTCAATTTTTAGAGTTCGAAATAAAACCCATTTTCCACTTTTACATACACTCAAAGAAGTCTGGGCCTAATTCATTAATGATATCGACCGTCGTCATGTTTAGGAGAAGACTCCTTCCCACGGAAGACTGATCTAAAGTCTTCACAACTTTACACGTCTTTAAGACTATTAGATATCACCTTGATGGATCTGATGATTGACTCGACTCGTTAATTATGTAGAACATGTTCCAAGTCCAAACCATTTAATTTTTTGGTTTCATTGTCTTTATAACTACTTTATTATTGGTTCAATGAGGTTTTTACTAAATGGAGCAATTTTTATACGACCGCAAAAATTGAAAATTTTTTGGTCGTATATTGGTATGACGTCGTCGTCGTCGTCGTCGTCTGGCGTCGTCCGGCGTCGTCCGAAGACACATTGGTTTTCGCACTCTAACTTTAGTTAAAGTGAATGGATCTCCATGAAATTTTACCATAAGGTTCAATACCACGAAAGGAAGGTGGGGATTGATTTTGGGGGTTATGGTACCAACAGTTAAGGAATTAGGGGCCAAAAAGGGGCCAAAAATAAGCATTTTTGTAACTTCCAGACAATAACTTGTGTGTAAGTGTATGGATCTCTCTGACATTGTACCACAAGGTTCCATATCACAAAGGGAAGGCTGTAATTGATTTTGGGGGTAATTGCCTCAAAATTTTAGGAATTAGGGGCCAAAAAAGGGGCAAAAAACAAGCATTTTTCTAGTTTCATGACAATAACTTGTGTGTAAGTGTTTGGATATTTCTGAAATTGTACTACAAGGTTCCATATCACAAAGGGAAAGCTGGAATTGAGTTTGGGGGTAATTGCCCGAAACGTTTAGGAATTGGGGGCCAAAAAGGGGCCAAAAATAAGCATTTTTCTAGTTTCCAGACAATAACTTGTGTTCAAGTGTATGGATCTCTCTGAAATTGTACTGCAAGGTACCATACCACAAAGGGAAGGCTGGGATTGAGTTTGGGGGTGATGAATCATAAGGGGGTTCAAAAAATTGGGGGGGGGGGGGGGGATTTTTTTTTCTTCTTTTTTTTCATTTTTTTTTTCTTTTAAAATTTTCCATTTTAAGTTGGTTATTTCTGATTAATATTTAAAAGCAAATAATAATGATATGGTAGGAGATACACACCAAACAGGATGTGTAAATTATTATATAATAAGTATTGTGCAATAGCAAGAAATTTTCAATTGAACAGTATTGCACAATTGCAAGAAATCTTCAATTGCACAGTATTGCGCAATAGCAAGAAATCTTCAATTGCACAGTATTGCGCAATAGCAAGAAATATCCAATAGCACAATATTGCGCAATAGCAAGAAATTGTCAATTGTACAGTATTGCAAAATAGCAAGAAATATTCAATTGCACAGTATTGTGCAAAAGAAGATACTTCGTATAAATTGCTTATTTCTTGATCAATTTCAATGGGGTTTTATTCTTGAATTCTTGGGGTTCTTTAATATGCTGAATCTAACCGTGTATTAAGTTTTTGGATTTTGGGCCCCGTTTTTAAATTGGTCCACATTGAGGTCCAAAGGGTCCAAAATTTAACTTTGTTTGATTTCATCAAAAATTGAATTATTGGGGTTCTTTGATATGCCGAATCTAACCGGGTATTTAGATTCTTAATTTTTGGTTCCGTTTTCAAATTGGTCTACATTAAGGTCAAAAGGGTCCAAAATTAAACTTAGTTTGATTTTAACAAAAATTGAATTTTTAGGGTACTTTGATATGCTAAATCTAAACATGTGTTTAGATTTTTGATTATGGGCCCAGTTTTCAAGTTGGTCCAAATCGGGGTCCAAAATTAAACTTTGTTTGATTTCAGCAAAAATTGAATATATGGGGTTCTTTGATATGCTGAATCTAATCATGTATTTAGATTTTTGATTTTTGGGCCCCGTTATCAACTTTGTCCACATTGAGGTCAAAAGGGTCCAAAATTAAACTTTGTTTGATTTCATCAACAATTGAATTCTTGGGGTTCTTTGATATGCTGAATCTAACCATGTATTTAGATTTTTTATTTGTGGACCCGCTATCAAATTGGTTCATATTGAGGTCAAAAGGGTCCAAAATTAAACTTTGTTTGATTTCATCAAAAATTGAATTATTGGGGTTCTTTGATATGCCAAATCTAACCGTGTATTTAGATTTTTAATTTTGGGTCCCGTTTATAAATTGGTCTACATTAAGGTCCAAAGGGTCCAAAATTAAACTTAGTTTGATTTTAACAAAAATTGAATTCTTGGGGTTCTTTGATATGCTGAATCTAAACATGTGTTTAGATTTTTGATTATGGGCCCAGTTTTCAAGTTGGTCCAAGTTGGGGTCCAAAATAAAACTTTGTTTGATTTCAACAAAAATTGAATATATGGGGTTCTTTGATATGCTGAATCTAAACATGTATTTAGATTTTAGATTTTTGGCCCAGTTTTCAAGTTGGTCCAAATTGGGGTCCAAAATTAAACTTTGTTTGATTTCAACAAAAATTGAATATATGGGGTTCTTTGATATGCTGAATCTTACCATGTATTTAGATTTTTTATTTGTGGGCCTGCTATCAAATTGGTTCATATTGAGGTCAAAAGGGTCCAAAATTAAACTTTGTTTGATTTCATCAAAAATTTAATTATTGGGGTTCTTTGATATGCCAAATCTAACCGTGTATTTAGATTTTTAATTTTGGGTCCCGTTTTTTAAATTGGTCTACATTAAGGTCCAAAGGGTCCAAAATTAAACTTAGTTTGATTTTAACAAAAATTGAATTTTTGGGGTTCTTTGATATGCTGAATCTACACATGTGTTTAGATTTTTGATTATGGGACCAGTTTTCAAGTTGGTCCAAGTTGGGGTCCAAAATTAAACTTTGTTTGATTTCAACAAAAATTGAATATATGGGGTTCTTTGATATGCTGAATCTAAACATGTATTTAGATTTTAGATTTTTGGCCCAGTTTTGAAGTTGGTCTAAATTGGGGTCCAAAATTAAACTTTGTTTGATTTCAACAAAAATTGAATATATGGGGTTCTTTGATATGCTGAATCTTACCATGTATTTAGATTTTTTATTTTGTGGGCCTGCTATCAAATTGGTTCATATTGAGGTCAAAAGGGTCCAAATTAAACTTTGTTTGATTTCATCAAAAATTGAATTATTGGGGTTCTTTGATATGCCAAATCTAACCGTGTTTTTAGATTTTTAATTTTGGGTCCCGTTTTTTAAATTGGTCTACATTAAGGTCCAAAGGGTCCAAAATTAAACTTAGTTTGATTTTAACAAAAATTGAATTCTTGGGGTACTTTGATATGCTGAATCTAAACATGTGTTTAGATTTTTGATTATTGGACCAGTTTTCAAGTTTGTCCAAGTTGGGGTCCAAAATTAAACTTTGTTTGATTTCAACAAAAATTGAATATATGGGGTTCTTTGATATGCTGAATCTAACCATGTATTTTGATTTTGGACATTGGACCATAATAGGTAAATTAAAAAAATTGAAGTTCTTAGACCACATTCTTTCTGTGTCAGAAACCTATGCTGTGTCAAATATTTAATCACAATCCAAATTCAGAGCTGTATCAAGCTTGAATGTTGTGTCCATACTTGCCCCAACTGTTCAGGGTTCGACCTCTGCGGTCGTATCAAGCTGCGCCCAGCGAAGCATTTTATTTAAACTAAGACCGACTTAAGAGCACCAAGTTGTTACACACCAAAGTTACTAACCTAAGTAATCGACGGTCATTGGTTTCTAAAAATACTTTTGACATGATCATGAAAGTATTATATTGACTACTTCCATGATATGATATATATTTCCATTTGTATGCCTCGCCTAGGGGGGTAAAAAAGAGAGGGTATTGTTTCCGTTATCTCAAAATCAGTATCTTGTTAATTGTCCCCCGCCGCAATACGGACCGAGGGACATAGAAACATCGTGCGTCTGTCCGCTCGGTATTGTCAGCGCCCTCTCGCCTACATTTCTAAACAGATGTTTGTGAAATTGATATCTGTAATATCAGCGAATTTATTGAAAATTGCATTGTAATCGGTGAATTGAAACGCTCCACCGCCTTGCACACAGCGAAATCAATGATAGTGGTCACGATTTAAGCGTATTTTCAGCATATTAGAACAACAGATTAAATGTGTTATTTGATAAAACAGCTAACAGCTTTTAATACAATTGACAACAAATAAATAAATGAACAAAGCAAACGTATTAATGTCGACCTACGAATTCGATCAATAAAATATTCCTGGGTTAATAAAACCTGCCATTAACTTCATCAAAATTCAATATATTATATAAAATCAGATTTTAAAAAATTGCTATAATCGTATCATTTACCGAGACACGATGCAGTAAATAAAGTTTAACATAAAAATGTTTACAACTTACTAATACCAGACCAAATACCCTAAAATCGGAAAGTTCACAAACAGAAAGTACCAGCACCATGTGGATTATAGAGAGTGTGTTGTGTAAATGATTGTAGATGCTGTCAATTTTATATTGATTATTTGTTTACATTAATGCAACTGACAAACAAGCCAACAATGTGTTGAACCCTTGTGGAATAGAGATAAGTATTGTTGATATATAGGATTGTTTCTAAACCTTATTATGTTTTATATAATAATTACCTTTACTTTAAAGAATATAAGTTATTGTAAGGAAATATTAAAGATTTAATTATTCAATAGCTATATACTTGTTGGTATTGATTTTTATGTCTGCGTCCTAATTTTTGTCAGTGTTTGATCGGGTAGGTGATATAATCCAACACAGGTATGCGGCTCAAGAGGGGTATGCCAGTTCGAATATAAAAGACGACCGATCTTGGAAATCCTCTTAAGTTGCAGTGACCTCTGTAGCATACATCGTCCTTTTAGGCTAGGATTTGAGCAGTAATCTTGCGAGTTCAATGCTGACTGTTGAAATTCAGATTTTAGTAAAATTACACGATTATTAATCTTAAATTCCACCACTCACGTCATGAACGCATTGGATTCTATGCGGATTGTGACTATGTGAATCAACTGCAAACAAGCAGCGATCCCAACCCGAACCAGTGATAATGATACCGATTCACATTTGACAAAGAAAAAAAACCTTTTGATAAGTTGATGTAGGCCTTATTTGATATTTTTATCAACCACGTTAGCAATATATAATTTGAAAAGATATTATGTGGCAAACGATCTTGTTCTATTGCTGACGACAAGATGACAAAACGAAGCAATTTCGGCAGTTTACCAAAAAATCCTGTAAATATTTATTATCATATCTGAAAAATTAATGTCTTGTGGTTATGGTTATCTATAAAAATCTATACAACACTTTGTGTGATTTTTTCATTGAAATGATCAGAACATTGGTTTGATATTGTCTTATAACAAAATTTGGCAAAATCTCTTAATATTATCAATTTTATAGAGAAATTTGGTACTAAAGCAGCGAGTTTTGTTCAGGACCCCCTGCACATACTGCTCTAAATCCCTTGATCAGCAATACTTTGTAGGTTAAACTTCGTCGAGGTGTCAAAGTCGAGATAATCGTTGTCTCAACATTAAAATCTTCAGATTACTTACATCCATTTATACTATTGACAAAGTGTTAAAATTATTGGAATCTTATAACAGTATGGTGTATGTGTACTTCAACATGATTGATAACCTATAAGGTCTTCGTCTGATATATATCTGTCCATGGTAAAAAGAGAGGTAAAATAAATAAATATACACATGTCAACGTATAGGTACTTGGGTGACTTTCAAAATCTCAATTGGATTGGAACACGCTCCTTATTCGTTTTAGGTACCAAGGGCAGACACTTTAGATTCCGTTACTATATTTCTGTGTATATACTTTCCGTCTTCAGTACGAACTTTTTTTCTGTTGTTTTATTTCATGAAAATATAAACGTAACAGTTCAGATTGGATGAAAGGACAATGTTATCCAGTTCATAGAAAGGAAGGGTCGAGAAATTATACCAAATTGATTGTCGTTTGCCAAAGGTCCAGTGTAAAATATTTAATGGATTTTAAGGACTTTGGGATTTAGAATTTTAAATATAATCTTGATAATTTCCCGAAAGCATTAAAGAAGGATTACAGTCTGAATTTTTTTAAAAAGGGGGAGCGAACGGTATATTTGGCAAAGAAAACGACACTGTCCGAAAAAGAAAGCAATTACCGTCAAAGAATTTGAAACTTGCAAGTTCACGTGTTTGTAGTAACATTAAAATATATAAAATATTATTAAAAGTACTGCATATATGTATATTATTATTTTTTGTTTAGGGCCATGAAGCTGAAGCCCGCCTCCGGGTGTGGGATTTTCTCGCTGTTTTGAAGACCCATTGGTAGCCTTGGGCTGTTTTCTGCTCTTTGGACGAGTTATTGTCTTTTTGACACTTTCCCCGTTTCAATTCTCAATTTTATATATCGTTTATATCAGTGAAGAAAATATCTGAGATGTCAGCCTGAATATTTGGACTTAGTATGACATTTTGCTGTCGCACGGTGGAGATATTTTCTTAAACGTTATTTCCCTCTTGTTTAAAAAAAATGATAAATTATCATATGAGTTTCTTTTTTTTTTAATTTTAAATACAATGATGATTTTATTGACATCTGGTAGATTAAAGGAGCTGCACCTTTAATTTTAAAACATCAAAACATTAATTTTAAAATCAAATATGGTAATAATATTAATAAAAAAACGCAAACAAACTAAAAAACAAAGGACAATATTATTCAATCAATGAAAAGTAATAGTTTAGTTTTGCCGAAAACTTCTCAGACAGACTCAAGCTATAAAATTGAATGCAGTAATATTAAAATTGATCACATCGTTAAACAATATTTTTTTATTGAGCATGCAAACAAACCTTAGATCCTTCCATTATTACCAAATAAACAAAACTATAAAAAAATTAATGATTATATGGCGAAATGAAATGATACATAAGCAGGTACAAGGCACTTCAGAATTACTTTATATTTTAACAACCCCATTAACTTTTTAAGGGTTCTCAACTTTTGACTTTCTCGGAGGAAATAGTTCTCAATAATCATTTTACTGATGCGGAAGGACGCGGTTGACGGTAAACTGCTAATTCAGCTTGTGTTCAGTATGAGACATAATCTACCTCCATGGTAATCCATTTCATTGGCTTCCATGTCATACGAAGGCCGTATGTTGACCTATGGATGTCTTATTGTTTTTTTTGCCGTTGAGTTACTTTCTCATTTACGTATAGGTCTATTACATGTCTCGATTTATCCCTTGTTGTCTTTTGATTTTATTGTTTTGCGTTGTTAAGAGTTGCAATCTTGATGGTTAATACTCCACGCCAAGTTTGATTCATCTGTAGATGACTTGTTTTTAAGTTGTCGAGTTTCTGACTCCGTAATTGGCGTATATTCAACACCTCCGCGGTTATTCATATCTGAAGTAAGTTGAGAACCAATATGTTCGATTTAACAATTTTGTTAATTACAATGGGGTTGTAGTGATATTTGCCAAACAGTGCAAGTGAATATTATAATTGTATGTTTCCCATATCCTAGAAAACACTGATCACCTTCATCGGGATCGTCCTGTGAACCTTTTCGCTCTGGTATATTTGGAAGTTTATTGGCCTGGTTTTCTTTCACTCTTCGGAAAGTGTGCCTTCGAAGTTCTCCTTAGAAATAGTGTAATTGATCAATGAAATATTTTAAATTCCAAAGTCTCTATAATAATTTACATGGAGACAAAAATGAAAAATTTGGTTGAAACTGAGAAAGAAATATTCTCATAAATGTGTTAGGGAGTATTGGAAGGCACTAGTACTTTCCACAACATATCTTGAAGTTCTTTAAAATAATGTTATCATTAAGTCTCTATCAACTCTATTAAACATGATTTTTCAACTTGTGACAATTGAGGTTTCAACATATTGTAAAGAGACAGGTCTATAGTTGAGGACTGTGTGTCGACTTCTAGATTTTTTTCTGGTTATTTGTTTTGTTGGGATGTGGTCTCATTCAACAGTCCATAATTCCACATCTTTTTTATTTGTAGTATGTATTTTAGAGATGTATCGGAACAAATGAATAAGGGATTTGATGTAAATTTCATTTGCATACTTCAGAGTTTTTTGAGATTTGTATAAAATTCAAACAAAAGAAGGAAAAGAAAGGACAAGTAGTTTTATACGTGTAATTCCATTTTTCGTATTTTCGTTATATATATATATTTTTTTTTACTTCGTCACATTTATATTCTGTGTAGATTGAATATCAATTTGATCCATTAACTATTACTAGAGGGTGTGCTTGTATATGTTAACCGTTTGATAGAATGAGTGCCTGATAATGATTTTTTATATTTTATTTTAACGGGACAGAAGAGAAATCTGAAGGATTCCAGTACCCTCTTCTCACACACGAGTTAACTAATTTGACAGATTCATTCTACTTGTAGCACACAATGGTTGTGAAGTAACTTTTATTCTAAATGTTTCGATCATGTCCGTGTTTCCAAAAGATAATTTGACAGTCTATTTAGTTATTAGATCATTACATAAAACTGTCAATCACGTTACTGTGATCAACTTAGTAATGTTTTAACGGTGATCGCTCAGATACAACGACCCAGAAACATTACTTGTTTACGTTAAATGGGTCGAAACTGTAAATTTGTAGATTAAGACTTGAATTGTTATTTAAATGTTTGATGAAATTGTATATGCAGATATCAGTGAATTTATAAATCTTTTTTGTTCACGACGGACTATGCAGTCTGTGATGAAATTTATTTGTTATAAAATTGAGACTTAAACTTTATGAACATTAAATGATATTTTATGATTGATACAACAGCTTATGATGGAGACACACTATTTATGATTGATACAACAGCTTAGGATGGAGACACACTATTTATGATTGATACAACAGCTTATGATGGAGACACACTATTTATTTATTAAATTTTATATTGTATTACCTCAAAATTTCTAGATAATCATTACAATTGGGAGATTGGATGCAGTTGCGATTATGAAGATAAGGGTTGCGTCGAGATAACACACGTTTCGAAAACAAAGATATAAGATAAAACGGTTATATCGCATCTTTTTTATTCTAAGTAAAATAATTAAAACCGAGAAAATATCCTTCTGTTTTCATGGGTTTATTGATTTTTATCTTTTTTTAATATAATAGTAATAGTTTTGTAGTCTTAGAATATGACACCCCAAATTACCAAGTAAACTAGAAATGTTCTTTGAGAAAGGTGTTGTTCAAATAAATGAAGTCTTATATTATATAATATATTTGCCTTAATGTTTTATGTGAATTTTATTATACAATGTATAATACAGATCAATTCAAATTAAATTATTTAAAAAAAAAACTTTAATTTATTCAATTGATTGTTGTACAGTGTAATATAATCAAATTTGGAATTTGAAAAGCATGTTTGGTTTAAAATTTAATCACTTAAGCTTTTACAGTGGTGTACATTCATTTCATTGTGATTTTATTTCACATATCAAATAACTGACTTAAATAAAAATTCAAAAATATTTCGTGTTTAGATTTGTGTAACTATATTCTACTGTTACATACTTTGATATAACAATAACTTTCCCTGTTATTAACTCGTGTATCTTTTATCGATCTCAATCACTTGATTAATGAAAACTTACTGATTAATAAAGTATTTAAATAATGAATTGAAAGCGTACATTCGAATACAATTTCCGTCAAATTGAAATAAATGAAGATAAAAACGAACAGGATAGAAAAATCCTACCTTTGACGTCTGCCATTGTAGCCATGTAAAAATTGGAACACTTTGTCGAAGATTTCCAGTATTGTTTATATGGACCACATGGCCTGTGCTATCTTGTACTCAAAAGAATTTAAAGCTTTCGATTTTTCGCCACTTAGCGACGACCTTTAACTGAAACACGTGACTTGTATATAAAGTTAAAAGCGCGAAATCTGTAAAATCAGAGAAAGTAAAACTTGGTACACAGTGTTTCCTTACATTATCTTATTTATTGTAGAAAAGTTAGATTAGATGGTTGTTAGAAAATATTGCATTATTTAAAAGCGCTAGATTGCTTGCAAAAATTAAGTTGTTTTCCAGTAACAAAATTTGCTCCCATCTTTTAAATTCTACGTATCCTCGTCTGCACTTACCTTTATTTTCCATGCTTTAGTTCGTTGTGTCTTGTTTTGAATAGTGTTAAAGGGGCATTTAGTTGTGATTACGAGTAATAGAATTTTAATGAATATACCGGTATGCCTCTGTCATGTGATGCCTATTACTCAAGTTCTTCCTCTGTTGAGGTGACAACTTCAGCGTCATCCTATTTTTCCTTGGCGACGTTTTTAACGTCACAAAGTTCTTCCATGGTGACCGTATTATTGCACTGTTTCTATTACCATTGTAGACGTCCTGCAGCAAGTGGACAATGAATCAACCCCAGAAAAGGTTGTAGTGGACATGGCTGCCAGGACACGGAAACCTACCAGAAAATACATTGCTAAAAGAAGAAATGGTCACTACACATCTCCAGCTGTAGCTGTTAAGGCAACCAAAACATGTTCTAGTGAAGGTAATTTATTTACATAGTGCAATCAGTTAGGTTTTCTTTGAAATACGACCATTTCAATGTTTTCGTTCATACGCAGTAAGTTTGGTTTTAGAAAATGGAGGTTGCCAAGGGGGCACTCAAAAATTTATAAGTCAATGAAAAATAGAAAATATGACAAAACATTTCACAGAAAAAATTATTCAATTGATAAACCCGGCTGAACTCAGGTGACCCGGAAGGAAAACAACTTTTGTTTTACTTGTGTGAAATGTTATTGCACTTGCACAAATAGACCATTTAAACAATTTTATGTCGTTTTCGATCCCAATTTGAAAGATCGAATCATTATTTAAAGATTTAGGTGTAAAAAAATCCAGCCAATATTGACACATTTGTTTTCCTCGTTGTAACTGCCCACTTTCTACAAATATCATGAATAGCGTCTGCTTGTTTCAGGATGCCAGTCCGTATGTCTAGGAATTTACATTTTTATTTTCCTAACTCGCGTATCGTTTAAGCCATGAATCAGATTTTTAAAACCTTTGATTTGAAAGTGGCATATTTATAAGTTAATAATCGGGTTTAAGATTCAAATGATCACTTGTTGTAATGATGCATTTACGAGAGTACAACATCTTCCATTGTCACTATAACCAGAGACCTGTAATATACGTCTCAGTGCCTTGGATTCAGTTTTACTTTTTGATATCTCAACTGGTAAGTGACTAACAATATTAGGATGAATGAAGGGGCATGTAAGAGCTTCCTACAAAAAATGTTATACTAGTTTTACATTACAGACGGTCACTTCGGTCATTTTTTAAGTGTATTTCTCCAATAAATCCCGCTGTATGAGTGGAAGCTAATTTGATTTCATGCACATTTTCCGTCCGTTCGTTCGTCCAACAAATGTTTCCGGTCCACTTTATTCAGGTAGATATAAACATAATATTTAGTTAGATGTTTAATAGTGATGAAATGCAACGTGTTAGCACTTTTCGGACCTGTCACACATCATACATTGAATTTTTCAGTATGTTGAATGAACTTAAAAATTTTCATCACACTTTTCTCAAATACTACTGAACAGAATAACTTCATATTTAGTCAGCAGTTTGGCAGAAATGAGTTGTAACTTGTGAGTGTTTTTTTGTTTGTTTTTGTTCATTATTTTATCTGCCAGACACCTAATTCCTGTTTTCCTATATATTTGTACTTATTTACGAGTGAGGAGTGAGGTATTCTACACAAGATATAAGTAGTTCCAGCTCAAGTCGTTCCGGACCACGTGGATCCCGTCGTAGTTCCAGCCCAAGTCGTTTCGGACCAAGTGGATCCCGTCGATATTTTTTCCCAATTTGTGGGGGATTAATCATTTCCCCCGTGGGAGGTGTTAATCAGACACTTGAAATCCTCAATTATATGACCTTAATCCCCAAACAAGGCATCCACGGAGATAAATTACATTTAAGCACATATACACTCATTCAAAACCCTAGTTTATAAAATTAAAATCACTGATTCTACTTACAACATATAGTGACCACTTTCAACAAATTGAAGATTACGTCACAGGAGGATAACTTACAAAAACATAGATTAATGTTATACAAATTAAAAATGACATTAATTAGAGATGCATTAGTTTCTCTTGTGGTTAAAATCCCCCATGGAGATTTTGAAAAGAAGGCAGGTATGTCGGTCCCATATAGAAGTAATTAACATATATATAGTTTACAAGTGATTATACTTTAGTACGAGCGATAGAAATGGTAGACGATCGACATTTTTATTCCGCACCTAGGGGCATTATGTTTTTCGGTCTATGCATCCGTTCGTCCGTCCGTCCGTCCGTCCGTCCGTCCGTACTGACTCAGATTTCCAGTCAGATACCACTAGACACAGGGCATGCTCTATCTAACGTTATTTGACCATTAGTTTGGATGATGTGATGGATTTGAAGTATATATATAAGAGGGGGGCTACTATATAAATCAAGGAGGACATTTTTGAAGCTGTCTTCAAATTGTTAAATAATGTAACTGGTCATTCTTGCATATATTGGAACCAACTGTTACTGCATTATACTTGGTGGATGATGATGACCAATTTTCTGATACAATACAATTGCTCTTTTAATTCCAATTTTATTAAAACTTGATTCCCTAAAAGACTCAGAGACCAGGAATTTTTTTAAAACAGTACATAGCAGCTCTTCTTTTTATGACATTAATATTTTGTCCCAAATTTTTATATTGTACAATTGGATTGCAAAGGATACTATTCCATTTTAATAGATTTCCTAGAAGTCTTTCAGAACAATAATGCTTAGGAAAAGCATCTAGCAACCATGTATTTTTTATATGTTAAGACCCAAACATAGACATGGAACAATTAAATTTCAAAAATATGTAATTCCTACTTTGGTCAATTACCTGAATGTTTCAGTAAAATTCCTTGAAGTCTCTCAGAACAACAATAATTGGAAAAAGCACCTAGCAACCAATATTTTTGGAATTATCATGACTTAAAACACTTTCCTGGAACAATTAAATGTGTCAAAAGAATATATGTAAACTGCCTGGAAGTCTATCAGAACACCTAGCAACCATATAATTTTGGAAATGTTATGACCAATGAAAAGAACAAATAAAAGATATGCAGATGAGTCCCTTAGGTTTAACCTTTTATTTTCTCATTTCATCCTTGCATTCAAATGATTTGTTTCATGACTCCCTGGGTTATATATATTTTTCATTTTTTTTAGAGGGCCAAGGAAGGGAGGGGGGGGGGGGGTACATGAGTACATGTTATAAGAATTTCTTCATGAGAACTGATATAGTCATGATGGGGCAAATTTATGGAATAAGAATTTAAGAATTTATCAACTACATGTAAAACAAAAATTTCAGAAATCTGTAGAATGTGTACTTTATTGTTAATTGATAATTGTAATGATTTTATAGTTCTGATCCTGCCTGGAATTAAATGTATGTGATTTTTTATAGAATGAAGATAATAACATCTGTCTTAACTTTTTTAATGTTTCATTTTAATATATAAAAATGTTTTTCTGTTACAAATCATTGATGTATTGTTTTATGTGTACATGTTATGCTGCCCATCAAGGGCCCTTGATTGGAATAATAAATATTCTTATTCTTATTCTTATTGTTACGATCTTTTATGAATTATGAATTATATTTTGTAGTACCTTTGCATAAAGTAAAGAGAAAATTACACTTTGGAAGAAAGCCACCAATCCAGAGAGAGAAAGCTAATAACTTAAAGGAAAAGAAAAAGAGAGAAGTATGTAAATTTATTGTTATTGTTCAACAGCCAATATGATATAATTTTGCTTATAAAATTTGCTTTCCTATTTTAAAGGGTTTTTTTCCAAAAATTTTTTCAAGTACTATGGTAAATTTTATCAACAAAATTTATTTTTGTAATATTATAATTTTTTTATAGTTCCAAACAAATTATAAATGAAATGACTTTATTTGCCTTGTGAACTTATAAGACTGCAAAATATATAATTTCTCAATTTTTCTAATTCATGCAGAGATCAAAGTTACCAACAAAGAAGCAGACGTTTGGAAAGGCATCTGTTAAAAACAAAAGAAAGAGAATTTCTAAGGAATTATTGGATTTATTGGATATGGCAGATCATTTTATCTACTCGGAAAAACTCAGGTCCAAAAATTTGAAACGTCCTTGTCATGGAGACCATGGAATGTCACATGGTGCCTATAAGTTACATTCCTCTCATGAGGTCACTAATCTTATTCCTGGAAGACAGAACTAAAAGAAAAAGTGCCAAAAAAAAAACAGTTAGAGAAGAAAGAACTAAAAGAAAGAGAGCAATAATAAAGAATTTAAACTATAAATGCGATTGATATTGATTCATGTCAAATGCTGTGAATTTTTAAAGACATCATTTTTGTTTAATATGAAAAGATCTAATAGTCATTTAGCATTTATTCAAATTGTAAGGAGATATGTGAAAAAAGAAAGCACATGTCAAATCTATTTACATTTTGTATGCTTATTACATGTACCAATTTGAGAAAGGGAAATAATCCAGTTTATCTCATTTATAATACACATAATGGGTTATCACTACTTTTACACCATAGAACTTGTATAACTGCTTTGAAGGAACATTTTAAGAGTCACTTTTCATAGTTCTGTAAAAATAGATCTGTATTTGAGGTCATTATTGACTTTTTTCTTCTGTAAATTTTATCATTTGTTAAAGTAGAACAGTTCCTAACTTTCGATAATTGTTTTTTACTGAAGACTTATTTGTACTAGCCTTTGCTACCAGTTTTTTTTTTTTTTTATTTAGTATAAAAGCAGAGAGCATTATTTCCTAATGAAAAATATTGGGCAGGATACAGACATTTTTTGTAGAGGGGTTGCAAGAAATTTATTTGTTATTTTAAACATTTTTTGATAAATATAGAAAAGCAAATATAAATATAAGAAAATTCAGAATACAAAGAAGCTTTGAAATTTAAAAACAAAGCATATTTGTAGATAGAAGAGAAGCGGTAGGCCAGTACATTTCTGAGATAATAAAGGAGGTGCTAATGTTATAGATATTTTGTTATGTAGATATACAGAGTTAGTGTTTAGATCAGACATTCATTTTTGTTATGTAAATACACAGTTACAGTTTGTAGACCATAACTATTATTGTTTGTTATGTAGCTATACAAAGTTATTGTTTGTACACAAGAAATGTACATTTTTGTTGATTTAGATCTGAGATGTAAATTTTTGACTCGCCTGTCCTAATGACCTTTTGTCATCACTTAGCATCTGTCGTCTGCCCTCTTGTCTTTTGTCCTTGAACATTTAAAATATATTCCATCTGTAAATTCTGACTCAAAATTTGGGGGAGAGTCTACTAGAATAGGTACATAGCTACTTTTGCACAATTTTTGTAGAGCCTGTAACATCTTGTCACATAAGCATGACCTAGAGGTCCTACATTACGGCATTGTCCTAGTCAACATTAAAAGTTATTCTGTGATTTAAGTTTTTTTTAGACATCAATTACTTCAAACCTTTATGGAATTTTATAAAACGTGGACAAAAGCTTTTTTATGATGAAAAGACTGTATTCAGAGCAAATTTTTTTTTTCTCTCATTTATTCTGTATTTTATTTATAAAAGGACTAAATTATTTTGCAGTTTACTTTAAGATACAGTTTACAGTTAAAGTTTTTCAAATATCAATAACTTTGTTCAAGCTTCATCGAGTTAAATGAAACTTAGAAAGAATTTTTTTATGATCAAAAGACGCTTTCCACAGATAAATTTTGAAATATATATATTTTCATTTTTCCATATTTTACTGATGACAGAACTTAGTTTTTTTTTTGCAGTTAACGTTTAGACTCTAAGGTTTAAGATTTTTTATACATCAATTGTCAAGAATTTTTTGCAGAGGCTTTTTTTATATTTAGAGATAATGTCTGAATCAAATCATTCTTCAGTATTTTCACTGATTGTGTCACTTACTGATATATAAACAAGTGCCAGGTGAGCAGTATGGTTTCTCTACACCCTCTAGTTAATTTTGTTTTGTTATGTGTTCATTGTTTTATAGAAATAGTATATATTAGTAGTTACCAAGTTTTCAGGTAGGAGAATGAAGAGAGATTTGTACGAATTTTAGTTAGGACTCATCTTATTCATATTGTCATTTATCAGGTAACTTGAAAATTTAGGCTATTTTTGATACTTGTGCCAAATGTATGATGAGTTGTCACATTATCTTGAAAGAATGAAATGAAAAATTTTGTTTTGGTTTAGATGAAGTTTCATTTGGTTATTTCAACATTTTTGTATTCCTACATATTAAATTTTATAGTATTGAATACAATTTGTGTAAAGCAGAGATATGCACAATTGAGTAGCGCTTTCAGTGCACCACCTGCAAACTGATTGATTTATCAATTATTTCTAATGATTAAAGTTTTATATTGTTTTTATTACAGCACAGCAAGTGCGTACTCAGCAAGTTTTTACAGTGTTTTATAATATCTGCTGACTCAGCTAGAGTTGTTAGTTGATAACAGGTTTTACATTTGTTTTTATGATGTTTTTTACAGCACAAAGAGTGCTTCTTCAGCAATTTGTTATGATTTTTTAAGATTTTAAGTATATTGTACAAAATGTAAATAAATAAAACATTTGAAATTTAGTTTGAATATATTTTTTTTCCAGTACATAAATGTACAATATTACAATATTGAACCAAGGTTTTACTCCAAATGATATTTTGTTACAATATATCTTATACAAAGATGTCATCATGGGTGAATATATCTTTGGGCAAGGCCCTGGTTCATAACTAATTTTGCCAAAAACTATGTGTATAATGGCCTTTCTAGCTCACCTGGCCCGAAGGGCCAAGTGAGCTTTTCTCATCACTTGGCGTCCGTCGTCCGGCGTCGTCGTTAACTTTTTACATTTTGAACTTCTTCTAGAGAACCACTGAATGGAATGAAACCAAACATGGCATGAATGTTCCTTATGAGGTGCTGACCAAGTGTTGTTACTTTGTAGCGGATCCATCATCCAAGATGGCCGCCAGCGGGGGACTTTGTTTAACATAGGACCCTATGGGAAATACATACAAATGTCTCCTTTTAGAGAACCACTGAATGGAATGAAACCAAACATGGCATGAATGTTCCTTATGAGGTGCTGACCAAGTGTTGTTACTTTGAAGCTGATCCATTATCCAAGATGGCCGTTAGCGGGGGACTTAGTTAAACATGGGACCCTTTGGGAAATACATACAAATGTCTTCTTTTAGAGAACCACTGAATGGAATGAAACCAAACATGGCATGAATGTTCCTTATGAGGTGCTGACCAAGTGTTGTTACTATGAAGCCGATCCATAATCCAAGATGGCCGCCAGCAGGGGACTTAGTTTAACATTGGACCCTACGGGAAATACATACAAATGTCTTCTTTTAGAGAACCACTGAATGGAATGAAACCAAACATGGCATGAATGTTTCTTATGAGGTGCTGACCGAGTGTTGTTACTTAGAAGCTGATCCATAATCCAAGATGGCCGCCAGCAGGGGACTTAGTTTAACATTGGACCCTACGGGAAATACATACAAATGTCTTCTTTTAGAGAACCACTGAATGGAATGAAACCAAACATGGCATGAATGTTTCTTATGAGGTGCTGACCGAGTGTTGTTACTTTGAAGCTGATCCATAATCCAAGATGGCCGCCAGCAGGGGACTCAATTTAACATGGGACCCTATGAGATATACATACAAATGTCTTCTTTTAGAGAATCACTGAATGGAATGAAACCAAACATAGCATGAATGTTCCTTATGAGGTGCTGTCGAAGTGTTGTTACTTTGAAGCCGATCCATAATCCAAGATGGCCGCCAGCGGGGGACTAAGTTTAACATGGGACCCTATGGGAAATACATACAAACGTCTTCTTTTAGAGAACCACTGAATGGAATGAAACCAAACATGACATGAATGTTCCTTATGAGGTGCTGACCAAGTGTTGTTACTTTGAAGATGATCCATCATCCAAGATGGCCGCCAGCGGGGGGACTTAATTTAACGTAGGACCCTATGAGAAATACATACAAATGTTTTCTTTTAGAGAACCATTGAATGGAATGAAACCAAACATGGCATGCATGTTCCTTTTGAGGTGCTGACCAAGTGTTGTTACTTTGAAGCTGATCCTTCATCCACGATGGCCGCCAGAGGGGGACAATGTTTAACAAGGGACCCTATGGACAATACATACAAATGTCTTCTTTTAGAGAACCACATACTGAATGGATTGAAACCAAACATGGCATGAATGTTCCTTATGAGGTGCTGACTAAGTTTTGTTACTTTGAAGCTGATCCTTCATCCATGATGGCCGCCAATGGGGGGACTTCCTTTAACATAAGACCCTATGGGAAATACATACAAATGCTTCTTCTAGAGGTGAACTGAATGGAATGAAACCAAAACATGGCATAAATGTTTCTTATGAGGTGCTGATGAAGTGTTGCTACTTTGTTGCCTATTTACTGTTCAAGATGGCCACCAGGATTTTTTATCAAATTACAGGACCAATATTAAACCAAATTTGGCCTCACTCATTATTAGGGTATCCGTTATGATTTTAATCTATTTTTACATGATTTCCAAAACCAAAGTAGAATCAGGTGAGCTACACAGGCTCTTGAGAGCCTCTAGTTTAGGTAAAATACTGTCTATGACATCATAGTGACATCACAGTACAGTTGACTTTTCTGAACTGAAGCATCCAGATCATATCACCTTTTTCATTCATCAGTCAATTAACGTGACTATTAGGGGTTTCACTAGTTGAGCGAGAACTGCAGACTATGGAAGCTTCTAAATCTTTGGTTTTGTGGACTGTTGTTTGTCTTTTTGTCATATTCGTTTTGGCCATGGTGTTATAAAATTTAGAAGATGTGATATGATTGCCAATGATACAACTCTCCACCAGAGACCAAATGACATAGAAGTTAACAACTATAGGTCACCTTACGTTGTTTGGTTTTTTTTTTTCACTTATGATTTTTAAATGTTCCTTTGACATCATCTCTCTATTTATATAGAAGTATTTGATGTGCTCAATAACAAAAGATGTAGTTCTTCTTCATCATGTTTTATTAAAGGTTTAATTACACCATCAAACTATAAAGATTGTTTCCTATTAAATTTTCCATTCCTTTGAACCTTTGTTTGAACAACTAGCTGTAAAATTAATGTGATCTACAAAGTATAGTATTTTGATGCAGAAACTCTGATAGCTTTAGCAGTTATACATATGAAAAACAGTTAAATAGTAATTTTGAAATGGCAGAAGAAAAAAATGGAATTTGCAAAAATTTCAAACAAAAATTCAATGCTGACTGACAACAAACTATTACAGCACACATTTTAAGTATTTTCCATATATGAAGTTCCTCGCAAACCTGGTTAGACAGTTTATAATATTCTGTCTATTGTTTTAAATACAAAAATAAATACATCTATTATTTATACAAAGAGGTTTACGATTTTACATTTTTTCATCCAATAAATATTCTCCAAGACCTTTCTTTACTCTTCTCAACTGTTTCACTGTGTCACCTATGCTCTTTATGGAATGGACTTGTTCATCTAAGAAATCATGTTCCAGAACGTGGGAAAGCTGAAAAAAAAATGAGATATTTGTTGAATGCACGTGTACAGAAAACTTGAAACTTATTTTGCTATGAACAGTTCTTTTATCTAGAAAAGAATATACAACATTGAGGATATAGAAAGACTTCATCAACCAAGACTTTCAACTTTGAATTTATAAAGGGTCCTTAAGTATTTATAAAAAGTTAGAAAATTCAAAGAATGACCAGCAATGATCTGAGTGTTTTCCATCCCATGACACTTTATTTCTGGCAGTTTGCAAAATTTTTTTTTCAATTCAATAGTTTATTTAAGTCTTATCTCTTAGTACTTTAGGTGTTACATGTATAACATTACATTAAGTGTTTTATATAATATTTCATAAGTAATTTGTAAAGTGATCTTTATGGACTTCACAACTATATACTTATAATGTTGCCTTTTTGTGTGTGTGTTTTTTTTTTTTACTTGATGTAAATTAACTTTATTACTTAAATTTTATGCAAGGAATATTTAATTGTTTGAAATAAAAGAATATGATACTTTAAAAATTGTAAAAACAAAGAAGTCACTACGGAGGTGTATATTTATATACTGTACAATTTCAAGGACTAAAAAGTTTTAGTTAATTTTGAAAAAAAAAGATGTAAGTTCTGTTTCCTTACTTAAACTTGTTGAGAACAGTTTCATGAGCATGTTCTGTTCTTTTAGTTTTTAATGTTTTTTGTTTTTGTTTTATATGAGTTTTTTTTATTTATACTTTGTTTTGTTTTTGTCTTAATTTGTGGGGTTCATCTTGGGGCTATTTTAAAATTTGATGATAGTTTTACTTTTAAATTTTCAAAAGAAAAATAAAGATTATGAAACCAGATCCTTTACCCATAAGTAAAAAACCTATAGGTTTAGTTTTGTTCAATTAATATCTTATTCTGTACAAACATGATCTACCTACATGAGCATCGCTCTCCGTGGCTTTGTGGAGATCTAATAATTTCTGGTTGACAAATCTTTCTAATACTAAAGCATCTTCCATTCCCATTAATCCATTGTACCATTCATCTCTATCCTACAATATTCAACGTAATAAAAGGTCATCTCAAAACAAGATTTACCCTTAGAATTTTGTACAATACTAGTACATGCAAAGGGTAAAAAACGACCACTTTTAAACAAGAAATTGATTTGATAATCTTGAGAATATTGAGATAATGTTACCCAATTTATTTGTAGAAGTACTAATTGTCTATCAATTTAACTCTCTCTTTTCTCAACTCCACACTAGTTTTTCAATGCATTTAATTAAAAAAAAACCTTAGCTATTTGACAACGAGTGGTGAAGTGGATGAAATACAAAAGATAGGCGTTAGTTCGTTAAAAGATACCATGAGCCCGGAGGGAGGGCGGATTGTATCTGTTTAATGTACTAACGGTTATTTATTGTGTTTAACTTTTATTGTTACGACCTTTCTTAATTACAGTTCCTTTCTTAATTACACCCTATTATTCGCGAGCTTAAATAACCACTTAATTCTCTACCAATTAGATTCATAGTTAGTAAATAACAAAAATTAATATAAAATGGTACGAACTAACAGTATACAGAGTATGTTTCAGAAATGTGTCCATTATTGACATAATACATCATAATCGATCTAATTTTCTAGTAAAACCTGTTACTGAAAGAAAATATTTAAATCCCATTCTCGAAAGAAATAAAAATAATAAAAATACCGAACTCCAAAGAAAATTCAAAACGGAAAGTCCTTTATCAAATGGCAAAATCAAAAGCCCAAACGAATGGAAAACAACTATCATATTCCTGACTTGATTTACACTTTTAATATTTTACGATTCGAATACCTCAAAACATGCAGTGAAATAGATGAAATTGCCATAAACATCACCCTTCCGGAGCACCTGAGATCACCCCCGGTTGTAGTTTGGGTTCGTGTTGCTCAGTCTTTAGTTTTCTATGTTGTGATTTGTGTATTGTTGTCTTTTTGGCCTTTTTCTTTTTTTTTTGCCATGGCATTGTCAGTTTTTTTTTTACTTATAAGTTTGAATGTCCCTTTGATATCTTTCGCCTCTTTCACTAAGTTTTGCTTTCATTTATTAAGCAAGTAGTTTTAGAACAGGTTTCAAAACTTGTCTCAGTTGTCAATAGGCTCTAGAGCTCATCTTTGATTAATTATGATCCGGAAAAATATAAAAATGAATATCAAAGTTTGATTCTACTGGTTAAGTGGATTTATACCACGTGATTAAAATGTGAAGTCTCCGAACGGACATCTCGTGATGGTAAAAGCTCACACGTCCTTTCGGTATGCTAAAAATAAAACATGTGGTAAACCCAAACTGGATAGGATAGAAATAAACATTATATATGTAATAAGTTTGATATAATAAACACAAGATAAGATAATCAAGATAAAAGGTCTTTCAACTATTGCTTGTTAAAAAAAAAACGAACAACCTTATGTGCTGACTGTATTGATTTGGAGAATGTGAACAACCTACAACTGAAATTCACGATCTATGTAACAATAAGGAGACGTGGTATGATTGTAAAGGAGGCAACTATCAGCCCACGACAAAAAGACAAGGAAATAATCAACTACGTGTCACCTTACGGTCATCAATATTGAGCAGAAACCATACCGTAAAGTTAACGGTATAATGAAATATGAAACAATTCAAAGAGAAAACAAACGGCCTGATTTATCATAAAAACAATAAACGAAAGACAAGTATGGCACATCACAAACGACGACAACCACAGCCGATATAGGAGTATACGCACTTACTGAAAGTTACTAGTAGTCCACAGCATAATTTATAGTAAGGGCCTTGCCTGGCCACAATATAGTACATTATAGATTTAATGAAAGGTTGTCCGTCAAAGCATGGAAGTAATATTGAATATTACTTCCATGGTCAAAGGTAAAACATTGTTATCATCTTGAAATAGTAAAACAGATAAATATGTTATCAATTTTTTTTCATTGATAAACCATGTACTTTAAATAATTACTTAACTTCAGATTGACCGATATGTATAAAACCCAATTTTAAATTAAAAAACACAAATTCAATATATAAATTAGAATAAATGTCTTACCTGACACAAATTCCATGTTTGAGATTTTGCCATGAAGTAACACATCTGTAAAAAAGAAAAAGTTATACAGGCATTTTAATTCTCCGTTCTGATGATACTTAACTAGGGACAATTTCACAAATATGTATGTGTGTCCCATGTATATCTTTCTTTTTTACTGATATATTGTCTTAATATTTTGCTTATTTTCTTATTCATTTTGTTTGGTTTTGTTTGTTTTTTTTCTGCTTTTGATTTTCCAAATAGGAAAAGGGGTATTTATTCCACATCCCCTTTGCAATACAAATTGAAGTAATAATATTATGAAGCAAACATTTCATACCTGAGATAAAAGTGAAAAAGATACAGCAAAGGTCCTTCTAGAATCAAAATCAAGGCTGGAGCAGATTAAATATTACTACTTCAAAAATTGGAAATTGAAAGCACGAAATTTTAAATTATTGGGTTTGACCTTTCAATCTACTTTTTAGGCGTCCATCATGGTTAATTTCGAGTTAGAGTCATAGTCTATTTAGTATATATTATTCTCAAATTAACTATATAGAGTGTGAATGAAAAGTACTTTTGTTGGCTCCAATATCAGTGTACATTCTTGTAAAATCCACATGGTAGTGAAAAGGGATCATGAGATGATAGATTTTTTTCTCTCTCAATATTGCTGATAGTAAAATTGTGCAGATTTTTCACCTTCTTGTCTTTAAGGAGTGGTCGTATTACTTTCGTATCACACAAGTACAAGAATAAGCTGGCTCTAAATTCGGAAAAAAACAATAACTATTTTAAAATTTCAGGCACATATGATCGGTGTTCACATTTATGCTACTTTAAGCTACCATGTGAATCAAATCCGGCTGTGTTTCTTAATATGCATATTTCTTAACAAACTTCAGGTTGTCTTTTGTGTAGACCAATTTATCATCTGAATATTACTATATGAATCATTTTACTGTTACACTTACACATGCTTTTGTTCTTGAATTTTCTATACCAGAATGTTTTCCAAGTTCTTCTGACACCACATCACAAACATCATTCAACTAAGATGAAAGTATCATAGAGTTAAACATTAAATAAAACAGAATGACAAAAACAAAATATTATCAAAAATAACAAGAGATATCAACGGTCTTATATAATTGTCTAATATATTACTATTTTTTTTAAATGTAATGGCACAATTAGTGGAACAACTACTTTCAGAAAAAACGTCCATCTTTCTTGAAATTTTCCATGCCAGACAGAGAGACACAGAATTTTTTTTTTTTGCATTTTTCAAATTTTTCAAAATTTTTACTGTTTTGGGTTTTTTTGATACAATTTTTAGCAGGAAATCTTCCTATGCGCGAAAAAAACCCTACATAATAAGTCATGTGTATTTGTTGATTAACGAATAGAAATGAAACATTCTCAACCAAATAACAGATCGAAAGAGAAATGGATGATACCTTTATATCTTGTAGTTTGACTTCACCCCCTCTCTGATTCAGGTAATCCATCAGTTTTTCAGCATGCTCCGACTCTTCCTTGGACGCTTTAGAGAAAAACTTGGCAAACCCAGGCAGGGATACGTCAGCTCTAGCATAGTACTGGGACTGAAATATATGCAAAAGTAATATAATAAACAATGCCAAGGCTGGTATCACTGTCCCGGGTTAGGAGAGAGTAAAGTGCTCAAAAAGATGTTTAATCAGCTTGGATACTGAAAACTCCCGTACCAATAATGTTATCTGTGAAGGTAAATTTATGGTGAATCTTGTCATAAAGAAATGATTCTTATTTAGTTATTCAATGTGACTATTTTTTCCAGTAGAGAAGGCTACACAAGTGCTGATGTTCGATTTATATAACATGTGATGTCACGTCATTATTACTTACATATGCTTTGTAAATATAGCTGGCCTGGAGTTCTTTCACGATCTGTTCGTTTAAGGCATTTATTGTTGATGTTTTAAAATCCTGTCGAACATTTGAAACATCTAAAACAAGAAGTTTGAGACATATCTATATGAAACATACAAAGAATACAGTGAAATGGGAGCAAGAGTCAAAAATAGAGAATCCAAGAAGCCAAGAACAGCTTCACAACAATTTCTTTTTATCATATAGTGTCTACACAGTTAAGTATCGATTTTTTTATGCATTTTTATTAATTGATTTCACAAATGCTCTGAAATAACACAATTTCCGCGTATCAATACCATTTCAAGCACTAAATTCAAAATCAAATTTTGTATAATTTAAAAACTTGAATTAGTCGACTATGATTGGCTCTCATCACATTACTTTGTATCTGCTTGAAGTTTTCTTTAGTCTTTGTGAATCTAATACATTCTGGTATATAATAAGACAACGCTTGGTCATGCATGAGACGTTTGCAGTGGCTATAAGACAAGACACTCTAGTTCGAGCCACGCTTATTAAAGACTTAGAGGAACATAAAATATTACTGAGTATTGAAAATTCCAGGCTAAATCCACCATTTTCTACATAAGGAAATGCCTGTACCAAGTCAGGAATATGACAGTTGTTTTCCATTCGTTAGATGTGTTTTAGATTTTGATTTTGCCATTTTATAAAGGACTTTCCTTATTGAATTTCCCTTGGAGTTCGGTATTTTTGTTATTTTACTTTTTTCCATACCAATTGGAAGAACAATATCTTCGATTTTATCAGTACCATTTCTTATATATAGATGTAAAAACATAAATCTTACCATCGATAGCACTGCATGCTGCAACTACCAAGCTTATTAAAAACAACGATTTCATGATGATAAAAATGGATGTCCTCTCTTCAATATTAAAAGTGATTATATCATTTGTTTTACTTAATTATCAAGTAATGTACGTGTGGATACAATGTCCAAAAGTTATCATTGGGATGACTCATGTACCACTTTAATAGTTTGACCTTATTATTTTCCGAACGATTTTGCGTATTGTAGAAAAGTAACGAAACTATATTCTAGAAATATGTAATTCTTAATATATAAGAATTGTTTGTAAAGTTGGAATCTTAGATTTAAAGACAAGTATATTTGTAAGAATTTCAGATATTCTATAGGATACCAGTTTATGTAAATACACTATGCATGGTGTGATAGGGCTCTTGGTTGGCGTCGCAGCAATATTTGCTTTTTCTGCAAGTGGATTTTTTTTCACATCAGATGAGAAAGTAACGGGTAAGAACATAGTATTTATTTTAGTATTTCAAACATATTGACAATTAAAAAAATGAATTTGTTGATTTTTTTCCTGTATCTATAGGATGGCAACCTTTTTATGGGATGTGCATTTATGCTGGGACTATTATACTAACTTAGTATAATAGTCCCAGATTTATGACTAAAAATCTTATCCGAAATTATAAAAGAGAGGCGAAAAATACAAAAGAGATATTCATGAGTCGAAAACAAACTGAAAGTGTCATGGCAAAAAAACGAAAAACGACAAAAGACAAACACCAGTACACAACAAACAGCATAAGTGTTTCTCGTTTCTCTTTTTTTTTCTATAGATTAGACCGTTGGTTTTCTTGTTTAAATTGTTTTACGCTAGTCATTTTGGGGACCTTTATAGCTTGCGGTTCGGTGTAAGCCAAAGCTCCGTGTTGAAGGCCGTACTTAGACCTATAATTGTTAACTTTTCATACATTTTGACTTGAATGGAGAGTTGTCTCATTGGCACTCATACCACATCTTCTTATTATAATAGAAAACTAAAACATGTAAATTTTCTAGCCCTGAAACTTTACCGAATATGAAATTGAAACAACTTTTTCATGACAAGACTGTTACCGGTACATTCAAAACATAAAAGCACAAAGAACTACACCTAAAACTAAAACAAGAGCAACACGAACCTCTTTTAATGTATTACACACGATATCCTTACAGGTGCGATGCTATTCACCTCTAGTTAAACAAAGTAATTTTTCTATAGTCTTAAGATTGTTGTTTTTGTTTTATTTTGTTGTGATTTGTTGCGAATAACCAACATGTGTTTGCACTAGTATTCCATCCTAGACTGCAGAATCTGTTGTCACCATTTATACCATCAAAACAAAATTTAATCAAAGATTTATCACATAGAAAGAATTTATATGTAAATTTTGTAAACATATTCCCCCTTGTGAATTTGCATATTAACAGTTAATGTAGATTTGTATTTCTATATTGTAATACCTTTATATTAACATTTCGTCTAGTTATTGAAACCAGACATCTAGTTCACAAGTTGGTAGAACAGAATTTTGACAGTAAGAACCAAAGATCTATTAGAAAACAGATAACAGAATGTCTCAGGGACAGTTATCAATATTTAGCTATGGTAAATATATTCGATAAATTTTTTTTTTTAAATTAGTCATAACGAGCACACTCCATCAGAGGTAGGTCTAGGATTTCTGGTGAGAATGAACGCAACATCTAAATATGCCAACAACAGAGTTTGTAACCATGCAATGGTTTTGTTTCAACTTGTAGAAATTATTTATGTATTCATCAGTGAGGCCTTCAACACGGAGCAAAATTTCACACCTCATTGAAAGCTGAAGACATTTTAAGCACCGGCTTTAGTGGAATACCTTGCTATAGATCTCACCGGCTTTAGCGGAATACCTTGCTATAGATCTCACTGGCTTTAGTGGAATACCTTGCTATAGATCTCACCGGCTTTAGCGGAATACCTTGCTATAGATCTCACCGGCTTTAGCGGAATACCTTGCTATAGATCTCACCGGCTTTAGCGGAATACCTTGCTATAGATCTCACCGGCTTTAGCGGAATACCTTGCTATAGATCTCACTGGCTTTAGTGGAATACCTTGCTATAGATCTCACCGGCTTTAGCGGAATACCTTGCTATAGATCTCACCGGCTTTAGCGGAATACCTTGCTATAGATCTCACCGGCTTTAGCGGAATACCTTGCTATAGATCTCACCGGCTTTAGCGGAATACCTTGCTATAGATCTCAATAACACTACACTGAATAACGCTACAGTTTTGCATCGAAGAACAAAGATGCTGTGTAATATAGAAACACAATAATTTCATAAGAGGCTCCAAATCAACATACGCTCTTTCGCTGAAAAACATACCCAATGGATTAATTTTTAATTTGTTCTCGTTCTGAACTTATTTGAGATACTTGCTACTGGGAATTAAGCAATCAACATCAATCAATCAAGTATTATATATATGTTTTTTTCTGGATTACATTATCTTTTTAAATTCATGGCTATTCTTCTTCACAGAGCATGTATTTCGACCAGGCAGAAGTGGCACTTCCAGGTTTCCATAAGATGTTCAAAGAGTATTCTAACAGAGAGATGTCAAATGCTGTAAAATTAATGACATATATGAACCTAAGAGAAGGATCAAATAAGTTTCTAGGAATTCCTGTGAGTCTTTCAATTTTCAGTATCTCATTTTAAAATTATTTTTGATCGCTGAATTCACTGCTCAGTGCATGGTCTATTTTTCCGACCGTTTTAACCTTAATCCAAAATTCTGAGTTACGTATATAAGCATACTGAGATTCAAAAGACCATTCAGTTTTCCATGCAAACCCAAACACATTTTAACTGTTTACAGCTTTTATCATTTTCGTGGTTTGAGGAAGGACGAAACTATGTAAATATCGAAATTGACATATAAACTTTAATCTAAAGCAGATTTTTAAATTTTCTTATATAGTCGACCCCAAAATACATATACAGTTTACTTCAAGCTACACGAGGACTTCCTTTCACTGAATCCAAATATATATAATAAAAATGCCTTCCCGCTGTATTTGATGATACAATTCAGCATATTCGTGTGTGTAGTTAAAACATTTAGGGATCTCTTAATCCTTTAAAGTCTCAGACTACATCCTGTAGATCAGGCTTAAATCTGGATTCAGAATATTTTTTTTTGTCATCTGTTTGACCAGAATATTTTTTTCATCAAATTGGGGATCAGAATATTTTTTTTAGAAAAAACCATAACCCAAAAAAATGTTGAGTTTTGGGCTCTATATATTTACTTTTTTTAATTTAGGAACCAAGAATTTCTTATGAATGGCATGATGGAGAAACAGCATTAATAACAGCTTTAAGAATGGAACATAAAGCTAATACCAAGTTCCAGACCATAATACAACTAGCATTGGAAAAGAATGATCCACACGTGAGTTACATCTACACTTACAATTACACTGCACACATTTATTTCAAGTGTTTTGTTTATTAATATATAACACTTCTTCAATTTTTCAATTTGTTCACTAGGTCATCCCTTAGCTATATAAGTGATTTTTTTCCCTTTAAGTTGATTTTATCAAGGATTTGTATTATAGTATACAAATCCTTGATTTTATAAGTTAAACAAGAGGCCACAAGAACATTATGTTTCTAAACTGATACGTTTGAAATATCAATGCATTCATTCTGGGACTATTACCCAGTTAAAAAAATCAAAGAAAAAAATATGATACAATATGATTTCCCTGCGTACACTCATGACCAAAAGTAAGAGAGAAAATTATAAAACGTGTTAAGGGCAATTCACATAGAACGTTTAATCATAAAAAAAAAGATGTGGTATGATTGCCATTGAGACAACTCTCTACCAGAGACCAACAGACAGAGAAGTTAATAGCTATAGGTCACCGTACAGCCTTCAACAATGAGAAAAACCAACACCGCAGTCAGTTACATAAGGCCCCGAAATGACAAATGTAAAACACTTCAATCGAGAAAACTAAAGGCCTGATTTATGCACAAAACAATGAACAAATACAATATGATATACAGCATCAATCGACAACCACTGAATTACAGGCTCTTAACTTGGGACAGGCACATACAGAATGTGGCGTGGTTAAATTTGTTTGCGGGCGCCCAACCCTCTTCTAACAGGGGACAGTGGTGTAACAGCACTACATATCTAAAAACTAGTAAAATTCAGTTGAAAAGGGCCCCACTTATCAGATCGATACAAAGCAGAAAAACAAGTAACAAAAAAACAGACCGGACGTGGGATATTTATACATCCCCACAACAACAAGAGACTACTTACAGATCTGAGAGGACTCGTAGTTACTGACAGCTAGTTCAAAGCCAATAACAAGTAATAAAAGAATCGTGCATCTAGGACTAAAATATCAATCAGGCATGTCAAAACTTGTAGTCTAAATCCCGCTAAGTCTAACGAACTGCTGTATTCCCCAAGTTTAAACATGACAATAAAAAACTAGAATAATGGTAATGTTTATGCTGGTCATAAATTAAGGTCATCAATAAATAGTGCATTTCTTAAGACAAAGAAGCAAACAAGGGAAAGAAAACCTGTTCTTGAGTTGAACTTGGAGGGAGATATCATGGCTTTCAACATCCATTTGTATTGTTAAATGAATTCTGTAACTGGCCAGCAGCCTCTCAATATCAGTTTATTTTCCATTCTATAGTTTCTGATTTAATGCCTGATGCTTTTATCTTCAGGTCCTTGATTAAAGCCTGGTGGGCCAAATGTACCATATTCATTTACAAACCCATCTCCTTTATTTCATTTTATGATTCAAACTGCTCATGTTATTATGATAATACATGATTTGTTTGCCATAATTTATATTTTTGAGCATATATAACTTTAGCCACAACCCCTGATCCACAAATTCAATTTAAACTTTACCACCAATTGTTTAAAGACCATTAGACTGTTGGCAGTTTTAGTATGCTTATACAGTATCTTAGTCAGTATACATACTAGAGTCATACAAATGAATTGCAACCAAATAATAGAAATCAGAGTTAGATCAATAAATAAGGTAAAACCTAATGTTTACTTAGGAGATTTTGTGTCCTAATGTTACATAAATGTATAAACATTGATGAAATAGAATTACATTGACTTCTGAACTGCTCATGTTAGATTGTGTAATGTGAAACAAGATGAACTTGTATAAATAATGAATGAATCTATATTTATTCTTCCAGCTAAAACAGTTTATAGAGGATAACTTCCTGGACCAAAAAGTTAAAATCATTAAAGAACTTGGAGATAAAGTAACACAGCTTGGAAAATACAGTTCAGAAAAGAAAGGGCTGGGATTACAAATGTTTGATAACACATTACTTTGATCTCTGGTGTGCTACTACCACTGTGATATTATCTCTATTGAGATTTGGTGTGTACTTATATGAATAAATTGGATCAAATAATTCATTCTTTTTCATTATATTTTCTCAAATCTTACACTTTCACAAGTTAGGCTTTCAATTATGCTTTTATACAACAAAGATTGTATTAAGCAGAACTAGGAAAACAACAGAAAACCGGCTTAAAGGAAATGTAAAAACTTAACAACACAATGTTTACCAAATTTTACCAAGAGACCAGGTCAACCTATGCAATGTAGTGATAGAAAAATGTCACTACTATTTGCTGTGCTGTATTTTACAGTTTGTTCTTATGTTGTACTGTTATACCACTGTCCCTGGTTGGGGAGGGTTGGGCGCTTACAAACATGTTTAACCCCGCCACATTCTTTATTTGCCTGTCCCAAATCAGGAGGCTGTAGTTAAGTGGTTGTCGTTTGTTCATGTCGGTCATATTTGTTTTTGCTTTATTGATTGTCATAAATTGGAATTTTGGGGTTTTTTGGCTGGTTTGAATTGTTTCACTTTTTGTCATGTTGTAACCTTTTAAGGCAGACTATATACATGATATAAGTCATTTATACACTATATACATGATATAGTCATTTATACACTATATAAATGATATAGTCATTTATACACTATATACATGATATAGTCATTTATACACTATATACATGATAGTCATTTATACACTATATACATGATATAGTCATTTATACACTATATACATGATATAGTCATTTATACACTATATACATGATATAGTCATTTATACTTTGGTGGATAGTTGTCTCATTGGCAGTCACAGCACATTTCAGATATGTTGTTAACAACCTGTTAAATCATAATGAATAGATCTGGTGTAAAAGTCAATGAGACAGCCTAAATAACTAGAAATTAAAAATAAATAAAGTTAGTTAATTATCAGATAAATATCTTAAACGGAAACTTAGTGGAAACTAAAATGGAAAAAGTAACACAAAAAGGAAAATTCAATATTTTAGATTTTTAAAAGCCAAAATTGGTAATGTGGAAGATTAAATATTTTAGATTTTATAAAAGTTCTATGATTCCTTTAATCCACTTGGATATTGAACTGTAGAACAACTGGTATAATATAATAATACTGATGTAAATTCTGTACAGCAAAATAATAATTATTATTAATTTTAGTGGTGTACATAGTAACGATAAATCCCAGACCATTAAATAGTAATCTATATTTTTATTTATTTTATTTTTTAATTATTTTTTTAAATTTTTTTTACTCAAAAAATAAATAAACTCAAGCATGTCCTTTAGTTTTTACTATTAAATCTATTTCACTCCTTTTAGACCTGTGCATTTAAGATATCTTAACTAACAATATTTTATCCTTAATGTACATAAAATAGTAGGTGTAAATATTTTTATAATAGATTTTACATTACTACGTGATTTTAGGACAACAATATATTTTGTTTTTTAAGGATTGTATATATATATTAAACTAGTCCGTTCCAAGTTTTTAAACAATATTAATTGAAAATAAGGGCTTTCTCTTTTTTTTGTTTACCGTGTGACACGGGTGCTCCGTAGCGGAGGAATTTACTTAGAGAAGAAGAAGACAGCCACACTATTCTTTTATCATTAAAATAAATACAGTTTTGAAATACCTGAAAAGTTTTACTCAGTTTGAAATTTGAATGCAAGTTTTGTGTAAATTTTTTTCATTGGCTTAAAGTTCCAAATTGACATATCGTAGCTAAAGGGAGACCTGTCATTTTGAATTGCTTGTATCAACAAATGTTCTATTACTACAATACTATTGAAAATAAAACAACACCTACCTCTAAAACGCTGTTTTGATGTAATTTTATCCAAATTTGAATCATAAAAGTAACATAATAACTTTCAGTGTGTAAGTTCTCATTTGTGACATTTGTGACATTTAGCCATGACATCTATGTGCCAAGATCATTCATGAAGTTACGCAGATTTTTATCTTATTTAAAATTTATACATTTTTCAAGCTCTAGTGTATTATTTCTTTTTGTAATGCATTAGAATAGGAATAACAGTACTGTTGTTGAAGAGTTGCTGCCATTAATTTTGATTTGAAGTTCGGACGCATATATCTGTTTTACTGTCTCTACTACGAGTCGCCAGTATAACTGCATTTGCAACCATCAAATTGCCAATTACCATTCCTTCTCTTTCTAATAAGAAGAAACCCTACACAGAATGTGAGATGACCGATATTAAGGATGTATTCTTCTGATGTTTCAGTCTCGTTGAAATCTCGCTTTGGAATTATTTCCAAAACATGTGACACAAGTGGAAAATAGCAATGAATTTAACAAATATCATAATCAAACTTAACTCTGTGAAAAAATTGTGTATTTACAATAAGCAGTTTTTGAGTAATAAATTTTTCAAATTTTATTACCAATCAAGTCAAGTCTTTTTAGCCAAAATTTTGAATAAAAGGGTGAGGGGTACAAGAAATGATTTTACCAGAAACGTGTACATCCCATATCACTTTTTTCTTTTCAAATTTCTTTGATATGTATTTTTTCAATCATATTTATAACAAAGAAGTTGAAATAATATACATTTTGTTCTTAAAACAGAGAAAAATCACAAATTTACAAAATTGACACAAAAAAGCATCAAAATATGATAAAACTTTCTTATATTAACACCTACTTATAGTTTTTTTAAGTTAAATTTATTCAGATTGGTCGAATTCATCTTAATTGAAAGTATGAAAAAAAGTTTAATTGTGGAACTGTGATTTTTTTCATGATAATAGCCCAAAAATGGGTAAAAATTGAAGAAAAATGGGAAAATCATCAAAATTGGGTACTTTCTAAGGGCCATAGCAAAAAAAGAAGTGCACCACCATATGATCTTTTCTTCACCAATTATATTTTTACAGTCATATAAACCCAAAAATAAGATTAAGAAAAAAAGTTTAATTCTAGAAATTTTTGGCTCCTCAGAGGTGTACATCCTTAAGATATTACTGTACATTATAACATGCCAAATGAAAGTTATTACTTGCATACTTTTGAATGACTGTCAGTGTGTAGATACTATTCATTATGATAGGAATATATATTTTCTGTTTTCTCATTGGCTAAAAGCATAGGAAATCCTCCTTGATAAAACATTATATTCACTGTGGCAAAAATCAGGAGAGGTTGATATAAGATTTGGAACAGTGTCCGTGTACCTAAATATAGATATTCCAAGGCAACGTCAATGACGTAGGTTTATGACTTCATGTAAATTCCTGTTTTTTTCTTTTTTCTTCTTGTTTTCGGTGTACATTGTATTTTTTTGTAAACTTTATTGAATATTTCAACTTATGAAAAATAGCAACTGCAAAACATATATATTTAGTATAAAAACAGGGAGCAGTTTTAAAAGCAAATACTAGAAAATTGAAGAAGGATAAAAAGTCATATAATAAAACAATTGTTGACTTTTGACTTTAGTTGGTCTTGGTGAATATCACATCTCTGGGGTTGATAAATATAGATTCTACCACTGCATCGAGTGTGATATGATATTTATCCACTCGAGACAGTTAAATTTTCAAATTTAAAACGCAAGGCTTGCCGAGCGTTTTAAATATTTAAAATTTAACTGTCGAGAGTGGATAAATATCGTATTACACGAGATTTGGTGGTGGAATCTGTTTCTCTAATGATTTTCAAACAATACGCAGGCAAATTTATTCCTTCTTTTCGAATGATCTGCAAAAAGATGTGTTCTTTCTATGTGACGTCATCAGGCATGGTCGCCTTTTTTCATGCCGTCACAATAGGAAATTCAGAGGAAAGCAAGAAAATTCGACGTCATAATCGGATTTTAACCAATGAAGAACTGAGATCAAACGAACCACACGTTGATTAAATTTATTTTTATACAATGGGTGCAGAAAGGGATAAATTGATGAAGAATTAGAGAAATCATTGTATCAACCTCATCATAAGTCAATTATTGTATAATAATAATAACAACATAATTATCAATGTTTTATTTTATCATTTCATGTATAAAAGTTAAAAACAATAAACACAAAATAATCAATGTTCTGTGATGACTTCTCAGAAGGACTAACTTTGGTCCCATACAAAACTAAAACAATAGATTTTAAATATGTGGAGCACTGTGCATAAAAGGAAATTTACCATCTCAAAAGTTAAACTGAATTCTAGGAAATATCTTAATCAGATTATTATTCATTTATTCAAAGTCTTATTGTTCTTCACAATCTAATATCAAAAGATAATGACTTACTTTGCCATATAAATTATATTTCGGAAATTCTTTAGTTTTTACATTTATTTGAAAAATTGATATTATAGCTTTAACAAGAGTGCACACGCTGAAATGTCTCGCCTTCTTTACTAATCATTGATATTATGTTGATAGTCCTAAATATAAAGCTTTATTACAACTGTCACATAAACTTAACATTAACCAAGTAAACTAAACATTGACCAATGAACCATGAAAATGAGGTCAAGGTCAGATGAACCATGCTAGGCAGGCATGTACAGCTAACAATTCTTCCATACAACAAATATAGTTGACCTATTGCTTATAGTTTAAGAAAAACAGACGAAAACACAAAAACTTAACACTGAGCAATGAACCTTGAAAATGAGGTCAAGGTCAAATGAAACCTGCGTGACTGACATATAGATCATAAAATATTTCCATAAACCAAATATAGTTGAACTATTGCATATAGTATTAGAAAAAAAGACCAAAACTCAAAAACTTAACTTTGACCACTGAACCATGAAAATGAGGTCAAGGTAAGATGACACCTGCCAGCTAGACATGTACACCTTACAATCATTCCATACACCAAATATAGCTGACCTATTGCATGCAGTATTAGAAAAAAAGACCAAAACTCAAAAACTTAACTTTGACCACTGAACCATGAAAATGAGGTCAAGGTCAGATGACACCTGCCAGCTAGACATGTACACCTTACAATCATTCCATACACCAAATATAGTAGACCTATTGCATACAGTATAAGAAAAACAGACCAAAACACAAAAACTTAACTATAACCACTGAACCATGAAAATGAGGTCAAGGTCAGATGACACCTGCCAGTTGGACATGTACACCTTACAGTCCTTCCATACACCGAATATACTAGACCTATTGCTTATAGTATCTGAGATATGGACTTGACCACGAAAACTTAACCTTGTTCACTGATCCATGAAATGAGGTCGAGGTCAAGTGAAAACTGTCTGACGGGCATGAGGACCTTGCAAGGTACGCACATACCAAATATAGTTATCCTATTACTTATAATAAGAGAGAATTTAACATTACAAAAAATCTGAACTTTTTTTTCAAGTAGTCACTGAACCATGAAAATGAGGTCAAGGACATTGGACATGTGACTGACGGAAACTTCGTAACATGAGGCATCCATATACAAAGTATGAAGCATCCAGCTCTTCCATCTTCTAAAATATAAAGCTTTTAAGAAGTTAGCTAACGCCGCCGCCGCCGCCGCCGCCGGATCGCTATCCCTATGTCGAGCTTTCTGCGACAAAAGTCGCAGGCTCGACAAAAATATATTTTTGAATTTTAAAAAGAAATTTTTACATTTAAGTACTCTCTTTCCTTATTATAAGGAGACAGTGGTCAAAACTCAATCAATACACAAACATTTTTCTCTTTTGCATTTATCAATGTTTAATGCCCATCACAATCTGGTATAATTTAATGACAATGATTCAGTTGGCAGTTACAGATAATACTAAAATGGACCTTGGTAAGGTATGAACAATGAAACAAATTGGTCCAATCATATACTCAATGATGATTTTATGAGATTGTCCTCCACAAAAGTCCACAATGAGATCAGGTTTTATTTCAAGTGTTATATCACATTATCTGCTAAAAATGTGTTTTTACTCCTTTTTATATATATATTTTAACAGGTAGCATGGTTTCATTTGTAAGGGCATAAAATTTCAAAATTTCCAATGATATGGTAAAAAGTTATCTCCAGAACAAATATGCAAACCGAGAAAAAATGAAGAAACGATTGTATCAACTCCTAAAACTTTGAATGTAGCATATTAACATGTAAGATATAAACCAGAGTTTGATCAGCAACAATTGTTATGTCTTTAAACAATGAAAATGTCAATTGAAGATGAACTCTCTTGCTGAAGCATTACAGGAATTTGTCATGGGTTATGAATGGTCTAATAAATCTGGTAAATCATCTTCAGTTAAATCAACTTCCATTGGTGAATCAGATATAGGTATTATATCAGGTTTTTCTATTTTTATAATAACAGTGTTATCTATTTCCTTGTCTATTTCATTCTCAAAGTTTTCATTATCTAAGGTAAATGTTTTTGAATGACTCTGGTTTGAATTTTCATCCATAATACATTGAATATCGGTAATGATTGGTGTTCTGCTGTCTACTATAATGTCTTTCGGAACATCTTTTGACTCTTCTTCACCTTCTGACTGACTAGATATATCACCTTGAGAGGCTTCCACTGTTTTGATTTCAAACACTGCAGGTGTCTTCTTTTTAGTATAAGCAAACATACTTTTCTGTAAGAACAAATATAAATAAAGAGTTAACAATCTGTCTAAACTCAGGATGAATTGAAGGTTTGGACACTTTGCCTGTAATCAAGGAGTGCATATTGACATCCAGATGTCAAATTTAGTTTTATTGTGTTGTTAGTGGTTTGCTGTCTCAAAGATGTTTTTCTCTTCTTGTCTCCTTTAATATATAAATTTATAGTGCTATGCTCATCAGATTTATATTTGTTTTAAGTGGCAAAACATATAACATCAAAGTAACATGAAATGTGAAAACATCAATGCCTGTACAAATCAGGCTATCTGGACCATGTGTTGTTCATTGTTACTGGTCTATAGATAGTCAATGAATAATCACAACACTCTCTCACTCTGTTATGCACCAATTCTCTTTATTTATTCCCACAAGCTTTTGCTAACATTTTATCTTAACATATCCCTACCCTTTCTATCAATGTCATTTTATCTTAACATGTCCCTACCCTTTCTATCAACGTCATTTTATCTTAACATATCCCTACCCTTTCTATCAACGTCATTTTATCTTAACATGTCCCTACCCTTTCTATCAACGTCATTTTATCTTAACATGTCCTTACCCTTTCTATCAACGTCATTTTATCTTAACATGTCCCTACCCTTTCTATCAATGTCATTTTATCTTAACATGTCCCTACCCTTTCTATCAATGTCATTTTATCTTAACATGTCCCTACCCTTTCTATCAATGTCATTTTATCTTAACATGTCCCTACCCTTTCTATCAACATCATTTTATCTTAACATGTTCCTACCCTTTCTATCAACGTCATTTTATCTTAACATATCCCTACCCTTTCTATCAACGTCATTTTATCTTAACATGTCCCTACCCTTTCTATCAACGTCCCTACCCTTTCTATCAACGTCATTTTATCTTAACATGTCCCTACCCTTTCTATCAATGTCATTTTATCTTAACATCTCCCTACCCTTTCTATCAACGTCATTTTATCTTAACATGTCCCTACCCTTTCTATCAACGTCATTTTATCTTAACATATCCCTACCCTTTCTATCAACGTCATTTTATCTTAACATGTCCCTACCCTTTCTATCAACATCATTTTATCTTAACATATCCCTACCCTTTCTATCAACGTCATTTTATCTTAACATGTCCCTACCCTTTCTATCAATGTCATTTTATCTTAACATATCCCTACCCTTTCTATCAACGTCATTTTATCTTAACATGTCCCTACCCTTTCTATCAACGTCATTTTATCTTATCCCTACCCTTTCTATCAACGTCATTTTATCTTAACATGTCCCTACCCTTTCTATCAACGTCATTTTATCTTAACATATCCCTACCCTTTCTATCAACGTCATTTTATCTTAACATGTCCCTACCCTTTCTATCAACGTCATTTTATCTTAACATATCCCTACCCTTTCTATCAACGTCATTTTATCTTAACATATCCCTACCCTTTCTATCAACGTCATTTTATCTTAACATGTCCCTACCCTTTCTATCAACGTCATTTTATCTTAACATGTCCCTACCCTTTCTATCAACGTCATTTTATCTTAACATGTCCCTACCCTTTCTATCAACGTCATTTTATCTTAACATGTCCCTACCCTTTCTATCAACGTCATTTTATCTTAACATATCCCTACCCTTTCTATCAATGTCATTTTATCTTAACATATCCCTACCCTTTCTATCAATGTCATTTTTATTTGTCTTTATCTGTTTACTAACATTTTATCGTAAACATATCACTACTGACCTGTTTACTCCCTACAGTTAATAGATAAAGAGTCCATTTACTGCAAACCCGTACCATCATATCTTTCACCTGAAAATAGAAAAAACAAGGGTCAAAAGGTGTAGCATACTTTATACATAATAATTACTATGAAAAATACTATTTAAAATGACTATTAGTCCCCAGGGTATCATAAGCTCAGAAGTTGGTCCTTCAGTACTAACAGGATTTATGATATATCATTTCTTAAATTCTCCATTGATAATTTATAAATCATTATAAAACTAAGGTTCCAACTCAGAAAAGTTGACTGTAGATGGATTTGGTCATATAGCTCTTCAGGTGTTACTGTATTTATACATCCTTGGCTTTCGAATTCTGGCTGAATTCAGAAAAGCGTTTGGAACACATAATATCTATTAAGTTTTATTTTCATTTTTAAGTAACAGTTTTATTGCCATTTCCTTGTCTTTATTTAAAACAGATTATAATGCAAAAAATTTGCAATATAATGAAAAGGCTTTAATTATCTATACAAATGTTATAGATAACAATAGGGAATCACATAGTGAGTGTAGCTCCCCTTTGTAACCCGGAGTTACCAATGAGTAGCCAATGACCTTGTCCTTTGGCCTGTGACCTTGGTGAATTAAATACCCTTCATTGTCTCTTCCTATATAACCAATTTACCAAGTTTGACAAAGAGGTAATGTCATGTCTATTGTGTAGTTTTATACTGATGGACCAAACATTACTGTTTTCTTCTAGCTTTTTTAAGGGATTTAATTGTGTATTGTTATTGTCACTACAGAGTTATTGGCCAATTATCTAAAAGTTTCATAAACAAAATAAAAATTTGGTGATAATCATGTGTAAATATGAAAATCCTCTGTTTATTGATAAATAAAGTGTATTAACTGATTACCAATACAGATAGGTAAACAGATAATGGTGTCCTAATGTTAGGTCAAGGTTAATATTGTGATGCAATGATCCATGATGTCATACAAAGGTTTTATCATCAGAAACTAGCTAAGGTTATAAATTAGGACTATTATCATCAACAATTGACACATCTATTGCAGAAAATGTGTATGCTAACCTCCAGATTTGAATTGTTTTTTGCATGGTTGGGTCATAAACACATACCCAACATAATACTCATACCATAATAAAATAATTTTGATATCAATTCTCCTTGTTTAATTTCAATATGGGTAATAAATTTGCCATAGGGTTTTTTTATTATTATATCAAAATTAAATAATTCAAGTTGCTATCACCTGATATCCAATTCTCACTTGTTATGAAGCCTATAATTATCTATTCCCAAGTCCATTATAAGAACTTCCAGTTTCTGAAGGTAAGATAGATATTTTGATATTGAGAGAGAATTTAACACAAGTTTATCTTAAAAATTCGTAAGGGTTCCGCGGAACCCAGTGTCTTGCCTACTTTTGCTGTTAATCGCAGGCTCAACAAAAATGAGGAAAAAAATTAATAAAAATATTCCTCTCTATACTATCTTTTGATTGTTAGTAGCTTCTGTCCAAGTTTGGTAAAAATCCAGGATAGTTTATGAATCTAATAAATGTTTTAAAAACTTAAACTGCAGACTGTATGTAATGTTAACTGGAAGAAAAACAAAGTCCATTTATAAGTAAAATACGGAAAAAATCAAACAAAATTTTAACAAAATTTCCTTCTAGATACTAGCTTTTAATCATAAACAAGCTTCTGTCCAAGTTTGGTACAAATCCAGGATAGTTTAAGAAAGTTGTTAAAATTATAAAAACTTTAACCACTGAGTGAATGTAATGTTAACTGGCAGAAAAACTAAGTCCATTTATAAGTAAAATACGGAAAAAATGGATTTTTTTTTACAAAATTTACTTCTGGATACTATCTTATGATCATAAACAAGCTTCTTTCCATGTTTGGTAGAAATCCAGGATAGTTTAAGAAAGTTATTAAAATTTCAAAAACTTCAACCACAGAGTGAATGTAATGTTTCTTGGCAGAAAAACTAAGTCCATTTATAAGTAAAATACGGAAAAAATGGATTTTTTTTTTTACAAAATTTATTTCTGGATACTATCTTATGATCAAAAACAAGCTTCTTTCCAAGTTCGGTAGAAATCCAGGATAGTTTAAGAAAGTTATTAAAATTTCAAAAACTTTAACCACAGAGTGAATGTAATGTTTCTTGGCAGAAAAACTAAGTCCATTTATAAGTAAAATACGGAAAAAATGGAATTTTTTTTTACAAAATTTACTTTTGAATATTATCTTATGATTATAAACAAGCTTCTGTCAAAGTTTGGTAGAAATCCAGGATAGTTTAAGAAAGTTATTAAAATTTCAAAAACTTTAACCACAGAGTGAATATTTGTGGACGCCGCCGACTGAATGTAGGATCGCTATGTCTCGCTTTTTCGACAAAAGTCGAAGGCTCGACAAAAATATGTGATATCTTAGCAGGGTAAAAGAGATAGAATTTTCACACAAAGACAGAATCTAACACAATCTTAGTGATACAGGGACAAAATATAGAACTTCTAATGGTGGTTTTAACTGTGACAGCCAACAAATTATGATGTTTAATAGGACATTAATCTATGTAAGGTAAACTCACACAAATTTATCTTCTACATTTATTTACAATATATCATATCTTGATATTAATCTATGTAAGGCAAACTCACTAAATTTTATCATATACACACACAAAAAAATAGTGTTAATCAAAGATTACCAATGGTGCAGTTTATGTATGTATGGAGACAAATACCCCTGCCCCGAAAGATGAGTGCAGGAATCAGATTTGTTTATAGGTCATTTTCCCACATTAAAAGAGGCACAACTCCAGTATGAAATAAAAACCAAACAAACAATCACAAATTTGTCAAAAACATTTCAAATGATTTTTAATAGGTCAAATTGACCTTTGGCATCTAAGAGTCCTGTTACCTGAAAAGAATCAAATTCAGATGTTCAAATTTTTGGGGAAATAATGCTTTTCAAAAATCCAGTTTGTGTACATATATTTGTACTGACAATCTGATTTTTTTTCAATTCCTGTCATAATTCAGAGCTACCAAAAACAAATGACATACCTATATATGAATAAAAGGAGATGTGGGTAACACTACGCCTATTAATTATAGTATCTAGGACACCAGACGAAGCTATTTCAGCATTTCACTGTATAGCCTTCAACAATGAGCAAAACCCATAGTCAGCTATCAAAAGTCCTTATAGACAAATGTCATTTTCCTACTAATTTAAATGATAATGTCCTGTATAACCTACCCAGCTTCTGTCTAACATCTGTACACTGTCTTTTACATCACCGGAAATCTTCTTTAACTGGTCACAAAGGTACTGCAAATCTTCCTGTAATACACAATGTTTATATATAAAGTGTATTGATAATATTTGGTTTTATTTTATACATCTACTTTAAATATAAGATAGTCAACACTACTGTAAATTTCAAAACTAAATTACATTTGTATTGATCATCAAAGTGCAAAAGGTTTTGTTCGATGTCAGATCAGGTGTCTTCTGCTGTATTGGACTGCCAAATAGCAGATAACAATCTGTGTAGATCTTTAAATTTCAACAGAGGAATGCATCTTATTTGTAAAACTTTTAACCTAAATGAAGAAATTTATGTGTTTTATCTTAGTATTTTAACTGTTTTCACAAATACAGATTTTTGTTTGTTTGAATCTTACCATATAAGGGGAAATAACTCAGATATTTATATACTTCAATTTTTTTAGGACACTGTTTATCACTCTTTTATATCTATTTGTATATTTAATTTTTTCTGACTTTTTTATTGCACTATCTAATCCATTTTTTCCTATCTTTTTGCATACTTTACCTTTTCTGACACTTTTATTGCACTATTTCCCACAGCTATATCTAAGTAACTTATTGCACTGGATAATTTATATACATCTGTTGTAACTAAATGTTGCAGCTTCGTCAGATACACATGAAGACATTTAATCTGCAATTTAATAAAATACTTGTTAATTACAGAACAACAAGTATATATGGAGCATTTAATTTGAAAAAAAACATGTATACATAAATTATGAAAAGCTTATGCACACATTAAGACTGGATAAACAAGTACAAGCTTCAAAGTTTAAGATTAAATAACAAAATTTGCATGACATTTTCTTATCAAAATTTATAAATCTATATTTGTGCACATGAATTCTAATCTTAGAACTACACTGTACATTCAAAAGTAAACCAAAATAAGCTTCCCTTTAAATCAGAAGTGTTTCAGAATTTTATAATCCTTAAATCTCAAATAATGCCAGAGTAATTATCCCTGCTGAAATCTCCAATGATGTCCCAAAAAAAGTCAACCTATTCTACATGGATCCTTATCAATTGACCTCAAAGGGTAAATATGTACCCATTCCCTTCACTCAAGAATCATTGACAATATCTTACTTTGTAATCTTTAATGTCTGTGTCTCTACCGACATCAAACATATCCTGTAAATACAGGTAGGCCAATCTCCTCTGTAGATATGCCCCTCGTTTGTCCTCAGGTAATAACTGGGCTAAGTACTGTCTATTATGATGATGGCCAGTGATTTTAAACAGTGTATGACACAGTTCGTTACACTGAAATAAAACAGAAATCATAAGGCTAGGTAATGTGAAAAAAATAGAATGTGACCTGGCACATTACACTTAAATAAACAGTCAAATGATACATTACATTGAAATAAACAGTGCGACATGGCACGTGACACTGAAATAGTTAGTTCCAAGAGAATAAGAGAATAGAGGAAGCATCTGATTTGTAGTTCCTGAAAAAATTGTGACCAGAACTATATGTGACAGACAGATGGATGGATAGAAAAATGGACCCGTATTATCAAGTATTCCTCCTCCTTTGGGGTAGGGGTAATTATATCTGGGTAAACATTTGAAATCATGTTTTTCATTGTCAGATTTTAATCAACACACAAATACTTCTGCCATATATTGTTTGTAGTTAAGCTTGATTTTCTCCATCTAATTAATCTTAATGAACCAAAGACTTACATGTGCATCCCAGTAGTTTGAACTGTAACTTTTCAAGATGCCTTTTAAACAAACTTGGAATTCATGTGGTAACACTTCGCTGAAATCAAAATTCATATTATTCATATATGTTAATATAGCAAATTTCTTTAAAATCAATTCAATATGTGTAATATGTTTATTAACTAATGAGTAGTGAAAAACTACTTTAGCTATATAATCATTAAATTGCTTTATTAATAAAATGGTAGTGTGGTCAGTAAATATAATTTCTGACAGTAATAAATATGACTAAGATTCAGGAAATGTTTGTTTTAAAATGATAAATCTGTAACTTAACATGAGCAAAGAAAACTTAAATTTTCCTCAGCTGTTCCAAACTAATAAAGATGACCCATAATTATGACAATATGAGTATACCTTTTGATATTTTGAAATAACTGTAGTACAACAAGAAATGAAAATGATTGTCAACTCTTTGGTCAATATTAATTTATGTAATTTTTTTTAAAAGAACTTAGGCGTATTTGTGTGTAGACAGACAAAGAAAGTACTGGCACATCTGCTTATGTGAATGTGTGATCCAAACATCTATAGGACACTGGAAATGTTCAGTAAAATATTTTGATCTGGATTGAGTTCTCTTTCCTGGAATGATTTTTTTAAGAATATAATTCAGTTTATCCAAGGATGACTATGTTCAAAAGTCCAGTAAAATTTTGAAGTATTATAATTTTACTTATCATGAGTAAGACTAACTGAAACCACAGTAGGACCATTAAATTAGAATACAATAACCAAAAATGTGTAAGTGACTATATGTAAATGTCAAATAAAATTGTGTACAGACCTATTATGTGACTTGTCCATAGCTACATGACATAAAATAATGAGTAGATCAGTCAGCTGTTTGCTACTGTACCTTGGTCTAAAACAGATAAAATAATACAAATTTATTGATCATTCAATCATTTTTACATTACTTCATCTTTTCTTTCTGTCTCAATACATGCTAAAGCATATATAATCAAAATCTTCCTTCAACTTCTCCTTGTTGCTAAAATATATAGTGGTTGTTCAATAAATGTTTGCTGTCACATTGCCCTTATCCTGCAGATTCTTCTTAAATAGAAAAATCTTCAATTAATTTAAAATTTGCCTATGCTGCACTGATAATGCTACTGAAATTAAAACATCTTTTCCAATTTATATTGTAGAAGATCTTCATTTTAGCCTTGAGTGTGAGAGATAAATTTTTTTCCACAAACGTATCATGGGCACTGATCTATTATAAATTTACATAATTACAATTTGGTCTGTAAAGCAGCTGTTGAATGGTCTAACCACCCAGTACCTAGAACTTTATTACTATCATGGTGTAAATTGTTTGTATGATAGTCTTATTGCAAAATTATCAGTTAATAAATGAATTATTCAAAAGTTAAGCAATTCATTCAGGCAAAATCCCTTAGATTGAAAAAACCTACTAGATACTTAAATAAGTCTGCATTAGAGCCACCAGGAAATGACGTTTGATTAATTGATTACCATACCTTGAATGCAAACACTGTCCAATGATATTGAGGACAAGGTGTAGATTTCTACATATAGAGTTTCCTCCCCTTGGAATCATTCCATTTTGTTCTTCCTGGATAATATGGCTACTGTAAAAATATAAAAAGTTATAGAAATATAAATAACTATGAATAATGAATCAAAAAAAAATTTAAATTCTTATTTCCCCCTTTACAAAACACCTTCATGAGGAGCTGTTTCAGTAAAAAATCACTTTGCTAGGTTTTATATTCTATTCAAAAAATTAATTTCTTTTCTCATTTTAAAAGTAGTAATTCTCACTTAATTATCTGGTAAGCAACATTTTTTAAATTGAATTCTTTCAAAGACTTGTTTTTTTTTGTCAATAGGGAATATTTTTAACTTAAACAAAAAAAATATACATGGAATACTCTAAAAAAAAAAAAAAAAAAGAAAAAAAATTTAATATTAATTATCCAAACATACCTGTACTCTTCTGTCGAGTCTGCTATATTGTCTGGCAGCAATCTGCTTACCTCACAACCTTTAAAGTAAAATAAAATATGTAAAAAGTCCTCAACACATAGCCACATTTTATAATACAGTTACGATTGCATCTTAATATTTTCCTTTTTTGACCAGCCATTTGAAATAATTATAAAACAAGAATGTGTCCATAGTACACGGATGCCTCACTCGCACTATCATTTTCTATGTTCAGTGGAACATGAAATTGGGGTCAAAACTCTAATTTGGCATTAAAATTAGAAAGATCATATCATAGGGAATATGTGTACTAAGTTTCAAGTTGATTGGACTTCAACTTCATCAAAAACTACCGTGACCAAATACTTTAACCTGAAGTGGGACAGACGGACGGACGGAAGAACGGACGGACGGAAGAACGGACGCACAGACCAAAAAACATAATGCCCCTAGGTGGGGCATACAAATATATATAAATTCACATGAACATTATACTACCAGTATTACGTTAACAGATGTTTTTTTTTTTAATTTATTACTTCCAAGTTTGGCACAGTCTTTCAGTAAAAACTGAATTGAGTTTCATATTGAGTACATCATCCTCATTGTTCATTGCATAAGTGATGACAAAAACAAACCTGTATCAAATGTTTTACAGCATGAACTGCATGTTTAAATTACATTTGAATCTGGCTACAAGTAAAAGTCAGAGAAATTTAAAATTTAAAAATTGTTTGGATATTTTCATGTTTTGTGCAATCATCAGAACTGCCTATTTTCAACAATAGGATCAGCTGCTGGATTTAGACAGTGCCCACTATATGAAGGATAATTGTATAGGGTATTATGTTGGGGGACTGCCTGTTTTTATTGTGGTGCCAGTTAGACCAGACTCAACAGTTATTAAAAAATGATTTTATGAAAGTTTGCAAACATTTAATGCAATTAGAATTAATAGAAGCATCTTGATTTACAGTAGTCTAATTAAAATTCCACTTTTATATCAGTTACATACACAGGCACACAAAAAAGAGTTGATCACCAAATGAATTGAAGGGACAATAAAGTCTGAACCTATAAGACTGGTTTTCATTACAGCAATCATTGTTATTATAAAGGAGTTTATTGATGTGTAAACTGGGTAGACACTCACAAATGAAACAATTTTAAGTTGAGTTTGTGAGTGAAAGACAAGAGTTTTAACATTTATAAACTCCCAAATATATAATAACTTATAATTCTAATAATATGCCCAAATAAAATATTTCATGAACTTACAGAACTATTTTGTAGGGGCAAGAATTAATACTCACGAAATCATGCAACAGGTTTACACATGTATAATCTTTATAGTTGCAAAGACAATCACCAATGACATAAGACTTAAAATATGACATTGGAATTATCATATGAGCTGCGTTGGATAAAAATTGACCTTATGCAAATGAATATTAATACATCTGTTAACCTATTTCGGGTTAAAAAAATATATATACGCAAAGTCTGTAACTGTTTGAAAATTGAGTTGATATAAAAATCCCACAAAACAGACCAAAATTCATCTTTTATTTCGTATTTGAATGTTCCAAAATTAACCAAAGTCTTACACATGTAAATTTATTGCATGCAGTGTGACTGGTCTTTTAAGTTTATGTTATATAGACTGGTGGACTTTATATTGTATGGACTGTGTCCAGTGCTACTGGTTGAGTATATATTGTATGACTATGTCTAGTACGACAGGTCTTGATTATATATTATATGGACTGTGTCAAAAAGACTGGTATTCAAGTATATATTGTATGAACTGTGTCACGTTCTACTAGTTAAGAATATATTGTATGAACTGTGTCAATAACACTGGTCTTTTGAGTATATATTGTATAGGCTGTGTCCAGTGTACCTTACCATAATTACAGAAGACAGATAAGACATCTGGTATGGGTGGTATCCATGTCTGTGGTAACTGTTTAAAATGTATCTGTCTGTTTAGATGTTCCAATAAAGTCTTGTGACATCCCTGTGTTACTAACTGGTTACTATGTACAGACACTGCAAACAGATACCATTACAATCAATTTCATTGGACTAGTAGTTATAGATTTTTCTAAATTGCAATAGTCACATAAGTTTTTTTCAAAAAAAATTTGTTGAGGTTAGGATTTTTATTTTCTTGTTTGTAATATATCAAATTTCCTGGATAAAGTGACCAATGCTAAAAACAAATCATTGTAGTTAAAACAGACTACCAGCAAAATCTGTCTAAGAGAAATTTAAAAAAAGACAAGTTTCTAAAGTTTCCATTCAGGTAAAAGATGGTCCTTCAATTTTAGTTTCTCTTTTATAATGTCCTTTTTGGTTTTCAAAACATTTGGCCAAATTGACTTGTGATGAAGCTTACTACAGTAACATATGTAATGCACACTGAAATACACATGTGTCATGCATATCAATATAAACTTGACATATGATGTGTCTATTGTTGATATAGATATTTGCTTGTTTTTTGTTGTTGTTTTATTGTCTCCTTGACATTACCCAACATCTCCTTTTATCTGTGTGTTTGGGGCAGTAAAATAAACCATATAAACTTTAAAAAAAAATAAATACATGTAACGGCACACCAAAATACACTATTATAAATTTCATGTATTATAACTAAACAATTGTGTTGTGCACATAAAAATATACATGTATAATCAAAACCAAAATACAAATGTGCATCATCAGCTTTCAGCAATCACTTTATATATATATATAATGTAGGTATTCTCCAAAAATTCTATAACAGTTAAAGGCTTAAGTAAAAAATGTGTACTTACTCAACAGAAACAACCATCTAAGAACAGCTTCCTGACATGCAACACTATCTAATGTATTCTGTAATATATTGGATGTCAGCAACAAACTATAATCCTCTACAAAAAAATAACATTATTTTCTAGTAATCTTTCAACAATTCAAAGATATATTATACTAAACAAGAGGCTGTCAGAGTGACAGCAAACCAGATTTTCCTGCAGAGGTCAAACCCTGAACAGTTGAGCAAGTATGGACACAACATTTAAACTTAAAACAGCTCTGAATTTGGATTGTGATTGAATATTTAATACAGCATGGGTTTGTGACACAAAATAAATGTGGTCAAAGAACTGAAAAATTTGAAATTGAACATTTACCTATTATGGTCCAATATCCAAATGCTAAGTACATTGCTAGAATCAGCAAATCAAAGAACCCCAAGAATTCAATTTTTGATGAAATACTTCTTAGTTAAACCATTTCTGTTTTAATGGAAATAACTTAAACTTTATTTCTATGAACTAATCATGTTAATCTAAAATTAAATGTGATTTAACCATAGACTCCAAAATTAGATATGATGTAAAGAGATATGATGTTATATTTATTTTTAAATTATAATCAAATATAAATAATAGTTTTCTAATAAATATGTCACTCCAATTATAATTGGGTGATTGCATTGGAAATTACAAGATGTGTGTTATCTTATCACTTAGTGTATAAATCAAAATCAAACTTTATATATATAGTTGATAGTTCCCAATATTTTTTCTTTCATCTGTAACATACTAATATAGATCTGCAACTTATCTTATCTTAATTTTAACTTTTAAACTTATAAATAACAGATTATTATCTAATGAATCATGCTTGCAAATTGAAAGGTTATTTCCCCTTAACCAGAACTATGGTTTAACCTTTTAACAAAGTACTCTAACATTAGGTATATAATTATTAGTAATGTAATTAACTTCAAAATGTCTATCTCTTAAAAACCTATAAAAATTATCTGTAACAAGAAATGATTGTAACAGGATGCTGTTACGAAGTCTCCCAAACAAAGCTCCCATAATTCGTTATTCCCAGGGTCACCTGACATGGGGCAAAGTCCAGTGAAAATTGGTTTGGTCCAGTAAAGTTATATGCATTAGTGATGCCTGGGGACTAACCCTGTATATCATTCAAATCATCTTGGCATGACAAACCAGAATATATATGGTTTAGGGGTGGGGATCTCGACCATTTACAAGATATTAGAACTTTCTCAAATGGCAGGGGGTCGGGATGACCCCTGGGGACTAACCCTGTATATCATTCAAACCATCTTAGCATGACAAACCAGAATATATATGGTTTAGGGGTGGGGATCTTGACCACTTACAAGATATTAGAACTTTCTTCAATGGCATGGGGTGGGGGTGACCCCTGGGGACTAACCCTGTATTTCATTTCATGTGCTTTATCATGACAAACCAGAATATATATGGTTTAGGGGTGGGGATCTCGACCATTTACAAGATATTAGAACTTTGTTTAATGGCAGGGGGTCGGGATGACCCCTTGGGACTAACCCTGTATATCATTCAAACCATCTTAGCATGACAAACCAGAATATATATGGTTTAGGGGTGGGGATCTTGACCACTTACAAGATATTAGAACTTTCTTAAATGGCATAGGGTGGGGGTGACCCCTGGGGACTAACCCTGTATTTCATTTGATTTGCTTTATCATGACAAACCAGAATATATATGGTTGAGGGGTGGGGATCTCGACCATTTACAAGATATTAGAACTTTCTCAAATGGCAGGGGGTCGGGATGACCCCTTGGGACTAACCCTGTATATCATTCAAACCATCTTAGCATGACAAACCAGAATATATATGGTTTAGGGGTGGGGATCTTGACCACTCACAAGATATTAGAACTTTCTCAAATGGCATGGGGTGGGGGTGACCCCTGGGGACTAACCCTGTATTTCATTTCATGTGCTTTATCATGACAAACCAGAATATATATGGTTTAGGGGTGGGGATCTCGACCATTTACAAGATATTAGAACTTTCTCAAATGGCAGGGGGTCGGGATGACCCCTGGGGACTAACCCTGTATATCATTCAAACTATCTTAGCATGACAAACCAGAATATATATGGTTTAGGGGTGGGGATCTCAACCATTTACAAGATATTAGAACTTTCTCAAATGGCAGGGGGTCGGGATGACACCTGGGGACTAACCCTGTATATCATTCAAACCATCTTAGCATGACAAACCAGAATATATATGGTTTAGGGGTGGGGATCTTGACCACTTACAAGGTATTAGAACTTTCTTAAATGGCAGGGGGTGGGGATGACCCCTGGGGACTAACCCTGTATTTCATTTAATGGGTTTTATCATTTAGAACATTTTCAATTAAAAAGATTGTGTCTATCACAAACGGTTTTCAATTTATAATCATTTGAAAATTTAAAAAAATAAAATCCCATAGGGTTCTATAGTAAAACCCTCTTTTCTTTTTGCCCCTCAAAGTACCCCTTTATAAACCCCATTGCACAAACAAAACCCTGATTGCACCACTAGACATGTTAGTCTAACATATTGTGAAACCCTAAGTTAATCTGACAAACGGTTTTGGAGAACGGGTGCGGACAAGTTCAAATTTAAAAGCGGCGGAAGAGGAAGAGGAAGAGGAAGAGGAAGAAGAATAATAATAATAATAAGAACTGAGCAAAAACAATAAGTCTTCCCAAACTTCGTTTGGGAGACTTAATTATCTTCAAAGTGTCTAATAATGAACAGTAAATTTCAACCTTTATTTATACAGTCCTACTAGTAAATTTCAAACTTTATATATACAGTCCTACAGATCTTATCAGGAAACAGAATATTTTCAAATAAATCTGTCACTCCAATTATAATTGTGAGATAAGACTTTTACCATATGCTTTACCTTAGTCGTAATATGATAACAAGAGAGAAAAATATTTAAAAATACCAATTTTGGATACTAAAAATGGTGATAACTCAAAAAGGAGAAATACTAAAATCTTGAAAATTGAACTAGACCTTCATTAAGTCCCAGGAAACAACATATTTAAATTTGAAAAAAAATTTGTTAAAGCATTTTCATGTTATTGTGGAGACACTGTTTAGAAGCCGGCCGTCCGCCCGGCCGTCCGCCCGCCCGCCCGCCCACCCACCGTACATCCCCAATTTAATAACCGATATTTCCTTCGAAAATCCGGTTAACAAAACTAGAGGCTTTAAAGAGCATGTGTTGCTCACCTAGGTCTATGTGCATAATCAACAATGGACTCGCTCCAACATTGTAGACCAGAATAGAATTTACAAAAATTTTTGTTTTGTTGATCTTGTATCGCTGATCAATTTGTCTTATTAAATTCTCTCTATCTTCTTTAGTTTTTGCTCAAAACACAAAAGAGAGTAAAAAAATTCCTCATTTAAGGGCAATTACTCCTATGAAGAGTGACAGTCTACTAACTAAACTTGATCTCAATGAAATCAAGGATTTGAGATTACTATACAAATCCTTGATGAAATGACCAAAATTGTTTCAGTAAAAAAAATAAATGGAGAATGTGTCTGGGACACAGATGATGCCCCCGCTTGCATATAATGTTTTAAAGAGGCATAACTCTAGAACAGTATAAGTGATGCCACCAAAATTAGCACTTGACATGTGTTTTGTGGTAATAAGCATTGTGTATAAGTTTCATAACATTTGGTTGACGCAAACTAAAGTTAGAGAACAGAAACCAATTTCCTGACTTACTTACATACGTACGGACGTTCGATCAACAGTAACACTTAATGCCCCATCCGGTGACAGCAGGGGCATAAAAAATTTGTCCTCAATCACAATCTACTGTTTAGGACAAATATATTTTAGTTTAGGTCATGTCTGGCATATATGACTGTTTTCACTCTTGCTTGACTTTATTTATCGCAAAATTTGGCAACATTTTATTGTTTTTTTGAGACGTCAAAAACTGAAATTAAGAAAAAATCTTCATTTTCACAGAATTTGGTGTTTACGACCTCAGAAATGTTGAGTCAAAATTTTGACTCATTTCAATCATTTTAAAAAAAAGTTATATGCTATAGAAGTTTGAACTCCAAAGAAATTAATAGATGTGGTGCCTTTCTTTGGTTGTTGTGTATACTTACTGGGCTGTAGAGTAGACAGATATTTATCTATGTAGGATGCTCCAGGTGTAAAACCACAGGTTTGTAGGGACAGGGATCCAGTAAATCTGCTTTGGTGTAGCAATGGCTGGAATATGACATCCCCAGGGTGAACCTCTGATATTACACTGTCCAATATCTTGAACTATCAAACGAAAAATAAAGAAATTATTACATGGGACTATAAATAGAAATAGATATTTATAGGAATCTGAGAGAAAGTCCCTTCTTTTAAATCGAATGTAATCATGAAACTAATATGCCATGTTTATTATAGGAAACTTATCATACTGGCATCATCAAGTGAATAAGATTTTTAAAAATTCTTTCAGATTAACTTGTCAGTTTACATGAATGCCACAAACAATCCAAACATTTTCTGATAAGAATACAGGTTGTATTGTGGTCATTATGGCAGGTTATCATTACTAGGAAATGTAATCTGAACTTAATGTAGAATTGAATGCAGGACTATACTTTATGGTGCTGTAACTTAAAGTTATGAAGTTTGTTGAAATTTAAACAAAAAGAAACAGCTTTTGGTACTCCATGTTCCATAAGGTTTTATATAATATGGGATCTCTAATTCAAGGATCTAGCAGGCCTTTAGAGTCATTTATCTATGTTTGGCCAAACTGACTATAATTTTCAACAATTCAAAAAGAACTAAATTTCTAATACTAATAGTAAACCATTTGGAATTCTTTGGGTCTAGAGACAATTTTAACAAAAGGTATGTTCCAAGTTTAATTCAGAGGATTCTGAAATGTCCTATCCTTTCCTTGAATTGAATTTAATACACAGACTTTAAAATAGTAACTTACCTCCTGTAAGTGTTTTTCATGTTCTGGTAAAATTTCATCTGTAAAGAAAATGTTAATATTTTATTGTTGATTTATGAAATAATAACTATGTTCCCATCAATCCATTAAAATAGTCTTAGCTTCTATCTTTCCTACTAACTACTACTTACACATCCATATAAACAAAGGTTAATCAATTGTTTCTGTAAGTCTAGTTTTCACTGTGCATTATATTATTTTCGATTTTGTTCAAGGTAAAAAGTTGGGATTTACAACTCTTAAATTTTAACCATCCACATGATTATTGTTTCTGGCATAGTTATTGCATATCACATCATTAATGGAAACTCATTTTTCTTGATTAGTAATGAAATAAAAAAACAGAAGCAAATAATTGTAAGCTTGCTTTAATTTGTTTCAAGACACTATTGTTCATCTGCTATAACAGTATTTAATTTTATGCAATCAATGCTTAAAACTCTGTCACATTTGTCGCAATAATAAAAACCTCGCAATAATTTCTGAATTTATAGTAGATCATATTTTGCCAATTGCATTGTTCCAGCATATTAGTTCAGGATTACGGGAAATCTGCAATTTAAGTTATTAAATAAATTGTTTTCTTCAGTAGGGCAGATAAAGAGTCTGAATCAATGTTTTATCATCGTGAAATTATCTAAGAGAATTATGATTGATTGATTGCAGCACTATTGTGTATATCCTGGTGGTCAGTTACTACTGGTGGAGGATGTGCCTGGCTAGTGATACAGTACATAAACTACTAAGACACCTAGGCCACCGATGCCACCGAGGCCCACTCTAATACAATTACAATTCTGGATTGTATTAATCAATGTTGTATTATAAGCTTTCAACAGAAAAACATTATTTACAAACAAAGAGTTAATTTTTGAACTAATCTTACCCTCTTGTGGCTCAACTATTTCCAATGTATCTTTTACAAATCCTCCTTTCTTGAGGCCTTCCTTAAAACAAAAAAATAAAAAAAGGTTCAATCTGATTTCTTATAAAACTCCTTTAAATAAAAAATTGTTAACACAAAATCTTGCCTGCCATACAGCTTATTAACAAAAGTTCCATGCAGTGTCATGCACAATATACCACTACTTGTCAGCAGATTTAAGTGAATAACTCACTTGATCATTTGGGTCAGGTGATCTAATATAAAAGGGGAGGACAAACATACTGGTTGGCTGCTTAAAGCCAATCTAAAACAATCTGAAGAAAAAGAATTTTTCAATTTTATCAAGAAGTGAAGATTTTCACTGAAGAGATATTGATTGTTGAAATGCGCATCTGATGCAGAAAAGTTGGTACCATTTATGTTATTTTATCTTTTTTTCATACATCAGATCACAAATTTTCACTTAATAAACAAATTCAAAATCTGATAAAGAATATATGTTTTGAAAATTTTAAATTAAAATTCCTTTTAAGTTGACACCTTGCAGATCTAAGTAACTTTAAAACTCATTCATCTATTTAAATTGTAAACATGGCAAATGTATACTTCCTTAACCATTAAAGGAACATAAATCTAATTTCTTTATATGCTTTCATATTGATTATGTTTACAATAAAAATAAAAAGTTAATAGTAAACCTACTTGTAAAATAAAAAATTTCAAAATCATAACAAATCATGTTTATTTCTTACTTACAAAAACAAATTTGAAGAATCTAGAAGCAACTGGAATATGGTGATCCACACCGGTTACCAGGTCGGTTTGAGGGGTTCGTACAAACCCCCACTTTGAAAACAAATAAGCACTGTTAAAGTCGACATTCTGCTTGAATTGTAACTGTTAAAGTTGAGCATGATTGTATTGAACCCCCCTTGGAAATTCCTGGCTACGGGCCTGTGATCGGCCTGTGATCTAGTGATCACAGATACTGCTTGTAGAAACTCTTTAACAGTAAAACCCCAATTCAAATTGAAGGTGATCTGTATTTTGTGTTTCATAACTTTGTGTGTTAAAATCTAAAAAGATTTTGTCAAACGGTCGGTACTTTCATTATCACTTGGTAGCCTAAAAAAATCCAATTACCTGTATAAAACTTTCTTCAGATGGAATACCACATCCTAAATTTTACGGTGATGTTGTTAACCGAGCCCAGAAATTTATATACGATCCCAGTTAAACTTATATAGATGATGTTCTCTCACTAAATAATACAAAATTTGGTGACTATGTTGAACGAATCTATCCCATCGAACTAGAGATAAAGGATACTACAGATACAGTTAAGTCTGCCTCATATCTTGACTTACATCTAGAAATTGACAATGAGGGTCGGTTGAAAACAAAACTTTACGACAAAAGAGATGATTTCAGCTTCCCAATTGTGAACTTTCCATTTTTAAGTAGCAACATTCCAGCAGCGCCTGCATACGGAGTATATATCTCCCAGTTGATACGATATTCCTGGGCTTGTATTTCCTATCATGATTTCCTTGATAGAGGATTGCTGCTCACAAGGAAGCTATTAAATTAAGAGTTCCAAATGGTGAAGTTGAAATCATCCCTTCGTAAATTTTACGGATGCCATCACGAGTTGGTTGACCAATATGAAATAACCGTTTCACAGACGATATCGGATATGTTCCTTATGTCGTAACTTCAATACCCTTCCCTTTTCACGAATGTGACTTACTGAATTAGACTATTTACCGGACTTGTAATAACATAAGCAACACAACGGGTGCCACATGTGGAGCAGGATCTGCTTACCCTTCCAGAGCATCTGAAGTAACCCCCAGTTTTTGGTGGGGTTCATGTTGCTTAGTCTTTAGTTTTCTATGTTGTGTCATCTGTACTATGATTTGTCTGTTTGTCTTTTTATTTTTGGCCATGGCGTTGTCAGTTTGTTTTCGATCTGTGAGTTTGACTGTCCCTCTGGTATCTTTCGTCCCTCTTTTATCAATCCTTTAAATAAGCTTATTCTAAAAGGTTACCAATTCAACATTGTAATTAGATCTCTGAATATTATTTTTTTTGGTATAAATATTGATTTTGTTATCAGTAAATTAAAATCATACTAAATAGTTTTGTTATACACATATGCACTTTAACGATACTACAATCTGTCGAGACCTTTATTTTGGCATTACACAAGGTCATGTTTTTTTCTCACTGTTAATGACGTCTTTACACTAAATCCATTGGATGTTGGATGTGTGCTGATTGATATTATAGTCTTAGATACATATTTTATTAGTTGTTATTGGCTTTGAACTAGCTGTCAGTAACTGTGAGTACCCTCAGATCTGTACTTAGTGTCCTTTTTGTTGTTAGGGATGAGGGATGGATAAATACCCTGCCACGTCCTGTCTGTGTTTTTGTTTGATTGTTCTGCTTTGTATTGATCTGATGAGTTAAGCCTTTTTCAACTGATTTTTATAGTTTGTTCTTATGTTGTGCTGTTTAACCACTGTCCCAGGTTAGGGGAGGGTTGAGCGCTCACAAACATGTTTAACCCCTCCGCATTCTTTATGTGCCTGTTCCAAGTCAGGAGCCTGTAGTTCAGTGGTTGTCATTGGCTCATGTTGGTCATGTTTTGATTTTTTGTAAATTGTTTTGTTATAAATTTGGCCGTTAGTTTTTTCAATTGAATTGCTTCATATTATTTATGTTGGGCATTTTATAGCAGACTATACGGTATGGGATTTTCTCATTGTTGAAGGCCGTATGGTTGCCTGTAATTGCTTCCATCCACTTCATTTGAACTTTGGTGGATAGTTGTCTTATTGGCAATAATACTTCATCTCCTCATTTATATATATATTTTTTTACCTCTAATTTTGCATGCATTTCCTCATAGTCTCTCTGATCTTCAGACTGAAATAAATAAATAAACCAACATTTAATCTTTATTCTTTTCCTAATACTGTCCTTACAATTAACATACTTAAATCATTTAAAATCACTGTTACACCATGCCTTGCTAACACATAGGTCAGTTAATAATCATTTTTATTCCACTGTATGTAAATATTGATAGTAAATTCAACATGTGATTGATTGAAAAAATTCCATGTGACATTGAACAAAACTTCAAATTCCCCTCTGAAATGTTGGGACTACCTCGTGTGACTTTACGCGCGGTTAATGTACATAACGTTTAGAACTTTTTTAAATAGCAATAGTATAGTCATTATTGTGTTCAAAACTATTTCAGACGTAAAAACAAATACAGAAAAAAATTGAACTAGCCATTGAATGATTAACTTTTGATTGGTATCACTTATATCTATGTTTATGATGTATTTACTAAATTAGTTATAAAAGAGGATGTGAAACATTTGTATGGGAATTAATATTTTATGTTGGAACTTCATGAAGTTATAAAAAGTATAGGCAGTGGAATAAAACATTCATTTCACTTGGCTAAGGGAAATATGATTTTCTTGGGTGAACAAATCTTCATATCTCCCTCACAATTAATGAGAGAGTACTAATTTCAACAGGTGTGATCATACTTTTAAATAATAACCTGCAAGTCTAACCAAATATCAATAAGCTTAAAGGCTAAAATATATCATAAGTAGATTTATTTTCAGCTTATAACAAATGTTACCAAAATAATAACTTACATTTAAAAAAGCAGAATCAATAACTGACTGTAAATTCTGCAGCACAACCTGTCATCTTATCCTCACATAGTCTTATGACAGACTAACTATAGATATGAATAGTATATCAAATTTATCTTGATAAGCTTTATAAGGACAATTTTCTAAGAAATTTAAATAGATGGTATACTACAAAATAGATTGAGTTTACATGCTTGAGGTTATCAATATCCTGGATACTTATATGTACTACAATTACATGTCACTTTACCTATATCTATGTACCGGTATCAAATTACATGTAATTTTAACTTCGAGTTAAAAACTTTGTTGATATCATAAATCTTTAAAAAAAATTCTGAAACGCCCCTCTGATCATTTTGTGCTAATACAAAGCCCTTTTAGACAACAAGAACAAACTTTAACAAGAATTCTTAATTTTCAACAATCTTTGTTTACCCTTGGCATGGATTATGATAAATCATGCTATCTTGAAGTGTGAGTCAATTTGCAGTACAATAAAGCAAATTTCTAATCAGAGTTTTATTATATCAATAAAGAGTAAAGCATGACTATCCCTCACAATCCACACTTCAATGGGATGCATTGTCAGGTAACGCAACTCATTTCAAGGCACACATTACGAACCAATATTAAACATAAACTGTTAACATAGAGATATGCTTTTTTGTTAATTTGATAGTAAAATGCAAATATTGAAATTAAAATAGCAATACATTAGCATGTAAGTTATGCAAAATATTCAAAGTCAATAGACAATGACTGAGGGGGCAGAGCCAAACAATCTCCATGGAAATGAGATGTGCCAATGCTAATACATATGCATACCACATATAATTGTCCTACCACTGGTGGTTCCCCATAAACTGACCTAATCAAAAACTAATACATGTAAAGCAAAAGTTTCAAAGTCAATAGACCATGACTGAAGGAACAGGGCCAAATAATCTCCATGGAAATGATATGTGCCAATGCTTATACAACTGCATACCAAATATCAATGACCTACCACTAGTGGTTCCCCATAAACTGACCTAATCACAAACTAATACATTGCTTACGCTGCCGCCACCGCTGATGCTGGACAAAAATATGTCTTGCTTTTTGACTCTGTCATTTCCCTCATCAAGGCAGAAATAATGTCCAATTTATTTATGCATCATTTAATGTTTCTACCAAAAAATCAGCAGATAACAATAAAAATATTAACAATGACATGAAAAGGTCTTCAGTAACTCTTTCAGTAAGTAAAAATGACATTTCCTCTATCCAGAACAAGTCTGTCCTCATTATTTAAGACCCCTTTAGTGGTTTATACAAAAAATGTGACTATAGGCTGCCTACAATGTCAATGTATTCTCCTACCATAATCAGTTAAGTCCTCTATTATATCAAGTCCAGATACTTCTCATTCAACAGTTTGTTATAGGTCATTATTAAAATTCCAGTAAAAGATTAAAACTGTAACTTCCTCCTTCTGCAATTTAGCTTTTCATTAAATTGAATGTCATCATAAGTTTTATTACATATTCTGTGTAAATTAAACAATCCTAATATAACTCCTCTAATTTATCTTCCTGTTAAGTTAATACTCAATTGTATCACAAAGCAATCTTGAACACTATACTTCAAAATGATAAAATACAGACACTTCCACTGAGCCCAGGATACAGTATAATAATATACCATAGACTCAAATATAACTGCCAGTCATCCAGTAGTTTCTTTCTGTAGATAATGATTTATTTAAAGTAATAAAATTGACTTTTAATAAGTAAAAATTGACTTATCAACATATGGTGCATTTAATTTAATAGTATCTAATTAAAAAATAAATCCTTTTATGTCATACTCAATGCTCATTTTAACATGGGAAGGCATTATATTTGTCGATATTTTACACTGAACATTCATGTCATGCTCTTTAATTATAGGCAACCATACGGCCTTCTATGCTCATTTTATCATGGTTAGGCATTATATTTGTCGATATTATACATTTGTTTGTTTTTATAGTGATTAAGATGATAACACAATGTTGACTGCTGTACCCCTATTTTTGACATTTTAACCTATTGTGTCTGTTTGTTTAGTTTACGCATCGTTGTCCATATAATGGAAGTCAGGAATATGAGTTGTTATCCATTCGTTTGATGTGTTTGAGCTTTTGATTTTGCCATTTGATTAGGGACTTTCCTTTTTGAATTTTCCTCCGAGTTCAGCATTTTTGTGATTTTACTTTTTACACTGAGTGTTAGTGAGGTGTAAAATATGGTCAAATATAATGCCTACCCATGTTAAAATGAGCATAGAGCATGACATGAAGGAATTATTTCGATTCTAATAGGACAAAAACGGTATTTTTATTGGTCGAAGTGTAGGAAAATGCCTCAGGAATGTTTGGCTGTTCCCTTTTCCTCCCCATGAATTATGTACATAACGTTTTCATATTTAATAAGTTTAAAAAGGAATAGCAGGGTAAATATATGATGTTTTCATAACAATATATAATAAAATTTCATGTAGGCAGCTAAAATGTATATATTTCATTACAATAATAAAATGCTCCGCTGGGCGCAGCTTGAACCGACCACAGAGGTCGACCCTGAACAGTTGGGGCAAGTATGGACACAACATTCAAGCTTGATACAGCACTGAATTTGGATTGTGATTAAATATTTGACACAGCATAGGTTTCTGACAGAATGAATGTGGTCTAAGAACTTAAAATTTTTTAATTTACCTATTCAAACCATATCATTATTATTTGCTTTTATATATAAATCAGAAATAACCAATTTAAAATGGAAAATTTTAAAGAAAATTTTGGCCCCTTTTTGGCCCCAAATTCCTAAACATTTAGGGCAATTACCCCCCAAACTCAAACCCAGCTTTCCCTTTGTGATATGGAACATTGTAGTACAATTTCATTAAGATCCATACACTTACACACAAGTTATTGTCATGAAACTAGAAAAAATGCTTGTTTTTTGCCCCTTTTTTTGCCCCTAATTCCTAACATTTTGAGGCAATTACCCCCAAAATCAATCCCAGCCTTCCCTTTGTGGTATGGTACCTTGCAGTACAATTTCAAAGAGATCCATACACTTGAACACAAGTTATTGTCTGGAAACTAGAAAAATTCTTATTTTTGGCCCCTTATTCCTAAACGTTTTTGGCAATTACCCCCAAACTCAATTCCAGCTTTTCCTTTGTGATATGGAACCTTGTAGTTCAATTTCAGAAAGATCCATACACTTACACACAAGTTATTGTCATGAAACTAGAAAAATGCTTGTTTTTTGCCCCTTTTTTGGCCCCTAATTCCTAAAATTTTGAGGCAATTACCCCCAAAATTAATCCCAGCATTCCCTTTGTGATATGGAACCTTGTGGTACAATATCAGAGAGATCCATATACTGACACACAAGTTATGTCTGGAAGTTACAAAAATGCTTATTTTTGGCCCCTTTTGGGCCCCAATTCCTTAACTGTTGGTACCATAACCCCCAAAATCAATCCCAACCTTCCTTTTGTGGTATTGAACCTTATGGTAAAATTTCATAGAGATCCATTCACTTAAACTAAAGTTAGAGTGCGAAAACCAATGTGTCTTCGGACGACGACAAAGCCAACGTCATACCAATATACAACCGCAATTTTTTGCGGTCGTATAAAAATGAAAATAACAAGAATGTAAAGAGTAAGCTTGTGCACATTGTCAAACATATTTTGTGCTAATTAGAACATGGCTTTGTTTACAAAGTGAAATAAGGACGTCATATTAGAATGCTGATTTAAACACCAATACTTAGTTGGGAAAAACTATGACCAGGCATGTTAATCCTGAATTCTATACGCCATGATAAGTTATGCAGAATCATCCAATATATAAAGATTTAATCAAGCAGCTTAAATGACAATGACTCTAGTACAAAGAAGCAGAATGACTTTTTTTTAATAAAATGCATATTAATGGTAATATTTATTGAAATATTGATTGGAGACCTCTGTATAATCAGTTATTGTAGAGTTTTCCTATAATAAGTCTCCTATAATGCTGATATACTACTTTTTATACAAATATCTCCTATTACACAGGGTATAATTGTTTTGTCCTCAGATACAAAAGAAACTTACTGCAATTTTGCAAACATATATCATTTCTAAGCTATTATTGCTGAGCTTAATGAGCTTTCTCTATCTACATCTAGGGTATATAATAGAAGAATATGTATGTGATCATTAAACCTGGGAACAAAACAAAAGATATAAGTCCCAGATTATAATTTTTTGAATTAAATGGGGAATGTGTCCATGGGACACAGATGATGCCCCCACCTGCATACAATGTTATAAAAGGACATAACTTAAGAACAGTAAAAGTGAAGCTACCCAAATTCAAATTTGATCTGTGTATTGTGGTAATAAGCATTGTGTATAAGATTCATAACGTTTAATTGAGGCAAACTAAAGTCAGAGAATGGAAATGAAAAATTCAGCAATTTTTCCATTTGTAAAGGGGCATAACTCTAGAATGGTAAAAGTGACGCCACCAAAATTCAAACTTGATCTGTGTTTTGTGGTAATAAGCATTGTGTATAAGTTTCAAAACATTTGGTTGAGGCAAACTTAAGTTAGAGAACAGAAACATAAAATTCAGCAATTGTTTCATTTGTAAAGGGCATTACTCTAGAATGGTAAAAGTGAGGCCACCAAAATTCAAAATTGATCTGTGTTTTGTGGTTATAAGCATTGTGTATAAGTTTCATAACATTTGGTTGAGGCAAACTTAAGTTACAGGACAGAAACATAAAATTCAGCAATTTTTTCATTTGTAAAGGGGCATAACTGTGGAATGGTAAAAGTGACGCCACCAAAATTCAAACTTGATCTGTATTTAGTGGTAATAAGCATTGTGTATAAGTTTCCTTACATTTGGTTAAGGCAAACTAAAGTTAAAGAACAGAAACCAATTTCGGGACATATGTACGGACATACGGATGGACCGACAGATGGACAGATGGACAGACAGACAGACAAGGGTAAAACTTAATGCCCCCTCCACTACGGTGGGGCATAAAAGTCTCAAAACCTTTCAATTTGTTGGAAAAATCGATCCACTGAAATAACAATCGTATTTGGTGATTCCTATATATCATGAAATTAATAGATAATTTATTGAAAGTAATGTTTGCAAGTTCTGAAGTTAATAAAACCATTTCAATAACTTATTCATATATATGTATGGAGATAATTCTTCATCTTTTTGTATATTAACACTGAAATCATCCTGAGACTTACTATTCTTTTCCTACTTAGGGGTCATCTATAATTGTCAACCATTTTCCGAAGTGTACAAAACATACACTTTTTCAGACCCCCCACACTCCCTCAAAAAGTGTATATCAACCATTTTCAGATTTCAAGACAAGAATCAATCATTCTTAATAAAAAGAAGATCCTGTCTATTATCATGATTATAGTTTAGTTTAATATAGAATTTGATTTGAAAATAAACTGAAACATATCTGACTGTTTTATTTGATGACATCTATCCGTGATGCTTGTGTTTTGTCAGAATAAAGAGTATAAAGATACCATTTTGTTGTTTTGTTGGTTTTAATGAATGGGATAGATGCATTTACACCCAGATCATATACCAAGAAATAACACTGAAAGCAAGCAATCAAGCAGCTAGCCTGAACAACATCTATATATATAAATTGTGGCCAACATCTTATGCAAGATTATGTCTATTAATGAAAGAACCTTAGTGAGCACGCTCATATACCCCACGTGCCCACATTGTCATTGGAGAAATAAAATAAGTGTAAGAAAAAAAATTGTATCAGAAAAAAAAATTGAATCATAATTTCCTGTCAATATGCACATCTACATAGTATGTCCTTATTATCTACACAGTTTCATGAAATTCTGTTGTGTGGTTTGAGAGGAGTTGTGATGACAAAAGGTTGCAGTAGTATATTGGGCAAATAAGTTCAAAGGGGCGTAACTCCTGGAAAAAAAATTGAATCGTAATTTCCTGTCGATATGCACATCTACGTAGTATGTCCTTATTATCTGAAAAGGTTTCATGAAATTCTTTTGTGTGGTTTGAGAGGAGTTGCAATGACAAAAGGTTGCAGTAGTATATTGGGCAAATAAGTTCAAAGGGGCGTAACTCCTGGAAAAAAAAATTGAATCGTAATTTCCTGTCGATATGCACATCTACGTAGTATGTAATTATTATCTGAAAAGGTTTCATGAAATTCTGTTGTGTGGTTTGAGAGGAGTTCCGATGACAAAAGGTTGCAGTAGTATATTGGGCAAATAAGTTCAAAGGGGCGTAACTCCTGGAAAAAAAATTGAATCGTAATTTCCTGTCGATATGCACATATGTAGTATGTCCTTATTATCTGAAAAGGTTTCATGAAATTCTGTTGTGTGGTTTGAGAGGAGTTGCGATGACAAACTGTTGCAGTAGTACATTAAAGTAAATAAGTTCAAAGGGGCGTAACTCCTAGAAAGAGAATTGAATCGTAAGGTTTCGTGAAATTCTGTTGTGTGGTTTGAGAGGAGATGCGATGACAAGAAACAGGACTGACGGACGAGTCAAAAACATTATACCCTCCGCAACTCGTTGCGTGGGGTATAATAAAACCTAGGCATCTAGTTATTAAAAATACAATAGTGTGAAATAAATTTAATATCATTTTTTATGCTACTTTCGACAACAATTCCAAAGAGATTTGTTTGGCGAGCCATTATAATCTGTATCACATATATTTTGATAGATGATAAATGGCTTCATCGCAGTAATAAAAAAAACGAGCCCTGTGGAAACGAAAAAAATTCCGGAAATAAAAAAAAAACGTACAGTTAAAATGTTGATATTTTAACCCCCCTACCCCCAAGTGTACATTTTGTACACTTTGGAAAATGGTTGACAATTATGAATGACCCCTTACAGTTTTGTCAGAAATACATGTAAAATTTACGTATATGTTATAATACATAAGTAAATGGGTCTTCGTATAAAAATATTTCTGCCTACTAATCACATTTCAATTACATGTACTTTACACTTAAAACTGCTTATTCAACAAACTTACAACAGCTGCACCTTATATGGGATTATCAACAATGATGTAACACAAACTACACCTGATATTGAGTAATAAATGAGAATTTCAATTGCTATGGCATTTTCATGTAAAGCCATTCCATATCAGTATAAGATAGGCCTATTGATGCTCAATGTATGATGAACAATATACACATGTTTGAGTTCACAACTCTGAACAAGAAGTGTTACAGCATTTGCAATGTAAAACAGTCAGGAATTATCATTAATATGGTCATAATCATAAATACAAAATGTAAACTGTTTACAAAACTTAAGAATTTTTATAAATACTAAGGATAGTTTACCCCAGGAAGAGATTATTGTAGCTACATATGGCAAAACCTTTTGGAATTTTTAGTCCTTAATACTCTTCAATTTCCTAAATTATTCAGCTTTTTAAACTTTTTTGATTCAAGCGTCACTAATGAGTCTTTAGAAGACAAAACAGGCGTCTGGCGAACATTTTTTTTTTATCTATGAGGAGTTTATTTTGTTGCAAAGCTTTCAAAGCAATAAATATAAATTAAAATATATAAAACCCATAATGAAATCAGCATCCATAACTCAAACATACTTAAACTTTAATCCTTTTACAATCTTGCTAATTTCGATGTTAACTGCATAATATGATAAAGTTTGTTAACCTTAGAACCAAAACTCATTTGTTTTAATTTTTAAAATGTTCCAAGCGATATATTTCATATTCAAGTATAAGGGTGCACAAGCTGAAATGTCAGTCAAGGTCGAAATAACCAGGCAAAACGGACATATACACCTTACAATCATTTCGTACACCAAATATAGTTAACCTATTGTTTATACTATCTGAGAAACGGACATATACACCTTACAATCATTTGGTACACCAAATATAGTTAACCTATTGTTTATACTATCTGAGAAACAGACATATACACCTTACAATCATTTCCTACACCAAATATAGTTAACCTATTGTTTATACTATCTGAGAAACGGACATATACACCTTACAATCATTTGGTACACAAAATATAGTTAACCTATTGTTTATACTATCTGTGAAACGGACATATACACCTTACAATCATTTCGTACACCAAATATAGTTAACCTATCGTTTATACTATCTGTGAAACGGACATATACACCTTACAATCATTTCGTACACCAAATATAGTTAACCTTTTGTTTATACTATCTGAGAAACAGACATATACACCTTACAATCATTTCGTACACCAAATATAGTTAACCTATTGTTTATACTATCTGAGAAACAGACATATACACCTTACAATCATTTCGTACACCAAATATAGTTAACCTATTGTTTATACTATCTGAGAAACGAACATGTACACCTTACAATCATTTCGTACACCAAATATAGTTAACCTATTGTTTATACTATCTGAGAAACGAACATGTACACCTTACAATCATTTCGTACACCAAATATAGTTAACCTATTGTTTATACTATCTGAGAAACGGACATATACACCTTACAATCATTTGGTACACAAAATATAGTTAACCTATTGTTTATACTATCTGAGAAACGGACATATACACCTTACAATCATTTGGTACACAAAATATAGTTAACCTATTGTTTATACTATCTGTGAAACGGACATATACACCTTACAATCATTTCGTACACCAAATATAGTTAACCTATCGTTTATACTATCTGTGAAACGGACATATACACCTTACAATCATTTCGTACACCAAATATAGTTAACCTTTTGTTTATACTATCTGAGAAACAGACATATACACCTTACAATCATTTCGTACACCAAATATAGTTAACCTATTGTTTATACTATCTGAGAAACGAACATGTACACCTTACAATCATTTCGTACACCAAATATAGTTAACCTATTGTTTATACTATCTGTGAAACGGACATATACACCTTACAATCATTTCGTACACCAAATAAAGTTAACCTTTTGTTTATACTATCTGAGAAACAGACATATACACCTTACAATCATTTCGTACACCAAATATAGTTAACCTATTGTTTATACTATCTGAGAAACGAACATGTACACCTTACAATCATTTCGTACACCAAATATAGTTAACCTATTGTTTATAGTATCTGAGAAACAGACATATACACCTTACAATCATTTCGTACACCAAATATAGTTAACCTATTGTTTAAACTATCTGAGAAACGGACATATACACCTTACAATCATTTCGTACACCAAATATAGTTAACCTATTGTTTATAATATCTTAGAAACAGACATATACACCTTACAATCATTTCGTACACCAAATATAGTTAACCTATTGTTAATACTATCTGAGAAACTGACCTAACTAGGAAAGCTTAACCTTGAACAATGAACAGATGGACATGTTCACTTTACCTTACAATCATTCCATCGACCAAATTTTGTTGACATGTTATTATTAGTATATGAGAAACACTGACCTATCCAAGAAAACTTAACACTCACCAATGAACCATAAAAACAAGCATTCTGAGAATATTGCATGGCAATACATAGTCCAAGGACCATAACTCTGCACAAAATCTTCAGATTGGAACAAAATTACAAATTGATCTGTAACTTGTCATGATAAACCAATACACCAAATATCAAGTCAATATCTTCAAGCACAAAGAAAAAAAGTGTGTTTGCTGGACTGACAGATGGACAGACGGACAGACAGACAGACAGACGGACGGAGCGCAAACCTAAATCCCCTTCGACTTCATTGGTAGGGGACTTATAAGGTCAAGGTCAGATGAACCCTGCCAAACAGACACGGAAAACCTTACAATTATTCCAAACCCCAAATACAATTGACATTTTGCTTCTAGCATCTAAGCATCAGACTTGCCATTGTAAATTTCACCTTGAATACTGATCTAGAAATGAGACCAGATGAAACCTGTCTTATAGAGAGGAAGACCATGCAAGTATCACATATACCAGTTAGCAGTATCCAATTACTCATAATAAGTAAGAAATGCATGCTTTTATAGCAGTGGCTGAACCATGACAATGAGCTGAATGTTTGTACTGGGCATTTATCATTATTCATTGCAGACCCATGGAACTTGTGGGTACAGATTGAACCATAAATTACAAATTTTCTATAAGCTTGTTTACACACTTAATAAAAACCAGGATATCAAATATCTAGGAAAAACAGGTTTTCTTCAATCCACTAAAATTGACATCCAGGAAAATAAATGCACCCACAAAAAACATTTGCCAGACAGAAGCTTCATAACACAAGGCATCTGTATACAAGTTATGAAGCATTCAGGTCCTCTTTCTTCTGAAATATAAAGCTTTATGTAAAAAGTTTATATGATCCTGCTGGATTACCATCTTAAAGCTGTTGTTGCAGTCAAGAGAAAAAAATCCCACGTTAGATTAAGTTCAAAGTAGCATCTTGTGTCAAAATATCTTTTTGGTAAGGCTGTTGGTCTAAATACATAAGCATCAGAAGGCTGTTTTTTTTTATCTATATCAATTTATAGTTTTTAAAGGACAAAATAAAAAGCAGCTAATTTATTTATCCTAACTCATTCAGAGCCCCTTTCTTTAACCTATTGTAATTTACTGAGTACTCTCATAGTCTGAATTTCTTTTACTTTTCTTAATCAATTTGAATCAATAACTGTATATGATAGTGTTTTAAATTTTGATTTTCACAGTAAATCCAACTGAGATATAAATGTAGGACTTCTCTGGCTTTACCTCTCAACTCGTACTTCCCATATTTAAGTTCTTGTATGAAATCTTTAAATCTTTATAAAATTCCTTAAAAAAAGTCCAGTAGCTGATTTTAATACCTAAAATAACCATATATTGATTTCTTTTTCACTTTAGACATTATTTTTGTCAAACATGTCAGTTTAATCAAATGCCAACTGCACAAAGATGAGTTCTACCGTTTTATAATTTACACTTTGAAAGTAAATCAGGAAAACCTGAAGAAAAATCTGTTATATAATTATGTGTCTGTCTACCTGAAAACAAATGATTTTTCTGAATGATTTATTTTAGCTAGTGTTGTCAAATTGTACAGTTTTGCCTAACCGGTTACTCAGATAATCATTCGACCGATTAACTGGTTAACCGGTAGTTTAAGTTTTTTCTGAATGATTTATTTTAACTAGTGTTGTCAAATTGTACAGTTTTGCCTAACCGGTTACTCAGATAATCGTTCGACCGATTAACTGGTTAACTGGTAGTTTAAGTTTTTTCTGAATGATTTATTTTAACTAGTGTTGTCAAATTGTACAGTTTTGCCTAACCGGTTACTCAGATAATCGTTCGACCGATTAACTGGTTAACCGGTAGTTCAAGTTGATGTTTGAAGGCCTAATCTATAGTAGCCTACAAATGTACGTTTTTATAATACGATGAATTGAAGTTTGTCCTTTGGCATTGTAAGGCTTGTCTGTGAGGATTCCTGTAGAAGTTTGTCTTTTAATAATCCAATACACCGTATCTACCATGGCATTTGTAATAACTTCAGATTGAACAAGAGGCTGTCAGAGTGACAGCAAACCAGATTTTCCTGCAGAGGTCGAACCCTGAACAGTTGAGCAAGTATGGACACTACATTTAAGCTTAAAACAGCTCTGAATTTGAATTGTGATTGAATATTTGACACAGCATAGGTTTGTGACACAAAATGAATGTGGTTTAAGAACTGAAATACTTGAAATTGGACATTTAAATACCTATTATGGTCCAATATAAAAAAAGTACATATTAGAATCAGCATATCAAAGAACCCCAAGAATTCAATTTTTGATGAAATCAGACAAAAGTTTAATTTAAGACCCTTTGGACCTCAATGTGGACCAATTTGATAAAGGAGCCCACAATCCAAAAACTCTCAATACATGGTTAGATTCAGCATTTCAAAGAACCCCATAAATATTTTTTTTGTTGAATCAAACAAAGTTTAATTTTGGACCCTGATTTGGACCAACTTGAAAACTGGGCCCAAAAATCTAATATTTAGATACAGGTTTAGATTCAGCATTTGAAAGAACCCTATATATATTTAATTTATGTTGAAATGAAACACAGGTTAATTTTATCCATAATATTTTCAGTGCAAAGGGAAATAACTCAAACTGAATAAATAGTTCTCTAAAATAAGATATGATGCAATTTTTCAAATTATAATCAATAATATATAATAACAACAACCAGTGATGACTAAGTTCTCTTAAATTAGATACGATTTAACACTCAAACATTGCTAGAATCAGCATATCAAAGAACCAAAGAATTCAATTTTTGATGAAATTAATCAAAAGTGTAATTTAAGACCCTTTAAATTTGGACCTGAATGTGGTATTATCTTATTAATAATGAAAAGAAATACAGGTTTAGATTAAGCATTTCAAAGAACCCTGTATATATTCAATTAATGTTGAAATCAAACACAGTTTAATTTTGGACCCCAATTTGGACCAACTTGAAAACTGGGCCCAAAATCAGAAATCTAAATATATGTTTATTAATAGACAATATAAGCTTAGTTTTTAAAGGAGTTTACTTCATCAAAAAAAAAATATATATAGCATTCAGAAAATTAGTTTTTACAGAATAACAAACAAACTTGCCAAAAAATTCTACAAACAATTTACCAAAGAAAAGAAGAAAAAAATCCAAAATTTTATTTATCATTATAAATACAAGGTCATTTCAAAATCTATAAAACTTATCAGTAACAAGAAATAATTGTAAAAGAATGCTGTTACGAAGTCTCCCAAACAAAGCTCCAATAATTAGTCATTCCCATTGTTGCTTGACATTGGGCAATGTCCAGTACAAATTGGTTTATGATATGCATAAGTGACGCCTATGGATTGACCCTGTATGTCATTCAAATCTTCTTGAAATTACGAACAGGAATTTATATGGTTTAGGGGTGGAATTCTCGACCGTTTACAAGTTCTCAAAAGGGGGGTGATTTATATGGTTTAGGGGTGGAATTCTCGACCGTTTACAAGTTCTCAAAAGGGGGGGTGATCCCCAGGGGACTCTCCCTTTATTTCATATGATTTTTTTTTTTTTCCTGTACAAGAATATATATGGTTTAGGGGTAGGGATCTTGACCGTTTACAAGTTCTTAAACAGGAGGGGGTGGAGGTGACCCCAGGGGACTCGCCTTATATTTCATTTGATTTGTTTTATGGTCCCATACAAGAATATATATGGTTTCCGCATGGGGATCTTGACCGCTTACAAGTTTTCAAAAAGAGGGGAAGGTGGGGGTTACCCCAGGGTATTTCGCCTTTATTTCATTTGATTTGTTTTATTGTCCCATTCAAGAATATTTATGGTTTAGGGGTGGGGATCTAGACCGTTTACAAGTTATCAAACAGAAGGGGGTTGGGGGTGACCCCCATGGACTTCCCCTATATTTCATTTGATTAGTTTTAATTGCATACAAGAATATATATGGTTTAGGGGTGGGGATCTCGACCGATTACAAGTTCTCAAACAGGAGGGGGTGGGGGTGACCCCAGGGGACTCGCCTTTTATATTTTATTTGATTTGTTTTATTGTCCCATACAAGAATATATATAGTTTCAGGGTGTGGATCTTGACCGTTTACAAGTTTCAAAAAGAAAGGGTGTGGGGGTGACACCCATGGACTTCCCCTATATTTCATTTGATTTGTGTTATTGTCCCATACAAGAATATATATGGTTAAGGGGTGGGGATCTCGACCGTTTACAAGTTCTTAAACAGGAGGGCGTGGGGATCTCGACCGTTTACAAGTTCTTAAACAGGAGGGCGTGGGGTGACCCCAGGGTACTCGCCTTGTATTTCATTTGATTTGTTTTATTGTCCCATACAAGAATATATATGGTTTAGGGGTGGAGATTTTGACCGTTTACAAGTTTTCAAAAAAAGGGGGGTGGGGGTGACCCCAGGGGACTCCCCCTCAATTTCATTTGATTTGTTTTATTGTCCCATTCAAGAATATATATGGTTTAGGGGTGGGGATCTCGACTGTTTACAAGTAATCAAAATGAAGGGCGAGGGGGTGACCCCCATGGACTTCCCCTATATGATTTGTTTTATTGTCCCATTCAAGAATATATATGGTTTAGGGGTGAGGATCTCGACTGTTTACAAGTTATCAAAATGAAGGGCGAGGGGGGTGACCCCCATGGATTTCCCCTATATATCATTTGATTTGTTTTATTGTCCCATTCAAGATATATATATGGTTTAGGGGTGGGGATCTCGACTGTTTACAAGTTATCAAAATGAAGGGCGAGGGGGGTGACCGCCATGGACTTCCCCTATATATCATTTGATTTGTTTTATTGTCCCATTCAAGAATATATATGGCTTAGGGGTGGGGATCTCAATGGTTTACAAGTTCTTAAACAGGATGGGGTGGGGTGACCCCAGGGGACTCACCTTTTATTTCATTAGATTTGTTTTATTGTCCCATACAAGAATATATATGGTTTCAGGGTTGGGATCTTGACCGTTTTCAAGTTTTAAAAAAGTACGGGGGTGGGGGTGAACCCGGGGACTCCCCAAATATTTCATTTGATTTGTTTTATTGTCCCATACAAGAATATATATGGTTCAGGGGTGGGGATCTCAACCATTTACAAGATAAAAGCACATTCTCAAATTGAAAGGGGGTTGGGGTAAGAATATAAATGGTTTAGGGAGACTAAATTATCTACAAAATGTCTAATAATGAACAGTAAATTTCAAATTTCATTTATACAGTCCTACTAGTAAATTTCAAACTTTATATATACAGTCCTACAGATCTTATCAGAAAACAGAAAATTTTCAAATAAATCTGTCACTCCAATGATATTATATGCTAAGATATAACCCAGATCTAATTAATAATTAATAATGTAATTAACTTCAAAATGTCTAATAATATAGCTTATAATCACTACCACTTAGGAAATAGATAATTTTCAAATAAATCTGTCACTCCAATTTTTATTGTGAGATAAGACATTATGCTTAGTCATAAAAAAGATAACAAGAGTAAAATATTTAAAAATTCCACTTTTGGATATTAAAAATGGTGATAACTCACAAAGGAGATATACTTATATCTTGACAATTGAACTAGACCTTCATTAAGTCCCAGGAAACAACATATTTAAATTTGAAAAAAATTTGTTAAAGCGTTTTCATGTTATTGTGCTGACACTGTTTGGCAGCCGCCCGTAGATCCGTCCAGCCGCCCACCGTACATCACCATTTTAATAACCAATATTTCCTACGAAAATCCGGTTAAAAATAAAAACACCTTCTTGATCTCGTCGAATCGAAAATGTCTGAAACCAATGATTCTTTTAATTTCTCTTGATGTATCAAAATATAATGTGGAATGTTTAAATTTGAAATGATTAAGCCTGTTACTCGTACCATCAAGTATACATTAATTACATTCACGTTGATTTGCATTTCACAATTTTTGAGTTGGCATTTCGTTTAAAGTATGACAAAGCCTTGCACGATGGAGGTTGCACATTCAGATGTAGGTCTACGCAATATTAAATAAAAAATTAAATAATGAAGTAAATCATAAAATTTAGTTGGATTACTGATTTAAAGTTACTGTTTAAAAAACATGTATACTAATTATGTTTACTTAAGATCTTGCCCAGAGCTGATAGACAAGTTGTCTAAATTCTAATTAATTTTATGTTTTTTGGATTAACAATAGCAATCAATATACTGGACAATTGACCTGTCAAATTAATTACCACGATGATAATTTTTAAATAGAACTAAATTATTTAATGACTTTAACACACATTTTTATCAAATCTATTAAAATTGAAAAAAAGTCCGGTTAACCGGTTAGCGTTTTTGGTATTAGATATTCGGTCCTTAAACCGGTTAACCGTTGACAACACTAATTGAAACCATTCCACCATATACAATAGATTAATCAAAGCATTGATTACCTTGTCCACTTTCTCTGACACCAGCTGGTCCAGGGAGAATTTGGATGATAACAGGGTCTTTGTTGTTATGTCTGTCAGGTCTGCTTCAGGTGTAGGACTGCATGGTCCAGGAGACTGCAAAATAAGATTTAAATAAAAAAAAGCACTCTCCGAGAAAAGGAAATTTAATTTTAGTTAACAATAATGAGGACATAATGTTAAAATGGGGATGAAATAAGAATATGTGTCAACGAGACACCATTCCAAACACTCACAATCATGTTTCCATGGTAAGTGAACCCTGAGATCAAGGTCAAAATCCCCTAATTCAGCTATTATATTAAACAGTTCATTTCATAATTAGCATGTGGTCTAAGTTTCAAGTTAGCACAAACTAACTTAATCCAAAACTTTATGCTGATATGTGAAACTGACAAGCAGACAGACAAATGTACAGACCAGAATATATAATGCTTATCAACCCATACCTTAGTTGGGGGAAATAAATAACTCTATATTTTGTGACACTTGCAACCTAACAAGAAATAAAAGGCTACATGTGACATTCAAACTTCTAAAAACGTAGGTCATGCAAATGACAACATTGTGCTGCACATTGTAATAGGAATATTATATCATGAATAATAATTATAGGCTTCAAAAAATATATTTCAAGTAATTATAATAATTAATAACACAGGATTATAGAATAAATACATGTATGCATAAATCTATAGGATGAACATGTCTACAAAACTATATCTTTACATACAATCAATATTTCAGGTTAAAATGATTTTTTTTACGATAATAACAGACACGATATAGCTTTTTTCCACTTAAAGATATATAATTTTGTAAAATATGAATACAAGTTATAGACATGCAATTTTGTTGATTTTTTGATAACAGTAACAGGAAACTTTCAAGGTAAAATTTGTTGAATGAACAGGTGATTATATAAACATTTAACTGGCCTGTTTCTTGGAAAAAATAAATAATGTCATTCAAATATGTTATGGTTTGATAAAATCTTTTCCTTGAGCATCTGAATAAATATTTAAAAAGAATATGACAAAAACAAAATTGCTCAGAAGACAATTGTTTAAAATCATAGTAAGTTAAAACAATGTGGCTCTTTAAAGACAAACATGCAGGGCCAGAATACATAAAGTATGCAAACCCCTTTTTAGTCACCTTGAAACGAGATACCAGTAAAACCAGGAGACAGCAATCCAACAAACAATAATTGACATTTAGATGTAGCTACATAGTCCTTAAAGCACCAAAGCATCCATTTAATCCAGATCGAACGGTCTTATTATAAAAGAAGATCTAAACATGCCAAATGGACTTGGACTAACAAAAACAGATAATAACTGATACTATAAAATTAAGGAGATGAGGTATGATCACCAATGAGACAACTATCCACCAAAGTTCAAATGAAGTGGATGTAAGCAATTACAGGCAACCATATGGCCTTCAACAATAAGAAAAACCAATACCGTATAGTCTGCTATAAAAAGCCCTGACATAAAAAATATGAAACAATTCAATGCAGAAAACTAACGGCCAAATTTATAACAAAACAATTTACGAAAAACAAATATGACCGACATGAACCAACGACAACCACTGAACTACAGGCTCCTGACTTGGGACAGGCACATAAAGAATGTGGCAGGGTTATACATATTTGAAGACAACAACCCTTCCCAAACCTGGGACAGTGATGAAACAGCACAACATAAGAACACACTATGAAAATCAGTTGAAAAGGGCTTAACTCATCAGATCAATACAAAGCAGAACAATCAAACAAAAACACAGACCAGACGTTGCAGGGTATTTATCCATCCCTCATCCCTAACAACAAAAGGGACTCTAAGTACAGATCTGATAGTACTCGCAGTTACTGACATCTAGTTCAAAGCCAATAACAACTTACAAAAAAAATCATGTATCTTAGACTAAAATAAGAATCAGTACACATCCAACACCCAATGGATTTAGTGTAAAGACGTCATTAACAGTCAGAGAAAAACATAGCCTTGTGCAATGCCAAAATAAAGCTATTGACAGATTGTAGTACTGTTATTAAGTGGATATGTATAACAAAACTATTTAGTATGATTATTTCTCTCACCAGAGGGAGTTGGTAAAAGCTGATTTCATCATGGCACAGGTAATATTCAAAGAGGTTCTATGTGAATTTAACCAGGTCAATGTGATTGAAATATTTAGACTATAAAGCTTTGTTTTCAATGATACAGTTTTAAATTTTTTGTGGGATAACATGGTTATAAAAATCATAAGATAATTATATTGGATTTTCCTGACACTTTTTCTAAAGTATTCCCAGAAATAAACATACTGTAAATTCAGAAATTATTGCGTGCATTTATTATTGCGATTTTAGTCATTTTAGACAAAAATGCGATTTTAATTTTTGCGATATTGAGAAAAATCTCTGTTTAATTCAAATAAAAAATTACGAAATGCGAGTTTAAATTATTGCAATTATAACCATGTCGCATTTTTTGCAATAATAAAAACATCGCAATAATTTCTGAATTTACAGTAGTCCTGATATTCATTTCATAAAAAATATAATCAGAAAAAATACTTGTAAGTCATTTCAGTATAACTTACAATCATTTTTATGGTAAGCTTTTGGTGAAAAGAACCCCCATACCTTTGACTTCCTACCTCATAGTTCTAACTGATAACTGATGAGTAAGTTTATCCAATGCATTACTGAATTAACTTAAGTTTCAGTTATTATAACACAGGTCAATGGCTATAATTCAAGGTCAACTAAAACAAAATTCATTATCGTTTAATGACTATGATTCTCATTGGACAATTACATACCACATGTCAGGCAAACACTTACAAGGAGGTAAGACTATATACTTATGAATTAACAGTATTCTAAACTCATTTTAACTAAAAACACATATTTCAAACCCCCAAATTATTAAAGTGTTTAATCTAAATTCTCACAACTTTTCACATTTCTTTCTACTTTCTAAACCTTTATCTATATTTAATTCTAATGTTTGCATTAAACATGTAATAAATAAGTACCAGTACTAAAATAACACTTCAATATAAACAATATAATAAATGTTCAATAATGCTGACTTTGTTACAATAAGATAATCAACATGTGTTTAAGCATGTACCTGCTGTGACACATGAACAAGTTTCATATATGTCAAATGAAAGAACCTAAGTGAGCGCGCTCACATACCCCACGTCCCCACATTGTCATTGGAGAAATAAAATAAGTGTAAGAAAAAAAATTGTATCAGAAAAAAAAATTGAATCAAAATTTCCTGTCAATATGCACATCTACATAGTATGTCCTTATTATCTACACAGTTTCATGAAATTCTGTTGTGTGGTTTGAGAGGAGTTGCGATGACAAAAGGTTGCAGTAGTATATTGGTCAAATAAGTTCAAAGGGGCGTAACTCCTGGAAAAAAAATTGAATCGTAATTTCCTGTCGATATGCACATCTACGTAGTATGTCCTTATTATCTGAAAAGGTTTCATGAAATTCTGTCGTGTGGTTTGAGAGGAGTTGCGATGACAAAAGGTTGCAGTAGTATATTGGGCAAATAAGTTCAAAGGGGCGTAACTCCTGGATAAAAAATTGAATCATAATTTCCTGTCGATATGCACATCTACCTAGTATGTCCTTATTATCTGAAAAGGTTTCATGAAATTCTGTTGTGTGGTTTGAGAGGAGTTGCGATGACAAAAGGTTGCAGTAGTATATTGGGCAAATAAGTTCAAAGGGGCATAACTCCTGGAAAAAAAATTGAATCATAATTTTCTGTTGATATGCACATCTAAGTAGTATGTCCTTATTATCTGAAAAGGTTTCATGAAATTCTGTTGTGTGGTTTGAGAGGAGTTTCGATGACAAAAGGTTGCAGTAGTATATTGGGCAAATAAGTTCAAAGGGGCGTAACTCCTGGAAAAAAATTGAATCATAATTTCCTGTCGATATGCACATCTACGTTGTATGTCCTTATTATCTTAAAAGGTTTCATGAAATTCTGTTGTGTGGTTTGAGAGGAGTTTCGATGACAAAAGGTTGCAGTAGTATATTGGGCAAATAAGTTCAAAGGGGCGTAACTCCTGGAAAAAAATTGAATCATAATTTCCTGTCGATATGCACATCTACGTTGTATGTCCTTATTATCTTAAAAGGTTTCATGAAATTCTGTTGTGTGGTTTGAGAGGGAGTTGCGATGACAAGAAACAGGACTGATGGACTGATGGAAAGACGGACGGACGGACGGACAGACAGAAAGACGGGTCAAAAACATTATACCCTCCGCAACTCATTGCGTGGGGTATAATTAAAGAACCTTAGTGAGCGCGCTCACATACCCCACGTCCCCACATTGTCATTGGAGAAATAAAATATGTGTAAGAAAAAAAAATTGCACAAGAAAAAAAAATTGAACCGTAATTTCCTGTCGATATGCACATCTACATAGTATGTCCTTATTATCTAAAAAGGTTTCATGAAATTCTGTTGTGTGGTATCAGAGGAGTTGCGATGACAAACTGTTGCAGTAGTACATTAAAGTAAATAAGTTCAAAGGGGCGTAACTCCTAGAAAAAAAATTGAATCACAATTTCCTGTCGATATGCACAACTACATAGTATGTCCTTATTATCTAAAAAGGTTTCGTGAAATTCTGTTGTGTGGTTTGAGAGAAGTTGCGATGACAAGAAACAGGACTGACGGACTGACAGACTGACAGACGGACAGACAGACAGACAGACGGAAGAACAGACGGACGGACGGACAGACAGACGGATGGTTCAAAAACATTATACCTTCCGCAACCCGTTGCGTGGGGTATAATAATATGTAAGATTGGTAAAACTAAAGAATAAGATGTAGAGTAGGTTACTGCCCACCTATTTATATCCTCACTCAATGAGTAAAAATCTTATCAAAAATACATATATACCAAACAAGATCAAAGTAGTAAGCTGAAAGTAAATAACCACACAATTCAGGTTAACTAATAATTAACTTTGTACAAAATTTCAACAAGCTATGATTTGTATTTGATAAAAAAAAATGCAACAAAATTTCTTCTATATGTACTATATCCATCAATCTAAAGAAATTGCAATCTTGGTTAGTGTACTTGGTAAAGGAAACTTACCTCTCGATGTGCAATCTTTGTTGGTGTACTACGCAAAGGAATCTTACCTCTAGATGTGTAATCTAAGTTGGTGTACTTGGTAAAGGAAACGTACCTCTAGATGTGAGATCTTGGTTGGTTTACTACGCAAATGAATCTTACCTCTAGATTTGAGATCTTGGTTAGTGTACTTGGTAAAGGAAACTTACCTCTCGATGTGAAATCTTGGTTGGTGTACTACGCAAAGGAATCTTACCTCTAGATGTGTGATCACTGTTAGTGTACTTCACCAAGGAATCTTACCTCTAGATGTGAGATCTTGGTTGGTGTTCTACACAAAGGAATCTTACCTCTAGATGTGTGATCTTGGTTGGTGTTCTTGGTAAAGGAAACTTTCCTCTAGATGTGTGATCTTGGTTGGTGTACTTCACACAGGAAACTTTCCTCTCGATGTGTGATCTTGGTTGGTGTTCTACACAAAGCAATCTTACCTCTAGATGTGTGATCTTGGTTGGTGTTCTTGGTAAAGGAATCTTACCTCCAGATGTGATATCTTAGTTGGTGTACTACACAAAGGAATCTTACCTCTAGATGTGATATCTTAGTTGGTGTACTACACAAAGGAAACTTACCTCTAGATGTGTGATCTTAGTTGGTGTACTCGGTAAAGGAAATTTACCTCTAGATGTGTGATCTTAGTTGGTGTACTCAGTAAAGAAAACACCTCTAAATGTGTGATCTTAGTTGGTGTACTACACAAAGGAAACTTACCTCTATATGTGAGATCTTAGTTGGTGTACTTGGTAAAGGAAATTTACCTCTAGATGTGTGATCTTAGTTGGTGTACTTAGTAAAGAAAACTTACCTCTAGATGTGTGATCTTAGTTGGTGTACTTGGTAAAGGAAATTTACCTCTAGATGTGTGATCTTAGTTGGTGTACTTAGTAAAGAAAACTTACCTCTAGATGTGTGATATTAGTTGGTGTACTACACAAAGGAATCTTACCTCTAGATGTGATATCTTAGTTGGTGTACTACACAAAGGAAACTTACCTCTAGATGTGTGATCTTAGTTGGTGTACTCGGTAAAGGAAATTTACCTCTAGATGTGTGATCTTGGTTGGTGTACTTGGTAAAGAAAACTTACCTCTAGATGTGTGATCTTGGTTGTACTTGGTAAAGGAAACTTACCTCTAGATGTGTGATCTTGGTTGGTGTACTTGGTAAAGGAAACTTACCTCTAGATGTGTGATCTTGGTTGGTGTACTTGGTAAAGGAAACTTACCTCTAGATGTGTGATCTTGGTTGGTGTACTTGGTATTGGTCTGGTACTGAAATATAAAGGATAGATTGAGTTGAGACATTTACAGTCAAAAGATTAGTTATCCTTAGATTAACTATTATAAGCTGGCTGTTTTCTTTTATTCAACAACAATATTACAAAATGAAGCTGTTTTAACAATTACTCAACTGACACAGCTACCTCATATAAGGTCCTGGAGCCATCAATTGACCCTGTTACAGATTTTATGTTAGTTGTAATTGCCCTGGGAGCATTGGAAGTCAATGAACTGGTACCATGGTCATAAAGTAAACAGCCAGACCCTATACAGAGTTATAAAATAAAGTACTTGTCAAGAAAAATCAATTCTGACTTAATGTTACCAAATAAACCTACAAGTAATGTAATATTTCCCTAAATGAATTTGATTAAAAAATTTAACATGTAACATTACTATGCCCTGACATATTGTTTTTTTACATTATGAAGGACTGTTTCAATGGCTGGAATAAACAGACATTATATAAATGTAATTGCAGGTGAATTAAAAGATGATGACATTACATATAAAAGGTGACCATGTCTGATGACATTACATATAAAAGGTGACCATGTCTGATGACATTACATATAAAAGGTGACCATGTCTGATGACATTACATAAAAAAGAACACAGATTTTTGCAGATTATTGAAAAAAAGATAAAGTTTGATTACTGATCATCTAACAATAATAAGAGATTCCATTACCCAATTGAGTGAAATTTGACATTTCACTACTCTGAACAGATTTATTTTAAATATTTAATGCTCTCTGCAAGCCTCACATTTAAAATTTTGAAAATTTAACTGTCATGAGTGGAGAATGCTGTATCAGACTCGATCCACTGGTACTCTATATATTAATATCCTGAAGAAATAGACTCTTCTGATATCAAAAAATTCCCATTTCTCTTCATTATTCATGATATTAGAAACATTTTTCTCATTAAATCTTAATTTCTTCCAGCAAAATTTTCTGTTCACCTGATATTATTTCATTATGTTATCAGAATTGTCAAAGATAACAATGCAATTAAATACATCTATGACACTAAACTTTCTAATCAAGAAATTAAGTATATTGAAGTCTTATAGTATATTAAACCCAAGGAAAATGTTCCTTACATAATCGATATGGAATCAAACAAGACATGCTTGAATATGAATATTATGATGTATTGATTTTATTTTAGAAAAGAATATTTTGTTATTATGTATCAGAATGAGCAGGTGAAACAAAATTATGGTCAGTAGATCAACAAAGCATGAATAGTAGGTTTTTGTTCTTAGCACTAATCTGAGAAAAGCCCCTTTCAACTGATTTAAATGATTTGTTCTGATTTGTGCTGTTACACTGCTGTACCAGGTTAGAAGGGGAGGATTAGGTACTCACAAATAGCACAGCTATATCCTGTATGTGCCTGTCCCAAATCAGGAGCCTGTAGTCCAGTGGTTGTTGTTGATAACCTTTGTTATTTGTTATCAGTTAAAATCAGGACATTACTTTTTTCTTTTGAAATAATATCACTCTTTGTTATTCTAAGGGCTAAGTACACAATATGGGTTTAGCTCATAGTTGATGGCCGTACAGTGTCCTATAGTTGTTTGCATCATCGTACTTTGGTCTCTGGTTGATAGTTGTCTCATTGGCAATCATACTACATCTCCTTATTTTTATAAAAAAAATTGTAAGGGGTTCCATGGAACCCTGTGTCTCGCATATGATTGCTGCTCTCAGTGTATAAGTGTAATGTTGACTTAAAAAGTGAGTCCATTTATCAGTAAAAAACAGAATTGAAAAAAAAATTCAAACTTTTTCTTCAGATACTATTTCTTGGTCTTGAAGATAAGCTTCTGTCCAAGTTTCATTACAATTCATGAAGGTTTACAAATTTATCATGTCAAAAAAACTTAATCCCAGACTGTCTGTAAATGTTAACTGTAAAAAACTAAGACCATCTATCAGAAAAATACTGAAAACGAAAATATATTTTCAAAAGTTTGCTTCAGACATTATCTCTTAATCATAAAATAGCTTCTGCCAAATTTTGATAAAATTATATGAAGGTTTGACAAAGTAATTGATGTGTAACAAACTTTATCCCTAGACTGAATCTAAATCTTAACTGTAAAAAAAAAAAAGGTCAATTTATCAGTAAAATACGGAAAAATGAAAATAAATATTTTAAAAATTTTGCTCTGGATACTGTATTTTGGTCATAAACAAGCTTCTGTCCAAAATTCATAAAATTCCATGAAGGTTTGACAAAGTTATTGATGTCTAAAAAACACCACAGACTGAACCTAAATGTTGACGGCGCCGACGATGGAATCTAGAACATAAATGTGGCAGGCTCAACAAAAACATCTTTTACAGTTTTAATATAGATATAAAAGCAGTTTATCGAGGATTGCACGTAACTACATATGCCACCTTCACTAACTGTATGACATCGCATAACTATATGTACCACCATCACTAACTGTATGACATTGCGTAACTACATGTGCCACCATCACTAACTATGACATGGCATAACTACATGTGCCACCATCACTAACTGTATGACATTGCGTAACTACATGTGCCACCATCACTAACTGTATGACATCGCATAACTACATGTGCCACCATCACTAACTGTATGACATCACGTAACTACATGTGCCACCATCACTAGCTGTATGACATCACGTAACTACATGTGTCACCATCACTAGCTGTATGACATCATGTAACTACATGTGTCACCATCACTAGCTGTATGACATCGCGTAACTACATGTGCCACCATCACTAACTGTATGACATCGCGTAACTACATGTGCCACCATCACTAGCTGTATGACATCGCGTAACTACATGTGTCACCATCACTAGCTGTATGACATCACGTAACTACATGTGTCACCATCACTAGCTGTATGACATCGCGTAACTACATGTGCCACCATCACTAACTGTATGACATCGCGTAACTACATGTGCCACCATCACTAGCTGTATGACATCGCGTAACTACATGTGCCACCATCACTAGCTGTATGACATCACGTAACTACATGTGCCACCATCACTAGCTGTATGACATCACGTAACTACATGTACCACCATCACTAGCTGTATGACATCACGTAACTACATATGCCACCATCACTAACTATATGACATCACGTAACTAGATGTGCCACCATCACTAGCTGTATGACATCATGTAACTAGATGTGCCACCATCACTAGCTGTATGACATCACGTAACTACATGTGCCACCATCACTAACTGTATGACATCGCGTAACTACATGTGCCACCATCACTAGCTGTATGACATCGTGTAACTATGTGGAATATTGTAACTATTTTATGTTTATGTTTGAATAGAATATTAAACTTTACAGAAGTATTTTCTTTAGAATCACTCTAACCTTATAAAGTCATGAAGTATACAACTCAAAAAGCAGTTATTTTCAACAGTTTTACAATTTTGATATAGAAATATATAAGCAGTACTGTGGATCATTATTATTCGTTGGAAATCAATTTCCGTGGATTTCCTGAATAAAGGTAAACCACGAATTCAAATGTTCAACGAATTACAAATTTTCTATAGGAATGTATGCAGACTTTAGAACAAGAGTGCACATGCTGAAATGTCTCGCCTACTATACTGACCATTGATTTTATGTTGATAGTCCTACATATAAAGTTTTACTACAAGTGTCACATTAACATTTATGATCCAAGAAAATGAGGTCAAGGTCAGATAAACCAAGCCGTAAATACATGTACACCTTTGATACAATCCCTCCATACACAGAATATAGATGACCTATTTCTTATAGTATAAAAGAAACAGACCAAACCATGGAAATTCTATATTGACCAATGAACCATGAAAATGAAGTCAAGGTCATTTGAACCCTGCCAGACAGACATGTACACATTAAAATCATTCCAAATATAGTTGACCTATTGCTTAAGGTATCTAAGAAAAAAGTTAACCAGGAAAACTGAACATTGACCAATCAACCATGAAAATGAGGTGAAGGTCAGATGATACCTGCCAGACAGACATATACACCTTACAATCATTTCATACACCAAATAGAGTTGACCTATTGCTTATTAAAATGTAAGAAAAACAGACCAAAACACAAAAACTTAACATAAGAAATGAACCATGAAAATGAGGTCAAGGTCAAATAAAACATGCCAGACTGACATGTACATCATTAAATATTTCCATACACCAAATATAGTTGACCTACTGCATACAGTATTAGGAAAACGGACCAAAACACAAAAACTTAACATTTAGCACTGAACCTTGAAAATGAGGTCAAGGTCAAATAATACATGCCAGACTGACATGTACATCTTTATATATTTCCATATACCAAATATAGTTGACCTACTGCATACAGTATTAGAAAAACAGACCAAAACACAAAAACTTAACATTGAGCAATGAACCGTGAAAATGAGGTCAAGGTCAAATAAAACTTGCCAGACTGACATGAGCATCGTAAAATATTTACATACACCAAATACAGTTGACCTATTGCATACAGTATTAGAAAACAGACCAAAACACAAAAACTAAACTATGACCACTGAACCATGAAAATGAGGTCAAGGTCAGATGACACCTGCCAGTTGGACAGTTGGCCAGTAACACCTCACTATCATTACATACACCAAATATAGTAGACCTATTGCTTATAGTATCTCAGATATGGACTTGACCACCAAAACTTAACCTTGTTCACTGATCCATGAAATGAGGTCGAGGTCAAGTGAAAACTGTTTGACGGGCATGAGGACCTTGCAAGGTACGCACATACCAAATATAGTTATCCTATTTATACTTATAATAAGACAGAATTTAACATTCCAAAAATCTGAACTTTTTTTTCAAGTAGTCACTGAACCATGAAAATGAGGTCAAGGACATTGGACATGTGACTGACAGAAACTTCTTAACATGAGGCATCTATATACAAAGTA